GCATTAAAAAATGATGCGCTCTCTTAATATGAACTCTTTGAGTTCACACAAGCAGCCACCGTTGATAAAAGTACTTAGTATAAAACCACGAGGTTGGGAGAGCAAAATGCTTTTCCCCTAATAAAGCATTTCTAGGAAGATGGCTCTTTGAAGACCTTCTCTCGTGACTACCTTCTGGTTAATCAGCTGAGAGGCAACATTTTGGAGCAGTGCAATTAAGTCAAAGCAGGACAGTAAAACACAAGAAGGCTTCCTGGAAAAAAAAACAACGTATGGGATTAAAAAAAGGCTGAACACTCCTTTAGCCTGTGCAAATGTCCAGGTCCAGGAATGTACAGCTGCATGAGCAATAGCTCTGCAAATAAATTAACTTGACTCACAGGCACTGATAAGGCCTAGCTACTCCTTTACATGCTAACTCACTCCAAACTAGACGCCTGTAACGTAATATTTACCTTATTTCCTTTGGTGGTAAAGGGTCAAACTCAACTCCTTCGCCAAAGGATAAAGGACACAGTCTTGGAGGGCAGCTGGCGAGAACAGGGCTGGGAGAGAACACGGAATTCTGCAAAAATACAAAAATAATCCCTTTTATGTCCCAATTTGCTACATGCTGTCAAGGTTCGTGCTATATACAAGGGAACCTGCGAGTCAGGGATGTGCCTACGGGCACCGCCTGCAGGGCCCAACTCCACACACCGAGGATGGGGGCAAGGTATGGATCCCAAAGACAAAGTTCTAACCTGGGAGCTGACTTCAGAGAAGCCAGCGTTGGAAATGGAAAGGAAATAAAACCCCCAGGTAGAGCGTAACTTTCTGTAGCATAAACCATGACAATAAAACATCAACGTTCGCGTTTATGAGCTCACCTTCAACGTGCAGTTAATGCTGTACGAGTCTGTACGATAGTTTTTTACCGAATTCACCAGATCTCCCCCCAGGGAGGCCACAGCAGAGAACTACCACGGGCACCTCGCAGCGAGCAAACTTCAGCTCGCAGCTGTGCCACGGCCCCCACGCACACCAACCCAGCTCCCTCCCGGCCACCTGGGCAGGATCCGCTCCCCCTCACCGAGCAGCAGCGTGCACCGGAGCACCCCAAAACCCCACCCAAAGGGCAGGGCCGGGGGTGCCGAGCCCACCGCCCCGCGGCTGGAAGGGGCCGGGGGGTCCCCAGGGACCCTGCAGCCACTTCTCCGCCCGAGCTCCAGCCCACGGCCGAGGAGGCTGGGGGGCGGTTTCCCCGTTCCCCCGCAGAAAAGGGTCGCGCCCCAAAACTCTGCGGATCCCAAAGCGCCCCCCCGGCAGCCCCAACCCTCCCCAACCCCCCGGCACAGCCCGTGCGCCCCTGCCCGAGCCCCAGCGGCTCCCCAACCCCCCGGGGGAAGCACCGGCGGCTCCTCCCCGAGCCCGGCTCCCCCCGGCGGGTTTCCATCCCTATTCCCCCCCCCCCTTAATACCGCTGCGTGGCCGCTACTCACCGCAGCGGGGGGCGCGGGGGGCTCGGGCTCGGCGGCGGCGGAGCGCTCGGGGCTACCGGAGGCGAGCGGCCAAGGCGGGTGGGAGGGCCCGGGGCTGGGGGGCAGCCCGGAATCGGGGCTGTCGAGGCCGGAGTCTCCCCGTTTCCTGGCGTCGGGCAGCTCGGGCACGTCCCGCAGGCTGAGCCTCCCCACCATGGCCCCGCCGCCGGCACCGGCACCGCCGCGGGGCTCCGCGCCCTGCGCCCGGGCGGCGGCGGCGGGAGGGGCGTGGCCACGAGGGGACAAGGGGGCGGGGCTACGAGAAGGGGGCGTGGCCTCGAGGGGGTGCGGCCGCAATGAATGGGGCGGGGGCGCCATGAATGGGCGCGGTTGTAGCGGAAAGGGGCGGGGCCTAGAAAAGGGGCGGGGCTTGAGCCCGGCTCTTTCCCGCGCCCCCATGGGTGGAGGGGTGGAAATGGGGCTGGGGGGTGCTGGGGGGCTGCTGCTTGCCCCCACCCAGAACCCTCATCAACCCCACTCCCGGTGGCAGGGAGACCCCCCCCCCAGCCGCCAGCACCCACCCTGCGGTGCCACCGTAAGCAGCAAATGCCCCCGGTGGGTGCTGCAGGCTCCAGGTGCGCCCATCAGAATGTCTCACACGAGGTCGTGGATCTGCACCCAGCAAGGCCTGGGAGCAGCAGAGCGGTGCCGTGCTGTGGAGCAGCAGGTTTTAGACACCGGCTTGGTTCGCCCCACAACACCCCAAAGCAGCTCAGCACGTCCCCAAAACAGTCGCAGGATCCAGGGCTGCGATAACTCGCCCTGAGCGAGCTGCAAGAGCTGAGTGTACACATGCACACGACCCCTCCTAAATCATTTTCCTACACAGATCTGATAGAAAACACCGAGCTCTGCCCCAGAGGCAGGGAAATGAAGACAGACTGAACCTCTTCCTGAAGCTTAACAGCACCCTTCAAAACCCCCAGCCTCTCCCCCGAGCTGCTCTTTCTCAAACTCCCCCTGAAAATTTGGGCCCACTCCGCCCTCCTCAATCACATTTTTTTTTTTCCAGACAAAGCTGCAGAAGGTGAAACAGGAAAACAGAAGAGGTCTTTTCTAGTGCTATATGAGACGGAGGGAAGGGTTTTTGGAAAATCCTAATGAAATAATTGCGCCATGTCATCAGATTCAGTGGGGGAATACTCTCGTGGAGGGAAAGCAAATGTCTGCAGCCAGCCAAAGTAAACACTCCCTGGTGCAGTAACAAGCTGTCTGGCCTGATGGGCCCAGCACAAGTGAACCCAAACCCTTAAAAAGAATTCCTCCACTGCCCCAAAATTAAAAGCAGAGCAGAGCTTTCAGCCGTAGGCGTCTGTGGTTTGCAGCTATGCAGTGCTGGGAACTCCGGATACTTCCTCCAGGAATTTACATTCCTTTGAAGAAATACTCTGAGGCTGTTTGTCTTTGCTGAAAAACGCAGATGGAAACAAAAAGAACATTAAGATTTTTTGATTGAAATCTTTGGGGGCTGAGCAAACGCACCAGACAGGTGTTTTGTTCCTTTTGATTTAAATGCACACCCCCCCCCTTCGAAAAGAGGGATTTTTGGTCTCCACAAGCAACGGGAAAGCCGATCGCTCCTCGTTCCAAAATCTCCCATAAAAACCCTTGATGAAATTAGACGCCTCAGAAGGCGCTGCAGCAGTTTCCAGATGAACGCGATTATTCTTTCAGAGCTGCCACGGAGCTCCTGGGCTAAAAACCACTCTGCCAGTAATTGAGTTAGTGCAATTTAGGGGGGGGAACCTGTGGTGTCTCCCAGCAGCTGCTCCTGCAGGGATCAGGGCAGTGAGGTCTGAGGGTGAGGATCTTGGCGCCTGGGAGCTGCACAGAACCACGGCTGGCTGTGTCTGGGATGCTGCAGAGCTGTGCAGGCTTCTGGAAATCTTGCTGCTCTTTACTTACTAACCAAAAGACTCCCGTGCTGGCCCGACACATTTTTTTCTGCCCTTCCTGCATTTCATTTCTGGGCTTGGCAGAGGAAACAGAGGTGTTTGAGCAGCCTGAGGTGGCTCTGCAGCCAGCTCTGCCTCCTGCGGTGCCAGTGTCCAGAGCTGAAGACTTGTTTGTTAGGGCGAAAGTGAAGGGTTTATGCAGAATTGTAGCTACCCGATAACTGAGCTACTCCCTGCTGAAAGCCTGCCTCTCCTTAAGCCTCTCATTCCATGTGGATCTGTACAAACGCTGATGGCATTGGAAATCTTTTCCCCCCGTCTGTTTGTCCACGTTATTTACTTTCTAACTGCCTGCACGCAGCAGGGACAGAGCAGATATGATACCTTATCAAGATCCTTCTTCCATAAAGGACTTTCCACTGGGGCTGGGCTCGCTCGGTTTAATCAGCAATCAAACAATAGCCACATTGACGGGGAGCAGGGCTCCATCACCGTGTGCGGGGTGAAACCGCTCAGAAGGACCCTGTGTGACTCGATAACGCTGGAAAATTATTTCCAAATGATGGGAAATACCAGGCTGCTCCCATGGGCGCCGACCACAAACCCGCCAGGCACCGCGTCCTGCTCACAGCCAGGCTTTGGGGCAGCAGGATTAACACCAGCCCCGGGAGCGGTTCAGGTTCCTGCAGCTCGGCTGCAAGGACACCGAGGACACCGAGCGGTGCCACCACCCCGGGCTGGCCAAACGTTCGAGTCCACGTGCTCCCACCTTGGGCTTGGGCTCAGCACCAGCAGAGCTGCTCTGGCTGAGACGAACGGACGAGCTCAGGCTTTATACCGAGCAATTCTGGGTGACCTTCGCAATCGCTGCTGTAACCGGCCCCACCTACAGCGAGCCCAGGGAGGAACTCATTCTGCTGAGCAGCTCGCAGGCACAGCCCAAGCACGACGGCTCCAGCTCATTGTCCCAAGAGCAGCACGGCCACAGCACAGCATCCTGCCACCTGCCAAGCCGCAGCACCAGGGAAAGGCTCGGGGAGGCTCAGACGTCGTCACTCGGATGCTCAAGATTCATCGCTGTAAAATTTGGTGGAAGAAATAAACACCCACGTCACCTCACGCAGGCTTTCTCCTGCCTGACGATGGAGGGGGCAGGACCAGCAGAGCGGTGGGAGCAAAGCAAATGAGTCACAGACACTCCGAGCTAAAGGAACTCCTCCAGCATTATGTATCCTATGGAAAAAAGGCCCTACCTCCTAATTAATTTCAAAGGAAAAAGTTGAGATCCCTCAGAAATCGTTCCAGCAGTTAGTCATCACAGATGATCCCATTATTTATGGGCACGAGGTCAGCTCTCCCAGACTGCCTCCACGGTGCCGGGAGCTGCTGTAAATGCCAATGCTGCCCGTGCTGGAGCTACAGAAGTCTCTGAGGTGGGGAAGCCAGGAGAGAGAAGAGCTACGAGAGAGAAGTGCAGGCAGACAGCAGCAGCTCCCTGCCTGGGGTGTGTTCTGGGAGAGGTCCGGCACGGCCCCGTCCCAGCCGCTGCAGTTGTGGGGCAGTCGGACAGAAAACGCCCAGCAGCTAAACGTCAGCAACCATTTAATTCATTGCAGTGTCACAGTCCCACGTACAGCCAGAATTACACCTCGGCCAAAAAAACATTAGAAGTGGCATTTTATACAGGAAAAAAAAAAACCTCTCCTTTATCCCACAGGGATGTAAATCCCCAAAAGCTCACATACACACAGACAGACGTGCCAAATCTGATAAATACCCAGGAGTCAGGGGGATGACATCCTTAAAAGTGAAAGTAGAAAACTGCCAAGTTGCCCTCTAGAAGTAGAACTTGACTGTAAGTCTTCAAAGGTTGAAACTAAAAATTCATTTTTTCTTTTATTTCTTATCTCCAGAATGAAATGCAGATAATGAAACAGGAGAAGCCTTCAGGGGAAGATATGCGACGATAACTTGAACATCATATTCAGCTATTCATAATTTAGTTAGAGAATCATCCAGAGTCATAGCAAAGAAAAAAAAAATTAATCTAAAATAAATTATTTAGCCCCCCTGGGGAATAAGGAATCTCTGCAAAGCCATGTTCCCTCCGCCCCTGCTGTTGTATCTGATAACGTGTGAGCCATCCTGCACACGCACCGCGAGATAGCGCGTCCTCTGGGAAAGGCTCTTCACAACCCCAACTCTCTTCTCGACACCCTTCCCTCTTTTGTCACCCGACGTGAAATCTGGAGAAAAAAATTAATGAAGCACTGTTGGATTTGGGGAGATTTGTAAAACTGGAGTGATGAGAAACTGCCGTCCCTCGTAACTGCTGCTGGGGCATCACTGCAGCTCAGCACCCGCACGCTGCAGCCAGGATCCAGCCTGGGGAGACCCCTGAAAACGTGTCCTAAAGAGCTGGTGTGGGTGTAGTTGTTAGCTCACACCTCCCCGCAGCAGCAGCTGGGTGTTAGCAATACCTGACTAGTGAGGGTTTCATCTCTGCGGATTTATTCTTTCTGCTGGAATCCCGTGCTCAAGTCCTGACTGTTCGGGCGCAGGCTGACTTGCTGGCTGTGCAGAAGGAGTACAGGGTTTTACCGAGCTAGGCACGAGATCTGCCCTCCCAGAACCACCCAGCTGAGGAGAGGGAAGGGGTGTAGCTCGCACCCCTGCCACCACCCAGCTCCCTGCCCTGGGACAGAACCAAAATGCAGCCAGGTAGGCACAGGAACCTCTCATTTCCCCCCCCGAGTTCTGGTGAATCTCTGGGTTTGGGTGCACACAGCTCATTTTCCTGCAGTGTGCATCACCCCTTCCTTCATCCCATATGTGCCACAGTGAATACTAAAATTCAGAGTGACCACAGCCCCCTAAAAACACAGTCCTAAGGCCCAACTTTATGTGGGGGGAGCCCTCCCGAGAAGGCGTCTGACAGCGCGATCACTCCTCACCTCCCAAACTCTTACATGACTTTTTATTTCCTGCAAATCCGAGTGAAGCTTGAGTTAAAATAAAGCAGGCACAACTGGTTTATCTGCCCCTAAATCCATGTGGGATTCAACTGTTTACCGATCAGGCATATGCCTCCCAAGAAAAGCACACAGAGGAGTTTAGGAAGAAATCCAGCGTCACTAACGAGGAGATGACATGTCCCTGCCTGAAACTCCTCCGGGAGGCTTACACAAGGGGCAGGGGAGGGATGCTGATGTCCACACACCCCAGGCCAGACCCTGCTCTGTGCTGGCTTTGTGGATGGGTGCCAGCGTGAGCTGGACCCCCATGAAGGGAGGCCCAGGTTATCTGAATTATTTCACCTCTGGTTCTCCTCTCCCCTCTCAGAGGAGGAGGAGGAGAAGAAGGCCTTTGAAGTCTGAGGCTTGTGTAAGCATCCTGTCCGGGAAGAGGCCCTGGCAGCTGCAGGCTCCAACAGTTCCAGCATCTCTCCGTGCAGGGCAGCAAAGGGGCCACAGGGGCAGACCCAAGCTCTGGCCATGCCCCTTGGCATGAGAACCAGGGCTGGTACCGTACCACGCTTATCCCATGAACTTACCACGCTGATCCCTTATCCCACCGTGGATGGAGGGCGAGATGCAGCACGGGAACTCCCATCAGGGACAGGGGTGAGCCCAGCACATGCGACGGAAATAACAAGGAGCTGGAGATGGGCTCCGTAGTGTTTAGTTTGGCCTCTAGGGTATCAGGCAAGGCTCAGAAGGCATTCATTCATTCAGCCCTCTCCCCCTGTTCTGAAAAGGAGCTGCCTTGCTGTTTTTCCTGGTGGTTTGTGCGCGCCTGTTCTGGGAGCAGGGGTGAAACCCACACTGGGCATTTCCAGTGGTTTCACTGCAGATGCCTGGAGCTCAGCTCTTAAAGGTTTTCCTCCTCCTTTTAGTTTTGTTTGTTTTGTTATCGCCTTCCCTCCCCCCAGAATAAATAATGAAACAGAGGAGCAGCTCTGAAAGCAGGGAGTGAGCAGTAACACCGAGTTCTTGGGCAAAAGCCTTAGTGCTGCAGCAGCAGAGCCTGGCTGGGCTGATGGCCGGGATGCCAAGCGTATCGCAGCCGGATATTCTCTGAATCCACCCAAACCATTTCTGCAGCTGCTGACCTCCAGGTACCTGTTTTCTCCACCACACGGGGTTTCACTCATGCTAAGCTACCTAAAGGCGAACACCTTGGTCAGATTCTCCCTCAGTCTGAGCAGAGCTGCAGTGCCACGGTGTACGATGGTTAACGGATCACAGGGCACGACAATCACGGGACACCAATTTTTCAGCAGCAGCATTCTGTAAAACACAAGTCCGAAGAGCTTTGCTCCCAGCGACTGGAGCTAGTCCTGAGCAACAGCCTTTTCTCCTGCGGGCTCAGAGTCTTTTTTTGATGAGCTTCTCCAGTTTCCGTATCCGAGAGGACTCCTGCTCCGGCGTGGGAGCGCTCAGCGAGAGGGAGCCGGTGCTCTCTGCTCCAGAGGGCGGTGCCGGGAGGCGCTGGCGGAAGAGGTCCAGCATGCTGCTTTGCTCGCTCCTCTTCAGGCCCTGCGAGAGCAAAGAGCAGTGAAGCCATGAGGTTAGACTTGCCTGATCGAGGAGCAGGCGTGCACGATGATAGCCACAGCAGAGCCTGTTTCAAACCCCGATCCTTTGTTTGCCCACCAAGTGCAGATCTCTGGGTGATCCAGAGGCAACTGAGCTCAGCCCCAGCACAGCTATAAGCAAGGTAAATGAACTGAAGAAATACTCATCAATAGCAACTCCAGACACTTTCAGAGTACAGAGGATACGCTTGCCTTAAAGAGTGCTTTGCCCACTCCCAAACTCCTCTATATTACTACTGAAAAACTCCCCAGCAATCTCAGTACAGGACTGATCCTAACCTTCATGTCCAGTATCTTCTGGAAGGTGTCCGTGCTGCAGTCAGCAAGGAGCTTGATGTAATTGTCAACAAACACAACCGGGGGCTCGTGTGGAGCCATGACCACCTGCCAAGATAAGAAAAAAAAAAAATCAGACAACTTTTAGGAGGTAAAGCCACTGATCAGTTCAGGCACAGGAGCGACAGCAGGACTGGTTTGTCATAAAATAAAATGCTTAAGGAACAGGAAAGATGTTTTATGTGCTGACAGTAACTGAGAAATAAATGTGAGGGAAGAATAGCAAAGTGAAGAGCAGCCTAGGAGCAGAGAAGAGCACGGGGTCTCTTCCTGCCCAGCCAGCAGCTCTCAGACCGAGGTGCTGCAGGAGCTGTGCACCGCGTTGCAAAGAGCAGCAGGACTTTGTCTGTGTGCTCGTCAGCTGGCAGGCACTAGCATGTTGTCAGAGCTCAAGATTTTATCTCGTTGCGTGGGGAAGCCTTGCTGGGCAGTCGGTGGTTGCTTGGGGAAGAAAGGCAGTGCTGGTGGCAGGGGGCACTTTGGGAGCCCCAAGCCCACTGGGGGATTGGGCAGCAGGCAGTTGGAGGCTGCCCAGAGCCTCCCTTCAGCTGTGCCTCCCTCCTGTGCAGAAGCAGAACAGACCCAGCATCTCACAGGACACCCTGACAGCACTCTTCCTGCAGATGCTTCCTCCCCTCCCCAGAACAGTGTGGGGCAGAGTGAGCTGCTTCAGGGCTGTATGGGTGCTCCCAGCTGCTACGTGCTTCGGGTGCAGCCCCTCCTGCACACACCTCTGGGAGGCTGGGCTGCAGCGTGCACCCCTGCTGCCTGCTGCCCTGGAGCTCTGACCTCCCCCGGCCCAACAACAGCCAAGTCAGGAATAAAATTAAAACGGGGACTTGGAGCTAGGAAGATGATTACTTACTCATTGGTGTATTTTCCCTACACGAGCCGTGAGCTCCATGAAGAACATCTTTAGGTAATGCTCGGGAACAGAAGCACCTCTCTGGGAAGTACATATGCACATGTAGGGCAGGAACAGCCCGGGACCAGACTCTTCCCTGTCTCTGAAAACGTTTCCATATGTTTCCACTGACCCATCTCACCCCACGCTGCATTCTGTCACCGAGACGTTTCTTTCTTTCGCTGCACTTCAGACCAATGAAACATCATAGCCGTGTGTACACTTATAAAGCCTTAATTTACAGCCCTTGTAAAAATCGGATGCCAAGATGAAAAGCTGGAACTTCAGACACCGGAGCCAAAGGAGAAAGGAAACAGCTCTGCGGGACGTGCACGCTGAGATTCCCTCCTCCCTGCTCGCATCTGCACTTTCTACGGCTTCAATGAAATAATTTGTTTGTGCCATCTATGGGCTTAACGATGCTCCCACTGAATTAGCTGTGCTGGTACAAGGAGGCAGCACTGTGTGGTGGCACTGCGTGCAGCGCAGGCATCGCTTCTGAACAGCCTCTGTACTGTGTAGGAGAGCCCTGCAAACCCCGAGGAGGAGGGCATTAGCCCGTATTTTTGATAGAGTGAGAGAGTTCTTACAAAAAAGACTCTTTAATGGACAATTTGGAAGCAGCAGAGAGGCTGAGCACCGACAGAAAGAGACGACCCGCAAGGCAAACAGAATGGACAAAGACAAACAGCCAGCTCTGCGCTCCTGCAGGCAAACCGTCCTGCAGAAATACCGGTGGCTCAGCACCAACGGGCACTTCTGAGAGGCTCTTCTACCCCATAACCGAGAGGCTGGTGCTGACACTAGCCCCAGATGCTGGGCTGTGGGTTGCCCAGACTTTGGGCAATCACATTCAGCCACTACGATTAACAAATCTCCTCCATCAGCATTCAGCCTGCTCGCCTGCTGATTATATGGGGCATTATTTTGTAAAATCTCTCCGTGGAGCATCCAACGCTGTGAGCGTGTCGCTGTTTAATTACTACCTGCTCTGACACTGAGCCCTCACTTGGGGCCGGCAGAAGTGCTTTATGCAGCGGCACGGCAAGGATGGGATGTCTGAAAAGGCACCCGTGCTGCTGCTGCCTGTGAACCTGCCACGCTTCCACCGCTCGCTGCCCGAGGCTCAGGGCTGAGCGGCAGCAATCCATTTCCTACGCTGCCTTCATGTCAGCCCCGATGAAGCCAGGGTGATATTAAGGGGACAGAAATTACTTCCACTGCTTTCCTGATTGTGTATGCAAGCTTCAAGGAAAGACCTGATTGTGTATGCAGCAGGCACCCATCTTCCTGCTCCTGTTAGCAATAAAAAGCAATTTTTCTCCAGGTCATTTCTACAAAAATTTAGACTTGCTTTAACTCATCCACTAACACCTCAGTCATTTTATTTCAAAAGGAGAGAAATTCAGAACTAATTTATGAAGTCAGAGAGCAAACTGAATGGTAACACTGCCTAGGGAGCAGAGCCACAGTGAGCAGCGGGAACCCAGCCCCTGCACCCACAGAATCACAGAACTGTAGGGGCTGGAAGGGACCTAAAGAGATCACCGGGCCCAACCCCATCGGGTCCAACCCCTCCTTGCCTCGGCCGTGGTTTGTGCAAGGCTCTTGCTGCTGCCTGGCCACCCCGCCTGACACTGGTACCACCAAGTCACATCCCCACAGTGCTGAGAGCGAGCGGGGGACAAGCCCCTGCCCAGCAGAGCACAACTGCAAAGCTCCCAGGGCTTCCCCTGGGATCAAGCCTGACTTCTTATTTCAGAGAGACAACAGCGGGGGGGAAGGGGAGGCAGGGAGATCGCTTTGCTTGTTACGCTTTATGAAGACAACACGCTGCTTTTGGGTCATTTTCCAGGCACCAGGTCTGGAAAATGAAAAAGGACTCTGGTGAATACAGTAACCCAGACATGTTTGCACTGGCTGTTACACTAGACAGTAAACAGGTGACTCAAGCACGGCTTGGCTCCCCTGCGTGATGGAGTCTGCACAAAGGCCTGGAGTAACCTGAACTGGAGGCTTTGCCCCGAGGCAGACACTTACGGATGTTAGCTCCGATTTTCACGAGCTCCCAAGGAAGTCTGGTGCCCCGACTCTTTTGGGAAGCAGAACTCGAGCGCTCAAGTTATCTTGAAAAACGAGGACCAAAACCCAAAGGCTACGTTAAAAGGGAGCGGCAGCAAAACCAAGGCAAATCAGCCAGGTCTCTAGAACAGCTGGCAGCACACCCCTACGAGCACGCATACATTCACGTGCGCTCTGCAACGCTGCGTTCAAAGGAAGGGCCCCCTGGAATTCGCTCGCTCCGGTTCCCAGCCCAGCAGTCTGGCTGGCAGCTTATCAAAAGTCTTGAGTTACCTTCAGGATCATTTCAGCCCGAGTCATGCCTTTCACCACTATCCGCGTGTAGCTGGCGGGAGCCTTCCTCACCACCTGGGACCCAATGGAAGGCAGATCCAGGAGAACCATCTTCAGGGAGTGGGTGTCCAGCAGCAGCTGCAACAGCAAATTGCACCCCGTTAGCCAGGCCCCGTAAACCAGGCTGCCTTAGCTGCTGTAATCCAACAGGCTTAAAAGTATAACGCTTCTCACGCTGAAAACATCCCGGTAACGGGGCTGCAGAAGGAACTGACCCTTGTCACGGCACTTCAAGGAGACAAGATCACCCTCGGCTGTTTATCCCCACGGCTATTTATCAGCACCAGTTGCTGACTCTGACAGAGTTGCTGATTCTGCTTGCAGTGACTTGTGGCTGCAAAGCACCTGGCACAGGCGGATTTCTCTGTCCTCTTCCCTTTGACAGCATAAACTGGAACAGCATAAACTGGAACACCTTGAGTACCTGTAGGTGTGCCGTTATTTAAATATCAAGGTCAAATGAATTAACACCCTACCTGCTCTTGCAGCTAATCAGCAATTAGATCAGGATTTCTGCATTTACTCAACCACTTGATTTTTTTCTTATTTTAAAGAGAACTGCAACACAGAACTAAGCAATATCCTGTGCTCACTGACACACGAAGCTCACAGCCTGCTGTATGCTGGTTTTTACCAGACCAGCAGCTATACAAGCAGCAAGGAGCAGCTAAATTCAGCAGAGTGCTCAACCACTGCCTGATAATGAAGTGTTGGGGGTTAGAATATCATAGAGCAAGTCACCCCAAATACTGCACCCTTCTGATTACACTGTGTGTGTTTAAAGAGGTGAGAAAAGACCGGTGAGGGCTAGAAATCTGAAAGTAGCAGCAAAGGGACTGAGCGATTACCTACTTTGAGAAAAATGGGATGTAAAAACAACAGTCTGAGAAAGACACAGGAGCTTCTTGCAGTCGTTTGTCATGAGCAACTGGCTTTTCCTTTCCATGAGCACAGTGAAGACGATCTCACCATGACACATTAGGCAGGTGCTTCGGAGGTTTGTTGTTACAGTGCTCTTGATGCTTTGACTGGCAGAGGGAGAGCTCAGCTGCCTGGGAAGGTGCCTAGGACCTCCCTCCCACCTTACAGGGTCAGCTGTGGCCACACCACTACACACCTGCTTTAACCCTGTCCTCCACCAGAACGTATCCCTGGTGCCTTACACTGACTGTGCAATTTCCAGACAACCAGAGAGCACTCAGCTGTACCAAATTCAGGCCATGTAACAGTTCTCAGCCCCTTTTTACCCTTTTACTTCTTGAGCACAGAAGTGAAATACTACTGCCAACGTGACTGCTTGCTTACCTGTTCTGCTCCCACCATGCTAATGGGTTTGCACTTGAAGAGGTGGTTAATGAACTTGGGAATGAAGGAGCTGCAGAGGAGACACAAAATGACACAAATGTCAGCATTTGGAGTCGTACAATATTCTGTGGCAACAAAGCACACAGGAACAGAACAGCACAGCTTTCCACAGAGACAAAGCGCATGGTTCTCCATCGACTGGGCACACCAAGAACACTAAATGCGAAAGAATTGTAACTGTTTTTTTTTTTATATCTATGCTGATCTTAAAGTTGAGAAGTTGCATACATACTCCGTACATAAATTCCTACAGAGTACACGTGAAGTGCTACAGTACAAGCTCAAGAACAAGCAAACTATTGCACATGACAACTACAGCAACACACCAAGATTTGTGCAGCTACTCATGGAGTGGAAGTATCTTGATTGTATCCAGGACCTACATTTCACTGCATGCTAGTAATTCCATAGCATGCACACTACAGACTGGACTTGAGGTCCAGCCAAGGCTGGAGGTCTGCTGGGCCCTGGCCATTCACACAGCGCGGCACTCTTCCAGACAGCTCCTAGCCAACACAATCAGGGCGATGAGAAGCTTTGTGAAAAGGAAAACACCATTACCCTCTTTTACTAACATGGGCTTTAGACTCAAAGATTATTAAATGACATACACAACAGTGCAGAAATTGGCAAAGGCAAAAGCTAAGCCCAACATTCATCACCTTGGGCAACGTCTTCCAGAACATCAGCTTTGGTTTTAGCCTTTTGCTTCTTGATACGAGGCTTTGTGGTAGCTTCGCCCTTCAGTGGGAAAGCTGATGCTCCCTTTTATCGGGGGGCTGGCCAGACAAGCTCCTGCCCTACCAAGCTGCAGCCCCAGGAAAACCCAGAAGTGAGTGTGAGGAGTCAGAGGCAGCAGAGCAAACCCCTCTGGAAGGGGTGAGCCATCTGTCAGGACCATGACACCAATCCTGTTGTCTTCCTTTTACCATTTTACTTCCTTTTACTTTGCTTTTATGACGTACTCTGACTCTTCCACATGGCCTTCGCTGGTTGAACACCTGCAGGGCTCACGCTGTTTCCAGGGCCCCGTCCACGATCTGGTGGCAGGTCTTGGATTTTGGCATCTCTGTCCTGAGTTCTTGCAAGTTGGTCTGGTTTTTGTCCTCTTGAACGAGGTACTGCTTATGGTGATCTAATTTCAGTGTGGTTCCCCCTTGCATCTGTTGAGCTGTTTCCTTTCCATGAACAAGGGAGCACGGACAGCATCTTGTTTGTCCTGCCACCTGTTTTCCAAGCCAGGGCTTTTATTTTTCACCCCTTTCTCATGAAAGAATGACAAAAGCGTAACTCAGGCACGGAGCGTGCCAAGCTGCTAAGCAAATCAAAAGAAATGGCTCAACAAAGAATCTTTCCAAGCAAAGGCTCCTTCCCTCAGACACAGCCACGACCTCTCTCACTGAATCATCTTTTCCTGGAGAGGTGTCAAGACGAACAATTTCAAATCATTGCTGAGAACCAGCTACTGGGCTGCCCCAAACAGCTTTGAATTTGGCCACCAGAGAGACGACCTTGGCAACAAAAGCCAAGCAAGAGGAGGAAAACAAGCCCCGTCTCCTCTTGCACTAAAGCATTAAAGCAGAGACATAACCTATCTTACAAGTCCATTTTTCAGGTGTATAAATAATTCCCAGAGGGCAATTAGAGAGTGCCAAGCACAGCTGGAGCTTCGGCAGTCCTGCAAAATGAACAATTGCCAGCAGTTCTGGAGGCAGCAGCTTGCTACGAGTGGAAGAGCACAAGAGGTTAATTGTACCTTTGATCTTGCATGGGGGTCCAGCTCTCCCTCTCTGTAGGGTCAGGCACAGAGCTAACGCTCGTGCTGTGCAGGAGAAACAGGGAGAGCCTTTCGTGCTGCAGGGTGGCAGACTGGCAGGCAAAGGAACCCCCCTGCTCTTCTCTTTTTCTATTTTTTTTTGTGCTATATAACCACACGGTCTCCCACAGACAGCCCTCCCTTGCCTGAAACAATTCCCAGGCCTTTTAGGATGGCCACCCACAAGCACTGCAGCAGGGTAGAGCGACCTTCCATCCCTGCACGCCTGTTATTTCACGCTGTCTTATTGGAAACAGCTTCTCGACTCCGGCAGGACAGACAAGACAAAACACCAGATCCAAGGACTGCTCTGGTTTTTTGAGGCTTTTTTTTTTTTTTGTCTAGCAAAGACCGTCGAGAGCAGTTGCGCTTAAGTGAAAAATTTGCTCGGGTTTCTTGCCTGGGCTGGGCTCGAAGTTTGGCTCTCGGAGCGTACCGCAGGCGATCCTGACGTGAGCGGTACGTGCGTCTCCAGCGGTAAAGGCTGCGCGCACGGTTTTGTACTCTGAATGCCTTTACTCCCTGCACATCCATGGAGCTCGACTGGATGCCAGAAATCGTTCGCAGTTTCAGCCATAAAACGGAATCCAGCAAAATCTTCTCCATAGAAGCAGACAAGTCCCCAGCGTAAAAATAAAGCAGCGCAAGGCGGAGCAGGAACCTAAAGCACAGAAACCCCAGCATCTGAGAGGCTTCCATCCGAGGGTGTGGCTCTGCCAAAGCCTGTGTTTTCTTTATCCCCTGCGCTGATGATGCATTAAACACAACGCTTCGCTAAGGCAGACAGAGATGCAACCACAAGCTGTCTCCCCGGCGGGAGATGAGCTACTCCAGGATATCATTCCAGGCATCCTGGTGTCACTGTTTGCTTCACGCCGCCCTCGAGGCGGTGGCCAGCCCTTGCAGACTCACCCGGGCTTAGAAAACCAGCAGGAGCCTCCTCACTGCAATCCTTCTCCTGACTCCTCTTGCTCCGAGCTGGATCCGAAGGCCAGGGCGGTTGCAGGGAGGTGCAGTGCAGTCACCCAGCGCGTTGAGCTGTTTGTGATTAACGCCCCGCTGTTCTGGCAAGGGGAGAGCTGTTTGTTTTTCCTGCCTCTCAGCTCTTCGTCCCCGAGGTCAGGTCACCGAGTGCCCACATGCACCCCAGCAGAGCAGCCCCAGCCACACACTGCTGTGGTTTTTGGATTTCAGAGGATAAGGCCCGGGGTGCAGGGGAGCAGAGCCCTTCAGCAGCCTGCCAGCACCTCGGGGACGTCGGTGGCTTCAGCTGCTCCTCGCTGTTCAGAGGAGTGAGGGCTGCACGTTGGTCACAACAAAGCAAAAGCGACAGATCAGGTTAGAGGATTGATGCGATTTCGGATGGCAATTTTTCTTCTCCCAGACTTGGCTCGGATCCCTCAGCTTTAAATTTAGTGACTTTCGATGCCTTCTCCCCTGTGGTCCTGTAACTCAATACCAGCCCTACACACAAACCATTAGCGCTGAGAAGTGGCTGCCAGTTCAGAGACACAGGCATTAACGTACAGAGGAGTACAACGCCTGTTAAAAGGATTTTCAGTGTGCTGGAGCACACAAAAAGCCAGGTATTTATATTAGACAGGCCAGCATATTCCATAAGAATTCTGAGCCTCAAGCACACAAATGCTTGTGCACATTAAAACATCAGAAACATCAGAAGGGTTTTAAGTAGATAATGCACTCTTATCACTCTGGTAGTTTTCCTGAAAAGAAAATGGCACAGAACTCTAAACACTGTCTGGCAAAACCCCAGTATTTAGGGATTGCTCTCCTGCAACCAAATTTTCACTTCTGCACTTGATCTGCAACCCATTCAATTCTGGACTGTGTCTTAATTTTCATGTGCCACCAATCAGGAATGTGGTACTATTAAAAAGATTTTAAAGTAGTTTTTTTGCAGGTTTCTGTGATCTTCCATAGAGCAAGCCCTGAGGAAGGCTCTCAGTTTAGGTTTCAACGCGTCTCGAATGTGAGAGTTGGGTATTTTATCCGGAGTTTACTCGGTATGTGCTTAGCAATAAAGTTAAAAGGGAGACAACTAAGCTGAGGTATTAAGAGTGTGCTACGAACAGCTGAGTAAATGTTTTTTTATATTATTTATCACCATGTTAGCGATATAAAATTCAAGCGTAACCACACAGAAGGCTTAAGTGCAATAAATTTCGACTGGGACAGTATTTCAAGCAGTGATTATGGGCAATGTCATAATATGATTTATCAGTAACTGCTCTTTAATGCAAACTAATGAGTACCCAGAGATAGAAAGGGGGAACGAAGCTCTCAGGCCAGCCTCCCTGCTGCGAAAGCTAACGGTTCTCACGAGAGCCTACTGCATCTTTTCCTGCTGAAGCAGGAACTGAGCTTCTGGTCTCAAACCCACACAGTAACTGCCAGGCCATGCAGTTTATTTCGGGATGATTAGCTTATCAGAGATGAATGAAATGTTTAAGTGTTTTGAAGAGTGACATGCGATACGTGTGGTACTGCTCCCAAGCCTCTACCAGGACAGCCCCATGCAACTGGTTGTACACAACCGGCCAGCTCTTCCCCGGGGCTTTTTCATGGGGCACTGGCATGCAGAGCTCAACTGGTCTCAGGAAAGCAGGAAAGAATTCAAAGTGTATTCCCGAAAAAAGAGACTTTTGGTTTTGGACACAGCTTCCAAGTTTGGACTTCATCCTTTACCCTGATTCCAAAGGCAAGGGGAATTCCTGTCTCACCTTCCAGTTCCTTTCACCCTGCCCAACATCAAGTGACTCACCGGGAAGACACTCATAATTACCCTCAAAATCTAAATGTACTTTTCCACTTCTTTCTGAAACATTTTTGCACAGAAAAGCAGATTTTAATCTGTTAACTTAGAATTTATTCATTACTCTTGCCATCCTTACAGTCCTACTATTGATAGATAAGCTACTTTAAGGCAAATGATGCACCAAAATTTATGTGCTTGAAGTACTTCAGCCTTTTATCACTGAAGGAAAAGCAGGTTTCCATAACAAGAGCTGTCAACTCCTCAGTAATAGTCCTCTATATTCAGCTTTTTTAAAATGTCCAGCCCCAAACCTTCCGTACTTGGCAAAAAGTGACCGCTGATCATCAAAATATTTTATGGAATGGTTTAGGCACACAAGAAGGAACCAATCAGTGCAAACGTCTGAGAAAATCTGCCTCAGCAAGAAACTTGAGACAAGAAATTCAAGTGTCTTTCAACCTTGCCAGCAGCTGCTGGTGCTTGCTGCCCTGCACCACCTCCCTCTGTGCTCTCCCTGGGTGGGAAGTCTTTGCCCAGGCACCGAGGAGGCAAATCGTCACGCACAGAGTAGTGAAAGCAGAGGCCCTGAGGGATTCGTTGCCGTGTGGGTAACTTACTTTGCGAACTTGATGCAGAACTGAGTGAAGTACTTCCTCGTGGATGCCAGGTTGTCGCGGATGATGGGGACGTTCTGCTTGATGTGGAGGATTACCGAGGTGACATAAGGACTCTGATCGCCAACGTGTTCCACGTTCTGCCACTGCATCTGCACGGAGAGGAAAAAACAAGCAAAAAGACTGTGTAACTCATTAGGGTTCAAGCGATATGCAAGGAAAACTGGACGAGCTTCCTGCCAAAGGATCTCTAAGGAATAATCAAGAGACTGCCTCTGCAATTCACCACTACCAAGGTCATGTTCTTCGTCACTACACTGACTGATCAAAACCATTCCCAGAACAAAACACAAAGGAGGGAAACCCAAAATGGCCCTTTTTGCACCAGAGTGGAGAGAGATTCTGCCTGGTAATGGGAAACATTAGCAGTAAAAAGGCTTTTGGAGCACCCTACACTGCTTCAATATGTAACAGTTCCCAGTTTTCTGGGATGAAGTGCCCATATAAATCCTGATTACAGGCATTTGAGAAAATAACTGCAAGCTTGCAAAGTCTGGATTCCTGTATGGCAGCCAAAGCTTTAATACTGGTGAGACTGATGACAGATAGATGGAAGAGGTAGAAATAGTCTCAAAGGCCAAAACACTCTACACCAGTGTAGCTCACATTGAAAACTCTTCTGGTGTACCAGCCAGGATGCCAGCTTCACCTCAGCCCAAATACACATTAAAAAATAAAATGAGAGGCTGAGTAATTCTTTTCGCATTTTCATTTACCATCAGCAGAAATGCAACAGACTGTTCCCTGTTAGCCAGATATGTGGCTCCCTCGACTTCCTCAGAGCTTTATTTGAAAAAGCACAGTGAGCACACAGTACGAGTCGTTTGAAAAAAAAGAATTGGGTAGAACCTTGATGTCCCTGGCAAAACATGTGTATACAAAGTCTGCTGGGAGCTCATGTTCCCCAGTGAAAGTGCTCTTAGCACCGTTACTGTTCAGAGACGATGCACTCTGCAACGTGCTCCATGTAGCAAGGTGGAGATGCAACCCTTCGTGTTGGAGATCAAACAAGAATAAAATTTGTATGAAAATCAGGACAGAAAACTGGGCAGATGCAGAAGATGAGTTTTATCTTTTGATGAGGTTTGTCCTCAAACCTTTCTTCAAAAGTTTTGGATTTTTCATGCATCTTTTTAAAAATTCCTATCTTTAATTTAGAAACAGCTACTTTGCCCCCTGCAACCCAGCTTGTTCAATTACACCCAAACATGCAGCATAAGTGACTTAATGGGCAAAGAAGCCAAAGTCTTTGCAAAATCAGTGTCTGCCAGAGTCTACACACATCCTACCACAGCTATCTTTTTTTTAGCCAAGCAAACAAAACCCCGAAGTGCTCATTGCACAGTAACCGGGTAGCTAGCAGGGAGATTTTTTTCATCACTTGCTCTACAGGTTTTAATTCCGTCTTACTTTCAGCTGGAAGATTGCTCGGAAGACAACTGCTTTTCTGTGGCTTGTGGCAATTTTCACATCAGAAGAAAAGGCTCTGTGCCTGCCTCCCTGATGGACTCGCACACAGCCTCCCAGCGCTGGCCATTCCCAAACGAACAGACCGTCCCCATACACAGGATCAGCCAGAAAGTGGGAAGGGACTGCTGAGCTGAATTATTACAACAACAACAAAACAGTAGCCTTCTCATTTTGTTGCTTTTCATTCCAAAAGCAATACTTTACAACCGAGCCTTTAAAGCACGAGCAGTAAAAATAGCCCTTTATGTGTGTGTGTGTGGGTGCATTCCACCAGAAAAAAAAACCAGTAGCTGCAGTGAAAGGAATAGCACACATACTGTAAAGTCATCAGAAGAAATACGAGCCCAACTCTTCTGGTAAAGCTTTGTTCCTGTCGTTTTAAATTTATTCCTCCTTTTCCCCCATCCTATGTTTTTCTTGGGATATCCACACAGCCTGCACACAGAACCAGCCCAAAGGGCAGGAGCAGGACAGGAGCAGAGGCGTCGCGCTCGGCAGCCCCAGGGAGAAGCCCCAAGCACCCGCATGCCCCAAAGACCAGGGTGATGTGGCTGGCTGCACAGCAGGGACCTGTGATACCCTCAGAGTTGGTTTTCCATAGCACAAACACACGGCCCTCAGGATTTTAGGGTGCTTTCTTAAGGAAGGGGAGGAGAAAAGAGAAACCGTGAGCAAAACCAGAGTGGTTTGGTACAAAACAAGAGCTGTACAATGTTCTGGGCATAGTGGAAGCCCTAAAGTGCTCCCAGGTCCACCTGGCTGTGAACCCTATGTCCCAATGTGTCCCTATGTCCCCAAAGAGACAGGAGTAGGGTGAAAGAGCCAAACCAGGAACCACCAGGTCCCTGTGACATACCCAGTGCGGACAAGGGTCTCTAGCTAACGGGGTCACTTTGTGGATTTAACCAGGGATGAATCAGTCTCCAAGTCTCCCCACGCACACGAGCATCCCTGCTCGTTAGGGTAGGAATGTAGAAAACATCATTAGAGGCTCTGGTATGGGGCACAGGCAGCACCCGTACCACCAGGCCACCACATTCTCCCCTAACCTTGTGTCACCCAGGCAGGAAGAGGTGGGAGGGTGGAGGAAGGCCAGAGGGTGATGCAGGCAGCAGATATCGCTGCCTTTGAAACCATTCTAGTTTGCACTCTGCTGTATGCTGCACCTTGTCTGCTGGCTGCAGTGCACTCACACTGACTTTTAATTAGCAGCTGGCAGCTCCGATCGCTCTGCTCTTGGGTTTTCCTTGGATGTAGTGGAGAGATCATTAAAGCTCTGTGCTTAAGCACTTGCTGTTGTCCACTCAATTGTAAGGAAGTGGGAAATTACAGCTGTGCCAGAAGGATTTTTTTTTAGCAAAATATAAAAAACAGCAAGCAAGCTACATAAGGCACTAAAATATCCCCCAGTCCCACTTACATACACAGTTTTACATATAAATTGATGTTTAATTCAGCAAATAAATAAAACCTTACCCAGCGCAATCCATAAACTTAATTGGGGCAAAAATATCTCATGCAGCTTAGCAGTTCCTCTTCCCAACAATTAAAAAGCACACCAGGCAACTTAAATGCCACGACGCGTTCACGGTACTTTGTCATCCACAAAAAGTTCTGTGCAGCAGCAGGTGATTTGTTGTCAGCACCCAAACTTCCCCAGTGGCTGCTCCTCCTTACCTTAGCCCTCCGGGTGCACACACCAACATCTACAACCCCCAGGACAGCAGGGGAATTGTGTGTGCTCTGTCCCAGGGTACCACACCGTTAGCAGGAGTCCCCCAGAATTTACAGGGGCACTTGTACCACACTGGTAGCCCTGTCACCAGGAGGAAATTGTCTACATATTTGTTCTTCCCACCACAGTGTTCATGCGCTCGCTATTGAGAGCTACCGAGCCCTGCAGAGCAGCAGAGAGCAGGGCCCCTTGGAGCTAGCACAGCTGCTTGGCTCTGCACTGGGGACAAGCTATAGCTATCTGTGCCATCAACAGCTCCAAAATACAGACGTGCCTTTCTGGGAGCCCACGTTTATTTCAGAAGCAGCTCTGATATTGAGAATTGTAGTGAACAACTTTCACAACCACAGAGCAAACGACCACAAGCGACAAGAGCAAACCTGCTCACTTAGACATGGGGCGTTGCAGGTGGCAGGCTGAAGTGAGAGCAACGCACTTGCATAAAAGTATCCTATAAGATATTTTCAAATTATTATGGCACCAGGGGTTTAGGGCCAATCCCTCCCCTATCCCACATTCCCCTCCTATGGCCACGTTTAATCATTTTACACCTGTTGTAGAATTTGAGTAAAGACTATCACCTACAAATTTTGTAAAACGGAGCTTTGTCATCATTTACTATTTTTTTCCAGAATGCCTAAGTTCAAGAATCAGCAAAACTGAGCACCACTGCCAGCTGAAAGCAATATCCATGATGCTGTATTCCGTTAACTCTCTCAGTGTCGTCTGAAGCCAAAGCAGATTTAGAGGTGTAAGCATTTCTTAATTTACTTCTATAGTTACCAAATATTTTTGCAAGAAAAAAAAAAAAGGATCAGCAATGTTCAATCTTGGAGAATATCAGAGTGAAGTAAATGAAAAGAAGCTAGTCAATGGAAGGGCTCTAATGGAGCAGTGGTCTTGAGACAGACGTGCCTTCACATCATGGGAAAGTTGGAATAAATCAGCCAAACAGCATCGACTCCTTCAATATAGACTGAAATTTTACACTTCTAAATACTAACTGTGTGTTTGAATAATTATATGTATTTCTTACTTACCTGTCAGAATAATAAGCCAGACCTAAAGGAAAGGCTAGAGGAGGGTGAGGGAAACAACAACTGCACCAAACCCAGGTCTAGTAAAGATCATATAAAGGGACTCTGTCTGATGCGAAGAGTGGAATGTGTGCACCAGTGACAAGTATTTATTTAGTTAATTTCACAGCACTTAACTTGTTTATATATCGTCAGTCTCATCACATATGCTGCATTTTACTGGTGTTCCAAAGACAAAAATAAATGGCCCACCAGCTGCTGCTTTCTCAAGGTTGTGGTTTACTTGGGTGTAAACAGTTAGAGCTGAGTGATTCAAACACTGCTACACTAGGTGGGTTCAGGAGGAGATCTGAGGAACTGTCATGGCAAACAAGTGACACCTGCAGTGCCAAGCCCTTCCTAATGGTGATATTTTACTGGGAAAAAGAAATCCTCTTTCCATGTGGGACATGTACAAGCTCTACCGCTAGCTGCATTCCACTTCAAATATTAGTTGGGGGTGGCGGGGCTGGTTACAGCTGGAGTACATCATAAAGCAGAAAGTTATTAAAATTCATGGCAGCAAGACAGTGTGTTGATCTGACAAAAACGCAGCTCTATGTTTAATATTTCTAATTAAAAAAAAATAGTGCAATCCACTTTTGTTGTCTTCACCTCCGTCTAAAGCAGTCTGGGTTTTCACAATACTTTGGCAAGAAACCACAGCTCTGCATTTCAAACACATAAAACCCAGCAGCGTAACTGCAACAAAATCCTTAAGCACTAATCACATGGGCCTCTCTAGGAATGGCTCCATATGTCCTCAAGAGGATCACAGAAGCAATAGGGCTCAATCCCAATTCCACATTACCCTTCAACCACCTCCATCTAACCGCCACAAACTAGCAGGCTAGTAAAATTCCTCCTCAAAGAAAATGAAGATAGCAAATGAGGTGTAGCATTTGAAGTTTCATGCTAAAAAAAAAAAAACAGTTCTCCCAATCTTTAAGACTCGTGCTCGCATTAGGATTGGAAAGTCTGAAATAGATACTTGCAGAAAGTTTTATACTGTCTGTGTGCTTTAATGTGCTGCAAAAGAATGAAAGCTCTAATGTCAATTATAGTTTTTGGAGTGAAGGATATATTTCTAGCTACAGCAATTGCTGCTCTAAGAAGAGAGAAGCAATCCATATATTGATAAGGCTTAGGGCAGTGTAAAGAATATGTCAAGAGTGAAATCAAGCCATCAGCAGACTCTAAGTGTTCCCTCTCCCCAGAACAAATCCACCCCTTACCTTGCTCATCGCAGTCAGGGCAGGGTCACAGGCTGCATCCAGGTCCTGCACTAGCAGCTGGATGCTGTTGGAGATCACGCTGGAAAAAAATAAAATAAATCAAGCACAAGTTTTAGAGCAGTATTCATACAGTATCAGAACTGTCTTATTTGACATGGAAGGAAGAAAATCCACTAGATCCATTATGCTGTGAATACACAAGACTAAAATTGTACTGAAAAGAACCCTGGAAAATCTGCACGCTGTTCATTAGGGAGCCACACAAGGTGCTTCAGCATAGAGGAGATATTTTTACAGTTAATCTTTTTGTTTTGACACATAAAAGGAGTTGGAGATCAAAGATGTCAGACTGGGCAACCCCCCTGCATCAGAAAGAGGAGAAACCCCCTGAGTACTGATTAGGGCCAGGTGGGAATTCTGCTTAAAATTTAATCTAGCCTTAAAAAAGAATTAATCAGCTATCCAGTCACAGTCAATATTCTACTACTCACAGAAACTTGCGAAGATGACTTTAGGAAGTACATCTATGTGAGTTCAGAGTGTGTCTCCCATTTGGGAAGATCAAGGCAGAAGCCTTATTTACGCTACGTCTAGGACTGCAGCCATCCATTGTTTGAGTTGCTCAAAGACATATACCAGACTAAAGGACAAAGACTTTTTTTTTCTTTTATATTTAAACAGCATAACGTTGCTTAGAGGGATATTTGATCCCTCTATGTAAGGCTCAGAACCCAATGATGTGCCTAAAGGTGTAACTGATCCTAAGGCAACGGTGAAGAAACGCTGTCTGCAGCAGCTCAGACCACCCTCAGGGGCACGTAACCCAGTGCTTGCACTGGAGACAGCTCCTGTTAAAAGCAAGAAGTGAGTGCATTTCACTAAGTATAGTTTTTAAGAACAACCTAACTTTAAATCTGCTGCAGATGCCTGTTTACAGCTTCAGGATTATGTGCATAAAGCCATTTTTACTCCTGCTCTTTCTCATGATGCTACCACAGATAGGAATTCCAGCACCAGTAGGAAATCTGATCAGTGAAATCGGATCCTTCAAACCAGCTTTCCTCCCCATCACCATCTTTGTGAAGTTCTGGGTACTAATCTAGAATTCACTGTTCAAAATATATATATTTTTAAGTGTCCAGCTCCTCGTGGAGACAGGGTATCACCTGCTCACAACTTCATGGCTAGCACCTGGGTGGTGCCCTTCACTGCAGCCCACTGGCCTCGTCTGTTCCCTTTCCTAGAGCTCTAGCACAGAGACTGGAACAGAAACCTAAATGTAAGGCTGTGCCTTCAGAACAATTTGTTTGTAACGGCAAACTCATCCAAAATTAGTTGGAAAAATTACTACGGGAGATTAAGCAAACATGAGCTTTGAGTTTCATGATCCAAAACTTCCACTGGGATAAAAAACACCTGTGGCTATTTCTGCTGGTGCCTCTGCTGGGCACCGCAGGGTTTACTCCTTTGGGGGATTCCACCAGCTCAGGCAATGCCAAGAGAGGCAGACTGAAATAACTGGTCTCTTGGGCACAGCTGATTCCTGCAGGGCAGCTGCTGTCAGAAGGCTGTAGGAAAGAGTTGTGGTTTAGCACCAAAATGAAACACAACCCACTCCATGGAAGGAAAGTGACTTCATAACTAACCTCCACGTGTCAGGAGTCAGTCTAAAGCTGGGTCGCCAAACTCAGGCTCTTGCCCGAAACCCACAAGATCACAAATGGGGACAGAAACTGATTTGTCTACACTTCAAAATAAACACACCTGCTGCAGAAGGGTAACACCGCAGCAAATGCGTTGCAAATGCAAAACATCATGACATGCCAGCAGAGCTTTGATCCTGGTTATGTTAGAAGCCACTCAAAACCTCTGCCCCAGACAGAATTTAAAAATACTTCAGCAGCAGCTAATGAATCCCCATACAATTCTGGGCAGATACACAGAAATTTGAAGATGAGGAAGCAGAGGCCACAAGCAATCTGTTGGGGCTCTAACAGAGAGCCCAGTGAGCTCAGGATTTCGGGGGGCTCTGGACACTATCCATAACCTCAAAACAGATCAAAGGGGGTGAGGTGGGGAAGAAGCATGGATTTCTGGGTTTAAACAACCATAATTTTCCTTCTGTTGAGCTTCAAGAAGAGCGCAAAGAAAACACTTAACCTCCACAGCAGTAAAACCCTCCCAGTCAATTATTTTAAAGGTGTTCATGGTAGCTCTGCACTCTGTGTGAGGAAAGAAACGCTTCCCAGGGTATGTAATCAGCAACGTTTTATCATTTGCTTTATGATCCTGCCTAACAGGACATCAAATCCCAGAAGAAACAACTTGTTTGATGTTAAATGAGCAAATGCCAAAGAGAGTTTTATAGCTATGACTTAAACTGACAGGAGACTGAAAAAGTGCTCTATGCTGGAACAGACTGAAAGTCAATTAAAAAGTCTTTTGTTACAAAATACATCAGGCCTGATGGTTTGCCAGGTTTGGACATCTTTAAAGTTAAACGCGAGCTATACAATAAAAGTTTCCAAAACACATGGTATTAGCTATCCACGACCGACCATCTTGAGGCAGCCACTGTGGAAACTGAGCAGTGACACAAGATAGCACAGCAACCCAAGCTTTCAGTCAGGGATTCACCCTTAAAAAGGTCTGAAAAATATCTAAAAGAAGGGGAATCTCTGCAGCCTGGGATGGAGCCCAAGCCCATGTGAAAAATACGGATGGAGATTCAGTGGGATCCTGCCCACTGGAGCAAGACAGGAGGTATCACAGGAAGGAAGTCTGAAAAAAAAAAAATCTTGCTGCTATATGGGCTGAATCTTAGCTTTAGGGAGAACAGGAGTTGGTAATACAGATTATTTTCCCATCTTTGCCAAGGCTTTTTGTCTGGCATGAGGCAAAACAATTATTTTTTGCCCCAATTTCCTTCTCTCAAAAATATTCTATACGTTCGCTAGTGGTGGAGAGGAGATGATGTTAGAGGGGAATATTTTTAGCATCACTACATAAAAAGTTATTTTAATGAATGATAATCTTCTCTCAATTATAATCCCCAAATATAAGATTGGATCAGTCTTTTATGACATCTGAAATGGGGTTTGATCATACTGACAAGGCTGCTGATTAACAGTGGGAAGTTAGAGCAGGAAGGAATGTACTGAAATAGCTTCCTTTCTTGAAATGTAACAGCCACCTCGCAGAGCTGCCAAGATGCAAATGATGTTTCAAATGGAAACTCACTATTTCCTTTCCTCTTTCCAGTGCTCTTGTTCCTTTGGCTAGAACGGTGGGGAACAACTACATCTGAAGTCTGTACTACTGCTGCTCCTGGACCAGCCAAGGAAGAACCATTCCTTCACCAGGGAAACGCCTTTACCTAGGCTGCATATCTGGGTGGGTCCTACTGCTGGCTGGGATTTTGTGGCTGTATTACTCCAGCACCATCTGGCTGACAAACTAGGATGTTTGATATATTGTGGGAGGATGCATCTGCTGAACATACATGCTGAAAGTGTCTGTCTCTCCCGTCAGGTTGATCCTCTCCACTAGACTCGCATCCACTTTTTCTTTGAGTTTCTCTTCCAACTGTTAGGAAACAAAAAAGCCAACAGAAAGGTCAGATTTCTTACTTGACACAACCATTTTTGAGAACTTACGTCCTGGAAAACTCAGCTTCTTAAAAACTAAGCTGTGCTCAGACTGCATCCACAACTCGGCCAGTGAACAACGGAACTCTCTCCTTGCTGGACCCCCTAGACACTGATCTGCCAGGATGGCCTACGGTGGCAGTCAAAGAAGTAAACCTCCAACATCATAAACAGAACTGTAGCATGACATGCTAATGTACCAGCTTAACACCGTGGCACCTGTCCCGCTAATAAAGCTGTAGTCCAACACCCTGGCTGTGCCCAACCTGCAGAGAGGCAGGATTGCCAGTTCTCGTGGTGAGAGGCCTCGATACAGCCAAACATCACAGCTCATCTACTATCTGTGGCATTTTGAAAGCAACTGAATGTGAGGAGCACTGTGGCTGCAAAGCGTATCAGCATAAATACCTTCTCTCCTCATTCCACCTTGCCCCAATATTTCAGGTGAGCATTTTCCCAAACCTACTCTAGAATTACTGTTTTTCTTGTTCTTATAAAACAGAAATTATGAACCACGAGCAAATCCTTTTTTCCTCTCAATCCCATCAAAACAAACTATGTAGCAAGCATCGAAGGAGAGCATCCAAAACTGTGGCTACAGAGTAAGATTAAAAACATACGACTTCTCTCAGGTAGAAACAGCAAAATCAATATTTTTCTCTATGAAATACTGATTACTGAGCTCTACATTTTTGAATCTATGGGAGCAGACACTACTATGCATATTTTAGTACTTTGATTCCTGCAGTCTCCATAGCACCCTAGCCTAGTCTAGAGAGAATAGCACAGCATCTCATGACAGCAGAGGGACTGCTGTTGGGTGTCATCTGAGAGGTGCTGTAGAGGAAAGCTCACCTGCTGGGTGGTCGCCAGGCAGTACTCTGCTGTACTAAGGATGCTGCAAATGAGGCAGAGTTCTTCTAAAGTAAACTTCGCCACTTCAGAGCCTTCCTTTTCTTTCAGCAAACTAGTGATGGTGAGCCCGCTACTGCTGCTAGTTGTCCTGGAAGAAAGAAAACCTGTAAGGCTTTCAGGAGTACACAGACACACAAACTGCCAAAAGACTCCTAGATTTCAAAGCCACAAGAGGTTCTTAAGACCACCAAGTCCAATGCCTTGTGCAACCGAAGGGCAGTGATGTGTAACCAAATTTGCATCAAACATGTAATTACTATTTTGGTTAGGAAATATCTTATAGGAAGGACAAATGGAACTTGATATTAAGTCTTCATGCAAAAGGACGATTCACTCGTTCACAACATGTCAGGTTAAGATGCCAGCTGAGTACACCTTTCTCCAGCTAACTTCACCTTCACTGTCAGTTACTCAAAATCTAATTAAAGATTACATGAAAATCTCAGTAACTATCGAGCAACTTGTCATATTTATCTCCTCAATACCAAACAGATGTCAAGATGCATTTGAAACTTTGGTAACCCATTTTAAAAACTGATGATATCAACAGAGAAAATCATAGAGGATGCGGCTTCTTTCCACTGTGCTCCAGTGATTAACTGCTGTGTATCAACAGAGAAAGAATTAGAACAGTTTAGAGTCAGGAAATTCCCTACCTCTCAACTCTTCATAATCCAAATCCATTAAAAAAATAGGACAGTGATATTTATCTTGGACAGCAAAAATGGAGCACACAAAAAAAAACATGTACAAAGAATGCAACTGAGGTCTGATGGAGAATGCACATAAAATTTTATCTTTCCACTTCTCTGGATGCAACCCTCTCCCCTTCCATCTGTGAAAGATTTTACTGGCTTCAGAAACTCATTCTGCTGCTCCTAGGTTTACAAGGAAAACAAACTGAAGATGGCAAATAGCATAACAAAATTGTCTGTAGTTAAGTTGGCTATATCTCAAAAACTTTAACTTGTGCACTCACATTGGTGTAAACCTCTAATGACTTATATTTTCACTGTGTTTCCACCTACAAGTTTTATTTATGCATATATAAAATTTTACAGAGCAGAAAGTTACAGGTAGGCACTCCAGCATCACACAAATAAACCACATTCATTATAAGTTATATCTATGCATAATGTTGAGCTCATATCGCTAGGGAGCTAAGAATCAAAGTGTGAACTTTTTCCCAAGCAGCAGGGTACGGGCAATATTGAAAGACAGATCTTTCTGACAAGACTTGGGCTGGCATTTCAAAAGGAACTTCAAGAAACAGTAACTCTGACTGTTAATCAAAGCCAAATATGAATTTAGCTTCCAGGGACCCTTAAAAAAATAAAAATAAAAAAAGCCATGACAGACCATTTGGTCTCTTGCTGTTTCTCATAACAACAAACTGAACATTTGAGAAAATTGTGAAGTAAATGTAGTCACACTGCTGCTCTGTGCTTTCTTTCACAGAGAAAAATAAGTGTTAACAAGTATGTATTTATTAATTATCTTCACGAAGCATCTGCTCCTCGCTGGAATGTCTCACCAGACTGTGCTGAAGCATTTGGGAAGCTAAACTCACTTGGGCAGGTTTCCAGACAGAATTTTCCAGGCGTATTCCCGAAGGTACTTCTGGAATATGGTGGTCAGGGCTATCATGGGTTCGCCTGTGCTGAGCTGGGAGCACTGCACCATGCACTTCTTGTAGTAAACAAAGAGGTCGGCACAGCTGGGCAGGACGGCTCCTCCTTCATCCACGTTGGGCTTGGGAGGACCTTGAGCCTTGAAGTCAGCCACAAACCTGTCGATCAGCTCGCTGAGATTTCTGCGGCAGGGAAACAACGGGAAGATATTTTAGTATGTTGGGGGAGGAAATGGATGGAAGAGAGAGTTATGCCTAAAACCAGATGCCGTCTTGTGACACCAATAAACACGTTTTAGCGGTTTGATGTTCCAGCCCCTTCTCATCCCCACCCTCCCAGCACAAACCTGGTGCAGTAATGAAGACTGGGTGGATGAGTAACGACCCTTTGTACTCAGAGCTTTAGTGGCAGCTTCAATCTGTTCTCCAGTCACATAGAAAAGCTCGCAAGTGTGCCAGGGCTGGGTTCAGCACATTTGATGCACACTCCAGTTTCATTCCTGGCACCGGCAGAAGGAACAGTCGGACTGCCCATATCAGCAGCCTTGGGGATTGTGGCTTTCAAGGGGATGTGCTCAGAATGGTGTGCCACTGCCACTGCTGGGTCTCATTTGGAAACCACCTGGTTTGGCACAACGTGACACATCCTTTATAGCAGTTTTATTTAGCACGAGCACAAAGTGCACTTCCTACTTAAACTCTTTTTTAAAGCCCAAAAAGCCCCACTATTGTCTCCAGTGATTCATTATAACCTGGTCCTTACTCAAATATTTTGGTCTTTATACAACAATAAACTTCGCTCCACTGTTTCATCTTGACAAAAAGGCTTTTTTAGCATGGCAGAGGGCCAGAGCATACACAGAACCAAAAGAAACTCTCTGATCTTGGGGAGTTCCGCTGGTCCTATTCCTCCAGAGGCTGCACATCTCTGTCTCTGGAATACATAGATGTTTCAGATGACAAAATACCACTCCACTGACCAACACGAGCTGTGAAGCTCACATATTTTATACTCCCGTTTCCACTAGTCTTGGTTCTGCTTCTTCCAGCTCTCCCTTTCCCATGGCACAACCAGAACACTTACTGCTGAGTCACTAAAGCTTCTGGCTATGCTGTGCATGATCCAAATTAAAAAAAAAAATAGCCTGTCAAAGAGATTTAACTTAAAATATTCTCCCAATATTAGGCAAATTCACAAAGTACCTAGCAGAGCACAGGAGTCCATGCAAAGGGACTGCATTAAGGCCTCCTGGGATGGGTACAGCCTTACAGCACATTCTTGCTTATTTCTGCCATGGAAAGGGGAAAGAAACACCACCAAAAAAAACTTTTCCCCACTTTCTATCCTTTCTTTCTATTCGTCTTGTGAAAGAGACAAAAAAATTCCCATCCCATACCAGCAAACCCCACAACACTGCACAAGAGGAAGAGGTGACGTGGCTCCTCTCCAATAAACCTACAGACTGCTGCACCACGGATAATCTGCCTGGGCCCAACTGATCTACAGAGCTGTGCTTGTAATGCCTGGGCTTTAAACTGCAAAGCAAAGCTCTTAGGCTTAAACTCAGCTCCTCGAGTAGCCTCTTTCTTGATGCTTGTCACTTTCTGCTTCGAGTACTTTATGCAGCTCTGATTCTACAAACGCAGTTCCTCGGCTTGGTTACAAGAACTGTAAAAACATCAGGCTTCTCAACCGATGTGATAAATCTCTACGCTGGCATGAGCGATCGAACGCTGAGCTGCAGCATCGATTGGATTCGACCGCAGCGGAGCAAAGCCCACCTCCCCCCTGGGCTGTACAGCAGCCAAACGGACGGCTGCTGCAGGAGGGCTCCCACGTGCTACGAGCTGCAGCATTCCTCAGGTTCTCCAGCAAAGCAGACGTGGCTTGCTGCTGTCACAAGTCCCGCTGAATTAAACAGCTGCATTTCTACCTCTGCATCTGTGCTTTGCTCCATCTGTGCGAAGTGGAGCTTTCTCAGCAGTCACCAGCCACTTTTTTTTTTCCATATTCTCAAGGCACAGTTAGGAATGTCGAAGGGTTTTGTTTCTTTATGCTTCCTCCACATGTTCTCCTCTGCTCCAAGGTGAAGTGAAACCTGTCTGCGTTGCCCTGGTTCCCCAAGGTCTTGTCAACTGAGGTGCGTGAGGAAACGCAGCTGTCCAAAATAGCTGGGAGAGGGGGGCTGCAACTTTGTGCTCGTTCTGATCCTAACCTGGCCAAACTGCCTCTCAGAGACCGGCCAAGAGGACTGCACTTGTTTTAGCACGAGATGGACACAAGCAAAGCATCAGGATATTGTTTACTAAGGCAACTAATACACTATTAATACACACCTCAGTTGACGTCAACAAAACTCTCATTAGTTTCAGTTGGCCCAAACACAAGATGAAGGCTAACGCCCTTTTATGAACGTGTTGGTTATACAATGGGAGCCCAAAGAATTTGGCAGAAAAATTTGCAAAAGAGGACAACCATGAAGAAGGCAGGAGAGCTACAGAAAGTGAACATTTTCTGCACATAGGCTCTGCAAAAAAGCTCAAAGCAAATTCTCAGAAGCATCACATCTGTGCTACCAAACAGTAGCATATTTACTGGGAGCAAGACCTGTCCTAATCTAACCAAAAGGAAATGTGAAATTAAAATCGCAATTCTATTCTGGTTCTCAAATCCTTTTATTCCTATTATTCCTCTTTCCTTTCACTCAGTCTATTCAGTGATTTTTCTGCATCTCTGGCAATCACAAGAGGAATTAGGCAGCTCCTCAGAAACCAGCACGAGAGAAAATCAGTGCTTGGTCAGTCAGTCTGTTCAGCGGTGTGAATGGCACTGAGCTCTCTGGCTTGTTTGCAGGAGAGTTTCCACTGACTGAGTATTTTGGAAGTCCCTCTGCTCACGCGGCTGCAAACACCCACTGCAAAGCGTCAGTTTGCTGAACAATCTGAAGGACGCAGGCCTTTTAGCACACTTAACCACAGCTCTGCATACTCTCAGCACTGCAGACCCAACTATTGCTCCTGCAGAACCTGCTCAGCTCACACATGTACACTTCTGTGGCTCTGACAGACCACAAAGAAGAGCTGAAGACACATATCCCAAAGGGAAAGAGAAATGAAATATGCTTCGCTGTTAAGAAACCTGATATTTACACTGCAGTTAACAGTGGAGAACAGCATCTTTAAAGTCTTTCTTTCAGGTATCTCCTCTTAAATTGCTGCAGATTTTGGCACTGTGCTTCTTTAAACGGGTATGGAAACAATTTTTCAGGAGAAAAGGACCAGGCTGGTTTCTGCCCCAAACTTAACACAACGGGGAACGGAGCTGCCCCGCTTCTCTCTCTGTTCAAAGCCCAAGCACACAATTATCTAAGCAACTCCTCGTTTTCAGACATCAGTAACAGATTCCTCAAAAGTTCAATCAAAGGGGGAAGAAGAGTGAAAATCAAAGAAAAGCAATTTTTGGCAGACAGGGCAGCGTGGGGAATACTGTGGCAGTTCTTCTTTGAACTCCTTGCAGCCTGTGGCTATAAAGCTAATATAAAACATCTCGGAACTGTAAAAGAGAAGGAAAAAAATGCAACTGAAACGAGTAGGAGCACAGTGGGGTAGAATTACCAAAACGGGGATTAAAATGGCCCCCAGTGAGATGGGAAGAAGTATTCAAACAAGTTAGTGCTCAGCTCACTGAGGTGGGGGGAGGCTAGGGAATCTGCTTCCCTTTCTTTTACTGCACAGCGAAACCTACCCTTGGCGTGACAAACCATTGCGCAAGGTTTTATTTACTTACTTACTTTCAGGCATAAAAGATTTCAGGGAAACCTTTTTCAAGATGGATATCTGGGAGTTTGGACAAAATCAGGACACTCCAACTTTGACTTATAATCAAAGCTGATGTGGCAGTCCATGGAAGACAGAAGGGCAGCATAAGATAGCTGAGGGACATAAGGCAGATGCTTGTTTTTCCTTTCTGGCCACTAACCTGGACTAAAAGACTGCAGCCAACATTTTTTCAACCATCTCCTCTCCCAGCTGACAACTGCTGTTGTCAGAGTTGCTTTTTAAAAACCTGATGTGAATCAAGGTGCACAAACAACATGGGTGAGAGCTGTAAAAACTTCCCAGAGTTCTAAGCTGAAAGCTCGCCTCATCCAAGTTATTTTGCTGTAACTCAAAGAGGAAGATGAAGAAGGGTTCTAGGGATTAAAACCCCCGAACAAAGCCTGACAAAGTCCCAATCTGTGACCGATGATAATGTTATCTTACTGCCAGCTCATCTACAGCAGCTTTCATCTGAGGATCTCAAGTAACTTGCTTCTATAAAGCAAATCTTGAAACTCCTCTGCCATGAAGCCACTTGTGTATTTTACAGAAAAAGCAAACCTACTATTTGTGGAAGACATGAGACGAGAGAAGGGCTTATGTCTGCAGTGAGAATTGCAGAGGCAACAGAAGCAATTTCAGAAACACTAAGCCTCTTCCGCAGAAAGGCAGCAGGCATCATTCCTACAGGCTTCTGCAATTACAGATGAAACCAACATCCACAACCCTCTGAATGCTCGTTTTTGCCTAAGCAAAGGCCTTACTCATTCTAACTTTCTTCAACCGTGAGTGCTGCTCGTAATGAAATCAGAAATCAAATTTTCAATAAATTTCATTTTCTGCAGACAGAACCTCCTACAATGCAACAGTAATGCACGGCCAAAAGCAAAACTAAAAGAGCATGGTGGTTACTCACTTGTCCTGGGACTCAATATACACATAAAGGTGAGGCTCAAAGCACTTGGAAACAATGCCATGGAAAGGATTGTCAGGGGCCTTTGGCTTCTTTGGCTGTAAGAAAGCATTGAGTGTTAGTTTCCAACTTGCTCTGTAAGAGCTGAAGAAATTGTAATGCAACAGCACGGAGGATCTAAGCTCTCAGAAATGCTACAACACTAAAATTTGTTGTCAAATAATCAAAGGCATATAACCAACAGTATGTACAAGGTCAGCGTGTCCCCATCTTCCCTTGCTTTTACAGAGCTGTCAGTATTCCAGAGAATTATCTTTTCACTTTTAAAATACTATTATCCTTCAAGGGAAGGCTGCTCCATACTAACAGATTTCACCAGAAAAAAATGTTAATGCAGTAGTAACAGGACTTCCCTGGTCACCTCTGAAACGAAATGCAGCAGTTACTTGGAAGTAACATTGAAAACCCCTACATTTTGGAACATTAAGGATAACAGCTTGAAGCTATGGACTTCATCTGGATGACTTTTATTTAGATAAACAGAGCGTAATTACTGGAGCTGGAATTATACAGGCAACATTACAAGACTGCTTTCACTGTAAAACATGTTTCTGGGGATGCAAAGACTTCTATTTTAAAAATCACAGTTAGTGTTAAGCACAGACGCCGTTTGGGAGTCATCCAGTTTACTCTCGCTTCAGTTCAGTACTGTACTCTGCAAAGTGGCCAAGCACATCTCACTGAAGCCACTGGGACTATTCATATGCTTAAATATGTGCATGTTTAACTATCAAGCTGGACAGGCTCTTTAAACTTGTCTTTGCCCTACAGCTAGATTTCATTTTATTTTTGAAATAATTTTCCTTGTTGCTGGCTGGCAAGCTGACAACTTTTCACTGCCTGCAGAGAGCTCTGGAATGGAATTCTTGCCTCTCTCCACAAAAAGCCAGGATCAGCTCCTAGCCAATGAAGATACAAATTTTTCCAGTTGATTTTTTTTTTTTAAAGCATAAAAAAGCAAAACAAGAGAGCCTAAAGGACGTTCTCTCCTACATAACAGAGATGATGGCACTAAGTCATCTGCAGAAATTGCTAGGCAAGTATTTCTCGGAAATAATTAAGGCTCAGAGACGCGATGAATACGAACATATGGCTGCAAACTTAAAGTGAGTGAACAGTTTTATGGAGACCAGACCACCTCTATGAGACTGGCTTCATTAACCTTTTCACTAACAGCAGGGCTGGAGAATGTAAGTTTTTTACAGCCTTGGGAGAGCGCCACTGCCCAGCATCCTCTACCCCAGCCGCTTTGCCAGTGCCTGCCCGTTCCTGCCGGATGCACACACTCATCAGAGCTGGGAGGAAAACAATAGGTGGTAATTACAGAAGCCTTCCAGTCGCCAAGGCTCCACAATGGCAGCGCCAGCACAAGGTTGCAGATTCATCATGTTTACGATTTACCAAGCTGGAAGAGCTGAATCCTAAGGCATAACTGTTTTTTTGCGTGCGTGCGCCTCTGCATCATGCTGCTCCCAGCATGTCTGGTGGAGAGAATACTAAATCTTTTAACAGTAGCAGCGAAGCTGTATTTCTGAGTGTGCAATCCTGTCCAAAAGCTGCAGATGTTTAAGCTATTTCCTCCTTGAGTTTGATGGAAATAATAAAAGGTTACTGTTGTCACAGTAAGGAGGTCTGCAGCTGGCCCAGTTTCCTTTCATTACTATCCAAAGTAAACAGATTAAACCTAACTGCTAGGATCACTAAAAGAGGTTCTTTTTAATATGGGTTCCTCCCCCCTCACTCTTAGGCTCCCTCTTACATTCACAAGTGTCTTGAATTCTCAGAACTAGTGTCTTGAAGGAGCTCTACCGCTCAACCCTTCATCTTCAACCCTTCCCTTCTCTTCTCCATCTGGTGACAGCAGAAAATGAGACCTTCAGCATGAACTCGCTGGCACTAACCAATTCTTGGCATTTTGAAACAGAACTTCTGGGGCCTGTGGTGTCATGCAGGTGCTTCTGGCCAGGGCAAAGCGTTCCACCGTTCACTAAAACCAGCCCTAAACCACCTAAAAAGGCTTTGTGATTTATCTCTTCGCTTGCATTCTGGCACTACTGCTTTCTCCCAGGATGTCCCCTCATCTCAATGCTGCACATCAGAGCCAACCTTCCTTCAGCCACTGCAGAGAGCAGAAAGAAAGCTCTTCACAAAAAAAAAAATACATCACACATGTCTCCCTGAGCTCCCAGCCTCATTCTTCTAGATCACTGATAAAGTCTGGCCAGTACCAGCTCTCCACACTGCATTTTAATGGAAAAAAAAAAAAAAATCAAAACTTTGCTTTATCATTCTGCTTCAGGACTTGTGTGTGGTGAGGGCAGAGGGCTGCCATCCGGAGGGGATGCACTGCACCCAGCTGTGCTGATGGAAAGCTACCAGCCCACAAATTACTTTGGGGCATGGATCTGAGTAGGTCCTAGGGCCCCAGCCACGTATCAGGCTACCACCTGTAAACAGCCCCTGAACTCACTGAGCGTGGGGAGGGTACCTAACCCAAGCAACATATAATTGAACGCTTAGAAAATATCTGTCTGGTGAGTAAAAAATAGAGGGCTTGCAGACTTTGATACCTGGTGCCAATTAAAACAAAAGCGCTTACTATTCACTCCTTTATTGTTTGCAGAGGGCTTCTGAAACCCAGTGCTTTTACAAGCGGTTAGGTGTTGCCAGCAACACAGAGGTAATGGATGAAAAACACTACAGATATAAAAATCCCAGCAGTAATATATTTGGAGTGAAAACCTAAAACTGACACTTGAAAGTTCAATGAGCTGTCTGATGACTCCAGACTTAGTCTGCTTGGCTGACAAGGCAAAATATGAATTGCAACTCCTTGTAGTGGGAGCTCCTCCTGGGATCTGAAAACCCAACCGTGCTAGTTCATCTTTCTTTGACAGAAGTCCTCTAGTTACATTTGAGCTGTTGCTGCATGGGCTAGAACTGAGTCCTGCTTGCTCTCATGTGACTGGATTGTCTCTGCACCATTAACTGAAATAAAGATTGCTTTGGTTTCAGTGAAGCGAACCACAGCAAACCGGAGTCATACTGGGAGCTTGTATGCTGCACAGAGAAACAAAACTGTGCTAAATGAATTGCTGCGAAAACAAACCCTTCAAACCAATGTCACAGGAAAAGATTAGGTGCCACCAGAGATTTTGACACAGAGACTGCCTCACTGACAACAGGAGAGCTTCAGAAACTTACTTTTTCTGCATCACTTTTTTCAATTACAATCTCATCTGTCTCTGTCCCAGCTTCATCCTCGAGAAATGGGTTGGTAGAGGGAGGAGGCACGTCTGGCTTTTTCTGTGTAAAGGTTAAAGAAAAGGAAACTCCTTAGAGAACAGTCTGGTTTGACCCACAGTCCACACAGCTGCATTCATGTTTTGCTTTACTAAGCCCTTCAAAGCGCTGTACAGCAGTTTGTCTTCTCCAAGCACAGCAGTGACTGCAGACTTCAGTGTTTCACCTGTAAAGCCTACTCCTCTTGCACCTACGCTCACTGAACTCTGCCTCAGTTATCCCTGGAAAGGGCATTTGAAATGTGGAATTTCCATTCTCTCAAATCCCATGCTGCAAAACACGTGGTCTCCACCAGGAAGACCCATCAGGGCTCCCTGCTGGTTCAGCAGCTCTCAAGTGCACAGCCCAGAAGGGTACAGAAGGCTCAAGCAGAGCTCAGAGCGGTTCCTCCAGTGGCATATTTCTTTGTATTTTCTTAGAGAGCCTTGTGTCATCAGGAAGCTTAGATGAGATGGCTCCTGAGCTCTGACCATCTTTCTCTCTCTCCCAGAAAGGGATTTCTGCTCAGATTTTATTTAACTTGCAGGTAAAAGCATCTGAATTTACAATTCTAGCTGATGCCTTTCTCCTATGCAAAGAGAGGCACACAGGTGTCAGGACGCTGAGCTCTAGCTCAGGAGGCACTGCTGTGACTGGCTCCTAAATCCTTTGAAAACACAACACGTAACTGCAGGACTGGTGACACAACCTCTGACAGGAGGCTCCAAAACTCCGCTGCTGCTGCAGTAAATCCTACGTTATTGCTCCCATGACACTGCTCGTCCCCACTGTGTACTCACTAGATAGCCGTTTAAAATTATGGGCTTCATTTTGTGTTTAAAACAGGTCAGATGACAACATCTCGAGTGTCATAGCCTCTAGGTACATCACATAGACAGAAGGGGAAACTTTTCTCTTTTTCAAGCTGCACTCTCCCCTTCTGTCTATTTCATTTGTAACAGATTCTGTACCTACCTTTTTCCACTGGGATAAGAACCCAGTGAAGTCAATTTAATTAAAGCTGCAAACTTCGTATGAAATTTGTCAGAAAAACAAAGCCAATATTCTTCAGAGATCTAAATTCAGCCAGGAAGAAATCCTTACAGGACTTCCCTTTTTAATTAGCAGCACCTGCTGATCCACCGCAAATTACAAACAGGCCCAGCAGGCTTGCCTCATAAACTGAATTATCACATCCAAGCAGGCTTTGAGACACCAGCTGGCCAGAGCTGCGAACCTCAAACCAGTGGCTCCTGAGCCACATGTGGGCTCTGCTCCCAGGGCACTTGGCTGGTAGAGCACTTAGATGAGATTTCAGGCATGAAAAGCAGAGAGATGACCCCAGAGATATTCACCGAGGTGTTTCTCTTGGCTCTGCCTTTACAGCCTACCAGACAAGATGCAGAAAAGTGGAAACTATCGACACCTCTGCAAGAAAAATTAACCCAATGTGAGATTGGAAGTTGTTACCATGGGGTAAACGTGTGGTACCTAGAAATGAACTGAGGAGACAACTTTCAGTTATAATGTGTCATCAATATGCAGAGAACAAATATTATAATGCAGTCACCGTGCCGTAATTACTCTGTGGTTCTCCATACCAACGTGGCTTCAGCTGCAAACACCAGCGTCCAGGAAAACCAAAGAAGTACACAGTCAGCGTAGTTTCCTTCTTGGGAGCCCTACACCATCCCCTCTACCATAACTCCAAGATCAGGAATCACTTTCTCAACTACAACCCACTGAATACAGTCACAATAACGTTCCACCTGCCAGTGGATGCTGAAGGTGAGACCTTTTGCAGCTTCCCATTACCATAGCTATGTGTGAGATGGGCTTTTCCCCCCCAGGAAGCTGTAGAAAGGGTTGCTCCTGCTTACCACTGTCCCATCACCTAGAGTGCAACCTGAGAAACGTTTAGCCAGAAGTCCTTCAAAGTTGGTCGTCCTCTGAATTGCAAACAAAAGCAATTTGACCTCAATCTCCTTTGCTCTTGTGCGCATTATCTTTGAGAGCTCAGTCCTGAAAGAGAGAGTGAGAAAATGAGGAAAATAAATGTGGTTTTCTATAAAGAAAAAGATCCAAAACCTAAGAATGAAATTCGTTCTATTACCTAAGGATGCTTTCACCACAAAACAAGCTATTTCCTAAGACGCTCTCTTTAACAACAAAACTGCTTTACAGGATACACTTCAAACATAAGCACATTTGTTAAGAGCTTTGGGTAACAGGACCCTGCCTCCAAACGCCCAGAACACACTGCAGGCAGGAAACTCAGCAGCATCAGATCTTGGGAGGTGCAGTGACTTAAGTAAGGACCCAGAATTCCTGCTGGAACTTTCCTCTGGTCCCCTGGCTCTGGCTTTCAACGAACAGAATTCAGAGCAGTCGCATCAGAATCTGCTCCCACCTTTTTTTCCCCACTTTTTTCTAATATTACTGATTTTTACATATGTACACTGAAAATCCATTTCCATACTGTCTTGCTCTCTCAACAGTACAATTTTAGGGTTACTTCTTGAGTTGTTCACTCTCTACTTGCTTTTAATCACATGCAATTTGTATACATACACATGGAGATTGCCTTTAAAGCCCTACGACTATGTGATCAACCTGGCAAAATACATGCCCAATCTTTTCTTTCAAGGTAGGTGATGCTTTTGGGAAGCACCACAAGTCCCCCCTGCCCCACGCTCACCTTGTGACGTGACAGAACTCCACAGCGATGCGCTCTGTCATGCACCACTCCTGGGGAAACATGCGCCCGTATTTCTCCTCATAGTCCACCAGCTGACGTTTTATCCAAGCATAGCGCCTGTCAATCTTATCCAGCCAGGCGACCTGAGATGGAGAACAGGATCTTTAACAGCAGCAGCTGTTAATACTCAGCCTGACTGCTTAACTGTACCGTTGTAGTTTCACAGAGGAGCTTGGGCTACTGATCACATTTAACCTGCTCACTTTTCATAATCCTGAAGAATGACTGCTAGCATTTGAAAAGTGCCTAAACACACGCTAGAGTGAAAATCCTATCTTGTGAGGATAGAGCAAATTCTGTTGAACTTCTTTTTATTAAGGGTTTGGGGTCTGCAACTATCAGAATATGTTTTTCAGTGCTTTACAGGGCAGAAAATATTTATTTGTTACAAGGCTGATCTATGAACTTAAGCTCTAGGAGAGGAGGAAATCATCCTGGCATAAGACAAGATTGCCTCCCAACTCATCAACCAGTCCATATCACACCAACAAGTCACTGCTTCCAAGCCCTCGGGTCAAAGACACTTTACCACAGGAAGCTGTGGAAACGTGAACTTTGCATTTTGCTCTGCAGGACCATTTACAAAATTCAAATGTAGCTCGCAATGCTTCCCTTACATCTTGGTTCTCTTGGAAAAGGACCAGATACTCCGAGAGGTGTTGTTTAATAAATTTCTTGATGATTTCCTGTTTGATTCTGGGATCCAGGACATTTGCGACTAGACACGCATCACGCAGAACGTTGCTGGGTCCACCAGGCCTCTAACAAAATAAACAGGAACAAATGATTTAAGGTTAAATAGCTGAATGGGTGATTGCAAATTGTACTGTATCCAAGTTATCTCAATTTTATCCTTTCCCATTATTCTCCTGGTTTTGATGCTACTCCATTATTACTGAGGCATCTTTCTACTGTTGGATGAAATTGAGCTCCCTCCATTTCACTGGCCAGAAAGTTCTCTCACGGTTCAACAGCCAAGAATCCACCTACTACAGAAGTGCAGCAACCTCCTTTACAGAAAAGAACCGTGGTTCTAGCACTTGAGAAGATTCTTTCATTGCCCTAGATATTCTGAAAAACAGCTGAAGAGAAGCAGCTGATGTGGAACAAGAAAACTCTGCAAAACTGAGGGCCAAATTAATGGGAAAAAAGCAGTCTAGTGATGATCAGCAAGCAACACTTAAGGGAGCATCTGTTGATTTGTATTGATCCATATGATGATGGTAGTGGAAAATACAAAAAATTTAGTAGCATTAAAACTGCTCTTTTGAAGCTGATTTACGTGCACATAGATCTGCCCTTCACCAAGCATCTGCTCCAAGTAGTTTCCTCATTTCTGTACTTTGCTAGTTTCATGAAGAAACCAATAGAGCTGGTGCTTCTTCAGTACTTCTTCTTTGGAAGACAAAACCAGTGTTTTCTTTAGAATAAATTCAAATTCACACCTACCCCCATGTTGTTTGCAAACATTTGGATGCATAATTTGGGGGAAGCACATTTGGTGCCTTAGCCCTAGCCCAGATTTGTATCTGTGCTGAGTAAACAAGAGACAAACTTGGTGGCAGCAGCATGTCAACATGCTTGTCAGACAGCTTGTGCTTTGCTTTCCCTGGATACAACACAGACTTTTTGTGCCCAACAAATAACCACAAACACAGGTGAGGAACACCTGGATTACGTGCCAAGGGTGCAGGGCCCCACTTTGGTCTATAGGGCCACACAGTGCTTGGCGTAATCCTTGACTGGCTCGCAGACCTCACTGCAATAGCTGTGTTTTAGCAACAGGCTGACTTGGAAAGTCACCGTGATGGGGTTCTCACCGATCAGTGCTTTTTCTGTCTGTGCAAATGATCAGTGTAACAGCACTTCTCAGCTAGACTCAAGATGCAGCGTTGACAGAGGAAGGGTGTTATTTCTCTCACACATTCGCTGGAGAGAAACAGTGAGAAATGTGTTCAGCACCCTGCAGCCTGGGAGACTCATTTGCTTTCTAAATTAGCTCCTGAAACAGAGAGATCAAGCCTAGATGTAAAATGAGATAAAAGCCGATGACAATGATGTTGGCTAGTTTTCAGCAACACTTTTCAATGGGAAGAAGAGAGGAAGTAAGAGCTTTACCTTTGTACCTTGAGAAGGAAAGGCTTCCTCAAAGTCAGCCAGGATCTGCTGTCCTAATTCATTTTGCGCTGCCTTCACCCTGATGAGGAGAGAAGAAACAATTTTTGTTCCACTTTCTGCAAATTTTCCTACAAAGTGGACTGAAAGGCTAACAGCTACATAGGGTTCTCTTAAGGGACAAAATAAAAAGTGTGCTAAAGAAAAAACATCCACATTAAGGCCTGTATGTCAGAACTGGGAAAGTATTTCCTCCACGAATGACACTTGGAAGACAGCTCCATCTGCACAGCATCAGCCCCTGAGCTCTACTGGAATGAGTCCTCGATGCTCTCGCACTGCTGCAATTTAGTATTCCAATAATGGCCACTTAATCAGCTGAGAAATCAGCACAGCTCCTTTAATGCCAAGGTGATCAATTTATAGCAAGTCTTTATACTTGTTTCTGTTGATCAGTTTTCAAAAAGTATGCTTTTAACACAAGAGCTTCACAATGTCTCAATCTTCAGAGTGAACCTTTCACAGCTCCAGGTGCACTGACCTATTTTTAAATGCATCCATGTGCATGCCGTTGGCTGTGGTTTTACCCTATAAATCTTCTGTCTTAAGCAGCATAAGAGCAAAGGTATGAGACTGGTGAAAAAGTCCGAACAGATCACGATCTTGCTCCTTATTTAGCTGAGAGAATAAGGCTTCCAATTTCCAGAAATAAAAGTCACTATGGCTTAATTGATACTTCTAGGGAAATGGAAATGCCTACACGTACTAGAAAGAGCCAAAACAAATAGTTAGGCACTTACATCCCTCTGCAGCCCTCACATTCTTCCATCACTTTTTATTATACTGGAAACACTTTAAGGACTAAATTGATTACTCAAAGCAGTGGATTTTTCCACTGAGATTGATATGTTAGAAAGAAGGGCTACGTTTACTTTTGAGAAAGCATTTCAGACTGTGGGAAGAATTTGGGTAGTTTTTTGTTTACGACTCCTCAACTTCATCAAGGAATGATCTGTTTCTTTAATCTTCCCGGTTTAGGTCCATTAGCAGCGGAAATGCTCAGCTCCAAGCTGACCTGACAATGCTGGAGAATGGTCTGGATTCTTTAACGGTGCCAAACGACAAAAATTATGGTCCTTTAAAAGTCATGGCTGAAATATAACTTTGTATCTGTGATTTAACTACAAGTATGACCTGCCTTATCCAGGATTTATCTGGGGGGATTTTGCTTTAAAAGCTTCCTGCCTGCAATGTCAAACTTGATTCTCACTCAAGCTTTCAGCTTCGCAGGATGTTTAGAAATCTTTCACCCTTCCAGGTATAGATCCACAGTTAGAACCTTCGTAACTGTAAAACAAAAGGGATTCACTCATGTGCTGAAATAGATGGAGCAGAGTATTTAAGCGAGGAGGAGGAAGTCAGCCCAGCAACCACAGCTCCAGACGTACAGTAAGCATACTAACCATGGGTTGAAAAGTTTCATCTTTTCAGTGATCTACAAACAAAAAGCCTTTAGTTTTAGGAGTCACATGAATGAACGAGCTTGCATAAGCAACTGGACCCACGAGCTGTGGCACTTCTTGCCTTGCATACAGCAGGGACCTTCCCATTAGACAGCAGCTGCAGCACAAGTACAGTGGGAGCACTGGAAAGAACAGCAGCCAGATTCCTCAAGCCTCAACAAATTTAAGAGAGGCACTGTCAAGCAGTTAAAAGCCCTGTCCACAGGCTTTGTTGTTTTAGGCTTTGATTCAGGAAAGTACTTAAGGGTATCCTTAATGGGGATTCTCATATCCTTAAACTAAGAAACTTGCACAAATGCCTTGCTGAGCTGGGATGTTAAAGTAGTATTTTTTTAAACCTCAGCTGCTTAAAAATCTCTTGAAAGCAAACAAGAAAAATTAGTTTTATTATTATTTTTTTAAAATGTTTTGAGAGATAAGGATGGGGCAGAGAAATCAAACCGGTCAAAGGTTTAGGCATGTGTGAGCAACAACAGGGTGCCTCAGCATCCTCCCAGTAATTATCGCTCTTTATGTAAGCACACAATCCCACACAATTATTTTTTTCCCACCAGCACACGCAGAGAAACAAAAACATTTACGCCGTGTTTTTCCAGGAAGATTGCTTTAGGTGGAGAACACAGGACAGCACTTGCTTCAGCCGCTGGAGCTTCCTGCTCCCCAAGGCTCCAAGCCTTTCTGTAGTTGGGGACAACCTTTCTGCAGTGGGAATGGAAACTGCTGGGGTGAAAGCCTCAACCCCAGGGCGAGCTCCACTCGTGTTCATCGCTGAAGGACCGTCTGTGCGTGTGTTTAACAGAGCATGTGTTCAAATACTTACAAAAAGTGAATTACCCACTGAGGCTCAGCAAGCTCAGGCACTCGCAGCTGGTAACAGATTTAGGATGTCTTCCCAGGCTGGTTTTGTACAGATCTCTTTCCCCGACTGGATCCCTCCCGGCAGCCTGCTGGGGTGCCCAGCAGCCATCCTGGCTCGCCGCAGTGGGGAATTGCTTTTTCCTGGGGTTGCTCACGTGTGCCAAAATGTTTGGTTATACAAGCAGAGATTTTTGTTTTTTCTGACTTTTGTTTTATTACTAGTGGCTTCTTGTACTGTTTCCCCACCATAAAAACAAAAAAAATCCTCACACTTATGCTTCAAACGACAAAAATTACTAGAAACCGCAATCCCTTTAGCCAAAGCTACCAGAAATCTTAAACTACGCCTGGCAGCTCGCTGAGATACAAAGAGGCTGAGCTAGCCTGTTCTGCTGGGGCAAAATTATAATCTTTTTTTTTCCCCCCCAAATACTTTCCAAGCTTTTTTCCACTACCTGCAAGGCTTTTTTCATGGGTGGGTTTGTGACCACTAATTGTAAGCTCCCCCTACAGATAGAGAACAAAAGAATATTGAGAGAAAATATTGCTATTTACTACAACAAATAACCTCCAGTGCACCGCAGCAGGAGTAGTTTCAGGAACACGAATAGGAGGATGTTCACATCTAGATGCAAATCATGTTATTTTTACATCGGTACTCAACAGGATCTCTCCAAAAACCCAACTGAGAGTTAAGTCAGGTTTCCAATAAATACTTACTGTGGGATTTTGTTTGCTTATTTTCAAGGGGATGGAACAGGTAGAAAGCAACCTGTAAAACCTAAGCAGGAACTTAGATTGAACCCCACATGACAAAGATCACACCTAACAACATTAAGCATCTAACATGGTCTCCCATTCATATTTGGCTTCACTCCATTCATGCCAAAGAAGAGAGGCTCTTTATTAAATAAAGCCAGAGAATCCACTCGTCTAGCAGTGTATATAATAGATTTACTGTATGTAATACTTGGGTTACTGTCACAGTCTGTGCCAAAATCCACTGAAGAATTTCTTGCTTTCACAAACATCCAAGAGGCTTCAGTTGTGCTATTAAACCAAATCCATGAGATACCAAACCCCAGTAATTTCAGCCTAAAAATAGCACTGAGGAAAGCCAGGCAAACTTCCTTTGATGTTTCACGAGTCGTGGAAGAATTTCCAAGTAAGAAGAGAGAAGCCAACTCCAAACTGGGCCCCAGTAGGTACACGGGCAGTCCAACTGCAGAGCAGATATTACCGTGCTGGAGACCTCCCTGTAGTAATTTGCTGCCTGGATGTCAAAGCAGCAAAGAGACCCCAGCAACACCCTGGGTGCAGCTCTCCTCTCACCCCACAAGCAGCCACTTCTACTGCTACCAGATGGTGCGACTCTTGCGGCGTAAACACTGGGAGGAAAGCCCTGCAGAGACACTGCTAAAAATAGGAGGCACAGCCTTTCTTGAGCTTTTCAGATCCTTATCTTAAAAGGAGAAGAAAACAAAGGAAATTCTCCTCCATGTCCCTGCCACTCTCTCTGGTGTGACTTGATACCACTGTGCCTTTTAGCATCATGATGAATTGTTCTCTTTAATTACCAACAACTACAAAAGTAATAAATAATCATCCCCTAAAAAGCAAAAGACAGCCAGAGCTCTGCACCAAGGCTTAAGTTCTACATGGCTTTAAAATGGCCAGTGACAGCAGGTTTCTGTCATTACCAATCTGGAAGAAAACGAAGCAAGTTATCTTTCTGAGCATGAGGCTGGAATAGACAACAACCTAAATTCAGAAGAGCATTGACATATGTTTCTCTCTCTTTGATGTTCGTGTTCATTTCAGCAAATGCTTACGGTCAAATGCTTTGTTAAAACAAGGCTCCATCTTTTCTCTCTCAAGATTTAGGGTGGATCTTTGTTTTGTTCAGCTTCATTGATTCCATCTGGGTTTTCTGGAAGATGTATCCATACCATAAAGAAGGTCCAACAGATTTTCAGGGAATTATTACAAACATATCACTCAAACACTTTTTCCATCACTAAACAGCACAGGCAGCCAGCTGCCATCTTAGCAAAGGGAGTCACCACAAAATTAATTAGTCACCAAAACCCTAATTAATTAGAAGACTCCATGAACTAACTCTATAATGAGCAAAGTAATCTCAGGCATCAAGAGGATGGTGGTGACAGATGTGTAATTTTCAAACTGAAAAGAAATGCTATCAGATACAGTTGTATCATTAAGAAGGTTCATCCCAAATGTTAATAGGCTGTTTGCACCTCTGAGCTGTGCTCAGCACTACTACAAGCTGCTAAGTAAACATCATCTGTGTGGTGCAAGGGAAAATAAGCCTGCTGTAAAGCAGGTTTGGGCCAGGAACAGCAAAGTAGCCTAGAACAGGGAGGACCTTGTTCTCTTGACACCCAGCTGTGAAGTCACAAGTGAAGACAGTAGGAAAGCTGGTGGCTTAGTCACCACGGAGCCTTTGCATGCCACTGCGGAGAATGGTGGGCACTTGCTGCTGGAATTGCACTAAAACTCACCAAATTTAAATGCATAATTCCGCATTAGGAAACCAGGAGTGTACAAACTCAGCACAAATGATTACAGCAGTCAGGCGCGGTGTGTGTGATTTTGGGAGGACTCGTTACATGCCCCAGATCTCAGTAGACCTGGGCAACAGTGGCAGGTTTTGGCAGCAGAAACTCAAGGTATGAGAAAGCATCACTTCAAGATTTACAACAAACACCTGTATGTGAAGAACACATCGAACAATTTGCTCTTCCATGCATTACTCCAGGTAACTAAGTTAAAAGCCAGTCAATCAGAAGCCTAAACCATTCACGAATTGCATCCATATTAATTACTGTTATTTAACAGAACAGGCAGCTCCAGATTTGAGCCAACTGTGTCCAATTTTAACCTGTTTGTTTTGCCTGGAAAGAATTTCAAAGGGCCATGTCCAGCCTTTACATTCCTGAGGAACCGATTCTCTCATGCATTTTCTAACTTTCCTTCCCAGCAGGCATGCAAGTACTCAGTGTTTGATGACTTTACCTTTCAGACAGCTGCCGAATCTGAGGAATCCCCATGTATTTGTTGAAGTGCTCTAACACATTCACAACGCCTTGGAGGAGGTTGGCAACTTCCCCATACTGTCTCCTCCTGGTCATAGCCCTGTAAAGGAAATTAAAGCTTTTAACAAAGCAAGTCTGAGGAAAATCTTGGGTGGCAATTCCAGAGGTTACCTCATCCACACCGGGTCATGCCAGTCTCCACTGACATTTATTTTTCTAAAATACACAACTCTTCATTAACATTCCAATGCTGCATTAAAATTTCACTTAACTGATGCTAAAATAAACCAATGCAGCACACATCTAACAAAGCTCCAAAAAACATAAATGTCAAAAGCAACACTTGGCAAGGAACATGTAAACTACTGAATGCATCCGCTTCCCAGTATGGGTCCGGAGGCAGTCAATGTTATTTTACTATAATGACCAGAGTTAAGCCATTCGTCATCACACACAAAGTGTGAGTTAAAGCTTCACAGGGAGGAGAATCATTACACTGAAAAGCCCTTAGCCTTGGCTTTTTTGTTAATAACTTTCACAGGGAACTTGCAGAAAAAACAACTTATTTTTATTTCATCCTCTAGGATCGTTCCAATGGAGACAGCAGCCTAAGTAAAATTTAATTCTGAACACTTCGCAATCCAGCGTTCGTGCAGAATTTGCTACAGTCCAAGAACAGGCTGTGCTTGGGTCTCACAGCTTCACAGATGCAACATGTAAAAACTGAACTCCCTTAGCCCGTGTGTTTCTCAAGCACATTAAAAAAAGAAAACCACAAAGAATTATTAGAACCATCTAACCCCACTTCATACACAGTACAAGCTGTAAGGCTGCTTTGAACTCATTCTCAGAATTAGAGGACCTTCCAGAGAGAGAGATCCCATTCCAATTTAGGAAGAGACTGCTAAGAATCCCCCCAAACCCCTCAAGAGCACATCCCTGATGACGATACCTAACTGGACAGACTGCCTTACACTTTCATGAAGCCAGACTCTCATTCCCAACCTATTAAGTAAACTTCCCTCCAGAAAAATAAGCAGCTGTTACAGACCTACTCGGAGCACTGCACCGAAATTAAGAACTCAGCAGTGGTGTCAAAGTGCCACTAAAATTCATGTGCTTACTCCAGTGAGTCCACTCCTCCTGCCAGCATGTGCAGGTGATTGAGGGTGGTGATGGAGGTGGTCAGATGACGCTTGGCATGATCTAGCTGCTTGATATCCCGCGTGATATCTTTAACCTAGTGAACAAAAAAACAGGAGTCTGGTTAAATATCAAGCCACAGCAACAAAGTTTTAAGGAGATGAGAAGTGCTCTCCCCATTTTAGCTCCGCAGCCACATTAATGCAAGACCAAGGATACAGGTGCAACACATGCTTAACAGCAAATTACCAACCAGACAGCAGCAGCAAAGACAAAAAAAAAAAAATCAGTGCCCCCCTCCCCTTCAAAGGCTAAGACGAAGCTGCCACTCACCATTTGTTCTGATTTTTCAGCCTTGTCTTTAATATCCTTAATTTTACCAAAGAGTTGCTGGATGGCTTTCTGAGCTTCTTCCAGTGCCTGAAAAAGAATCAAGGTCAGAGCAGAAAGAAAACCTGCAAGCAGTTTTCACCTCTAAGAAACATTCAGTTGCTTGGTCTCGGTCAGTGGAGGGAAGCAGTTTTGTTGGAAAGAAAATAGCAGCAGCACAACAAAAGCCAGTGTACAACGATACACATAGTGGGATTTTAGCCCAGGTGGACCAGTGCTTCAGCATTCATGTTACAACAATGTGCTGGCAAAATCTGATCAAGACGTTCTATGAAAGCACCTCTGTGACATGACCTGGAGCACCATTAGGTTTAAGGTTACTGCACTAAATTTCTGTTCACTAAGCGTAGAAAGATATGTAGCTACTCCTGATGAATATGCATTTAGAGTACGGAAACGAAACCTCCACACAAAACCCTGATGTTTCATCAATCCTAAATCAAAAATACGCATCACATACAGAACACCGAGTACTTGCCTAAAAACCTCGCTGAATTAGCAGGATATTATCCTGTTGGAAAACGCCCTGCTCGTTTGGCAGATTGCTGTGGGGTGGGCAGTTCAGCCTGCCTCCCACAGGCACGAGGATTGGAGGCACCCGTCCTACGCACAGAGGTTCAGCAGGACCTACAGAGGTCCAGCGGGGGAAATAGACTTGGCCCGCATTTTTGTGCTGTTTTTACTGCAGGATGCTTTGGGGATCTGGTCGTCTTTAAACAGCCATGGCGCATCTGACCTCACACGAGCAGCGTGAGCCACACGTGGATGCAGTGAGCGAAGCCACATGTCCAAAATCACATGCCCAAACTCTGACTTCTGAAGTATCTCAACACGTTTCGCCTTCCCGGCCTGATAACATTTCCAGCTCCAGCCCCGCTTTGTTTCCCCGCTGTTAAGTAGGCTTCTAGCCCTCTTTTTATAGCCAGCCCCATGACCAGGGTTACGGGGCTAGCTACAAGCTCCTTCAGCAAATAAATTTAACACATCTTCATTCTGAAATGTAGGAGCAAGCTATCTGCCAGGAGGTTTTGCTGGAACGTAGCTGCGTTATAATAAAAAGTATAAAAGTTGGAAACGTTCTATAATTCGTTTTCCAGAGGGGAAAAGTCTCTTCTAAAATATCTTCGGAATCACGTGAAAGTTAACGCTTCACTCGTTAGTGTCACACAGCATGTTTGGGAAGTGAACACACAAACGTGCTACAGGGACACCTCTATTAGAGGTGACCATCACCACCTACCTTCTCATTTGGCTCCAGCCTAGACACCTTTCAGAATCAAGTTTTCTATCCTGTTTAAAGGCACATGAATTAAACTCAAACCAAAGACCTGAAGAACGCCCCTTGCCTCTAACTCCAGGCTCTGCACCAGTCCCAGGGCACGGCTGCAGCACATCGCCCACGTGGGCCGTGAAGCAACCACCCCGTGTATCCTGAGATGTGGATAGGTTTGGAAAATAAATAAGTCAGTCTGCGATTCTTCACAGGTGCCAATTGCTCGGTTTCCCTTTGATTCCACACCGACAATAAATGCTGATTTCTCTTATCCCAGGGAATTCAGCAGAGCTGCTGAATTTTCCAGCAGGAGAGGTGAGGATTTAACCAGCCCAAAAAAAGATTCCCCAAGAAGAGACATTATCCAATTATCCTCCTTCACAGCCAAAGCCAAGGCAACCTCACAAAAACCATTCGATCTTTAGATCACCTCGAGCCAAGGTGCAGCAATAGGTCCAAGTCAGGGTCTCCAGCAATCCGAACAGGGGGAGCCAAGGCAAGGAGCCCAGGGAGGCCCTGCATGCAATGCAGCATGACAGAGCGATGCTGGCACCCTGCAGAACCACTCCAGGTTCCCAGCTACCCATACACTTCTTAAACACATCTCGGATACCATTCCCCTCCCACAGGGGTTCTTTTTTTCCAGATACAGGCTCAGACAGCACCACAGCTCTCCTTGCTGATGCACAGCTGCCAGCTGAACTCCAAGACCTTCAGCCATCCTCTGCAATCCGTCCACAGCTTGCTCTCCAAGAAAAGCAGTGCTCGAGCTGCTACCTTAAGCATCAGTACTTGGTTTGAAGTCATTTGCTCTCAATAGCCTTCAGCAGCTTCAGAGTCAACAAGACCATGAGTGAGGATTTCCATCTCAGGTCTTCAGAAGGGTTTTACAATAAAACCCCTATCCACAAAGGAAAAACTATCTTATCTGTTTTCTTCATGAGACAGAACATCATCTAGCTGGATAAAAGGGACCTTTTCCAAAGTTCCTGCCCATAATTTATCCTCAGAGAATGTCCCGATCCAACGAAGATTTAAAGCTGTTCACATAGCAACAGCGAACAAAAGAGAAACCACACAATCTATTTTTCTAACGTACTATTAATAATGCTGTGACAGAAAACCAGCAGAGGCTTTTTAGAGAAGACTGGTTTCTGCCTGAAGCCCACATTCCTGCTGCAGGCCCGGCCTGCGCTCTGGGGGCAGCGGCCTGCTCCCTTCCTCAAGGCTGCCCCTGGAGCAGCGAGCAAATTCCAGTGGGATTTTGTTCTTGTACACCAAAAACTGCCAAAACGAGGTGAAATGGTGTCATCACCTGGTCCTGATACTTGCTGCTTTTACCTCCTTACGGTCTCTGGAAAAACAGGAGAGGCAACACGTGCTGTGCCCCGGTCTGGTGAGTTACAGAAGCGAGGCCTCCTGCTGCTGTGCCTGGGGAGAGACGCGAACGGCGGCCACCCGGCTGTCCAAGTCCCGTGTTGCATCTCTCAGAGAAGGGCAAACATTCCTACAGCTGTTAAAAAACCAACTCAGAACTGCTCATGGACACTGCCTTCATTCCTTAAAACCTGCTTCCAAACAGTTGCTTCGCCATTAAGACAAATCTTCCACCAGTTCAAGGGCTCCTCTCCTCAAGAGAGACGCATATTCCTTATTTGAGCTAGAAGAAACTAATTCATTGATGCATTTGTTTTTTTAAAATACAATTTACATAACAGAGATGAAGATATTTTTCCTCAAATATAAGTGAGATTTGCTCAAAGTAGCACCATGTAAAAACCTATTTATTTTTAGTCAGAGGGGCGCTACCAAAGGGATCCGAGGGAAAGCTCAGAACAAGTCCAAAGAGTTATTTGTTGTACAAAATCTACAATTAAACTTCTTAATGGTTCTTTTTATGGAAACCAATGAAAACTTTTTGGCTGTAGCACTCCAACTGCAGCATCCGAAAGTAAAATATTGCACATAAAGGAAGGAAATAAGTAAAAGCAATAATGGGGAAAAAATAATTTCACCATCCTGGTCACTGTGAAGACAGGGGAAAGAAAAGCGCAAAATCACCTCACGTTTGATAAATGGTGTTCATTATTAAGAAATATGAAACTGACATCTGAGGCAGGAAAGCAGGCCTAATTGTTCAAGGAATAATAAATAGATTTATTGCTGTGCATAATGATTACTCTTTCGGCTGTAAAACGGGAGATGGGAAACTACAGACACGTAAAAAGAGCACACTTCAGATTTGGGAAAACGCATTTCCCTTCACTAAATTCTCACACTGCTCCCATTAAGACAGCAAATCGTGATTTTTTAAAAGCCTTTTCTTACTGCTTTTGCTGTTGTTTTATTAATAGAGGATTTATTGTGGACAGACATTCTAAAACCAGAAGCGTGTCAAGAGGAAAGGAATTGCTCTTCCTCTGACACAGCTGGCGTACACGATGAACACCACCCACCAACCCCACTGTTGTGGCCTGACACGGGGGTCACCTTGCAGTATCATTTACTGGTTTCCTCACCATACACGCAAATTTACGGCGCTTCCAACTGCCCTGCAAGAACTACGTTACTGTATTTCCTTCCCTAAAAGTGCAGTTCATTTCAAGGGCTGAGGACCAGTAATAAATAAGTGACTGGATACGTGATCTGTTATTGTTAGATGAAACAAGGACGTTGAAATTAAGCTCGCAATGCCCTGGACGAACACCATATGACTCTAATCAGCAAGCGAGCCTGCAAGCTACAATGAACCCATCGGCATTATTTGTTAAAACTTCATGCAACCTCTGTGGTCCCTGGATGCCAGGCACCAGCTGAGAGTCCAGCCCTGGCAGGACTCTGCCTGAGTGCCTTTTGCTGAGCTGTTTGTCCCCAGGGCTGCTCTGACACCGGTGAATTTAGGAAGAGGGCAGGACCAGCAATGGAGCAAGACAGAGCGTGTGATGCAAGGCAACAGGCTTGGCTGCACATCGCTTGCCCTTTCCTTCTCTGGCATGGGGTGTCTCACCTGCAACCCAGGCACCGGTCAGCGCAGCCCCAGCCTCCAAATGGGCTCCTCAGCCAGTTCTTGCAGGGGGAAATGTAAGAATTAAATGGATTTTAAGCAGTCCTATTTTCCAGCCAGTCTGTGCTTATACAGTGGAAGCTCTTCCCCACTCCTGTGTTAACAAAAGTGATTAAACACAGAATGCTGAGAAGATGCACACGGGAGTTGGAAAACCCAACTCAGTAGCACACGTTACCCCCAGGTAAGCTGGACATACCTCGAGCTACACAGGTCTCCATCATCTGCTCCAAAGCAGGAGGGAAAAGCACAGCACATGAATCAGCTGCAGCTCTTTAACCCTCTTCACCTTGAGATGCAACAGGAAAGGAGTCCATTGAACACCAGTAGGAAACGACAGGGAGCAGTTAAAGCATGAATCACAAAGAAAAAGACAGCCTAAAAAATATCTTTCCTTGGCATCATCCCAAGCAACTTCTAAGGTCAGTCTGCACATCATCACTTGTGGCACCTTTTTATCTTGATCTTCCAACCAGCAAAAGGAGGAAATAAAACAAGCCAAGTGAGAAGCAGGATGAGACCAAGCCTAACGGAGCAATCCTGGCACGAATTTAGAATTCAGCATTTTGAAGCAAAGCGTCCTTTGAAAGTTACTGTTCCCATGGCTTACAGTACAAGGTTCACACCACCAAAAACAGCATTAGCAACAGTGTTTGAGCCTAAAACCAAAGTCAGTGAATTACAGCCTCTGCAGATCCCCAGAGCTGCTGCAAATAGGCACAGCGTCCTCCTTCCCTCCCCACCCCAGGCACAGCTCCTGCCCTCTGCTACAGAGCTGCGCATCCCTCCAGCTGAGCAGTGGTGTCTCCTTGGTGGGCGTGCTGATTTCTGGATGTTCTTCCCATCAGGAATCTTGTGCAAGTACACAAACACTGAAATGCCAGGAAATACGCAAACAGAGGAATTAAGAGTGCAGTACTACAAAGCGTTCTTTAACTGGGGAAAGAGCAAATTGTCAGAGGTAGTTTGCTTGCTTAGGAAGCTCTGAGCTTTGGGATGATCTGAACCAACATCGCTCTGGCCCCAGCAAGGGTTAAAATACCTTGATAGTTTCCATATGCTCCCTGGTGTTGTTCTAGAAACGTGCTAGTTTTATTTCCTTCTAGCCAATATATATTTCAATTGGATGTCGTTACTCCCATCAGAAAGCTGCCCTCTGCTAAGTATTTTATGGACGCTTGACACATCTGCCAAATTCACAGCATCCAAATGTATTTTTAATGCTACAAATTGGGCTGTGGTCAGGATGCTGAGAATTTAACGCTCCTGGATCGGTCCCCGCTCTTGAATACAGTGTGTTAATGCTTCTTTCATTTGCTGCCACACTTACAGCCCAGATCAATGAAAATCTGGACCATGACTAAAAATAAGTTCCCATCCCCGGTTCTCAAAGGAGCCTCAGCTGCAGATTTCAAAGAAACCCTTGCATACTGTGACCAGCCTAACAACAATTTCTGCCACTAAAATCTCACACAAATGAGTCCCTCCAGACTAAGAAAGGGTAGAAGTACACTTTTATTCTCAGTCTGATTTCATTTTAGAGAAAGCTCTTAAGTTTTACAGCGATGGATAAACTGCTGCAGCTAAAGCCAAGAGGGCTTGCCCATTAGAGCACTGTGACAACACATGACAGACTCCCAGATAATTCCCCTGAGCACACAAACCTGTGAGACTCATCACCCTTGGTTTTGATTTTAGCAAATTTCCACCCTAGGAGTTCATCAAACGCGATGTAACCACCACAATTGCCTCTAAAAAATGTAGTTTTCTGTCATCAGCTCTAGTCCTAACCTCTCTGGCTGCACAGGAGGCTTTAAATCAACAAAGCAGATTATGTCCAATACTGCACCGAGCTTAAAATCGCTCCTCTTGTCCCTTCACTTAACCCTCCAAATCATACTCAGGAATCAAAACCCATGCTCCGAGTAGCTGCACAAGCACAGGCGGCGGATGTGAAGCAGGAGGCGATGTTCAGGTAGTGCTGGTTGAAACCCTGCAGCCCAGCTCCTGCAGCTTACGGCTGCGTTAAGCCAGTGCCCTTCTCAGCTGTCAGTTTTATGGCACTGCCCAGCCCTGCACGATAAAAAAAAAAAAAAGGTGGTGGTGTGCTGTAATTGACAGCAGTTTTATTGGTCTTGCTCAGTTGAGTGATTTTACCTGCCACAGCAGCACAAGTTTTACATCCTGCAGCCAAGTTTGGCAGCCCGTCGAGTCGGTGCTTCTCAGACTTTGCAAGGTGAATTCAGGTTTAGGCCTTAGGAGGCCAGATCTAGGTGGGGGAACGGACAACCACATCACAAACCCTACAAACGGGGATTTCGGAATGGAAATGCCGACAGCTCACCTGCCACAGGCATGGAAGCAACACAACTAGAATAAATAATACCACTCACCAAAAACGGGAGATGACAAAAGGGGGAGGAAGAAAATCCCACAGTAACACAAAATCTCCTGTGTGTTATCAGGATTTCTATTTCCAGGCTGGGCTTCTCGCTTTGCTGGCACCCAAAACCAGGCAGCGCTGGCTGTGGATCATCCCAGGCTCCCTTTGCAACCTGCTTTTAACACCATCAGATGAAAAAAAACATCTCTCACCAGCACAAAACGTGCCCTGCTCCCCAGCCTCAGGCGGCAGGACAACACTGGTGCGTTCCTTACCTCTTGACCCAGAGGCACAAAGCAAGGTCACAGCCAGACCCGCCTCGAACCCAGCTCTGCAGCAGATGGCAGAAGTTATGCCTGACCTCTTCGGGCAGTTGCAGATGCCAGTTTTAATGGCCAGTAGCCAAAGGAATAATAAACAGCGCTATTTCATCCTGGCATGCCATTCACCTGAAACCCTTTTCAATAAATACGTTCTGGGCTAGAAAGAGCTCGCCGTGTCTCCTAGATGGGAAGGACATTGTCCAGCTGTCATAATTCACTAGGGAAGTGACTCTAAATGAATCTCACATTTGATTTATTTTGGCAGCTCAATTTCTGTTTATTATTCTCTGGTTACAAAAGAATATTGGGACTTCAGTCACCAGGCTGGAGCCTTACAGAATCCGTGGCAGGACTTTTTTTTTTTTTAATCTATAAAATTACACAGCCTCAGACACGGTATTTAACCCTCATCCATTCATCACCTTAAAACAGTGAAATCTAACATTTGCTTGTTTGTATTTCAGAATACTGAACCGTTCAATAGAAAACAAACACAGTACAGCTCAGCCCTGGGGGGAGAGAAGGAATAGGCCAGAGTTGGTGCCTACAACATCAGGGGTGGTGACACAGAAAAGCCCCCAAGTATTTTTCAGACATAGGCTTAATTAGTTATTGAGCTCTCAAGGTGATTTTGTCTGCTCTCAATGCTCACACAAACGATCCCAGCAGAGCCCAGGCCCCTCATCGAGGCACAGCAGCACCGGCCACGAGCCAAACCTGCAGCCAAGGAAGCAGCGTGCACTTGGACGCCTGGAAGAGAGCACTTTATTTAAATAAACGCAGAAATGAAACCAAAGTACCTACGGCAGGAGATCAGAAAGCACTGGCTACCTCAGCTTCGAGCCAAACACCACCTGTAGCCCAAAGAGCCACCTCCACACAAACAGGTGGAGGTCGGAAGGGAAGCTGCAGCGAGGGCGCTGTTTGATCAGCGTGTTTATGCAGACGCTGCACAAAATCAGCTCTGCCTGCCAGGCTGCTGCTGCCTGTAAGGCAGCACTCGGAGCAGGGGAGGACAAGCTCTGACTCCAGAGACACCACCCGCCGGCTGCCCTGCAGCTGAGGACGTGCCAGCTAAACGGGCACCCAGCAGCCAGGCTGACACCACCAGCAGGGGAGGGCCACGCTCCCTGCTGCTCTTCTCTGCCACTTGCAGCATCTGCACATCACTTTTTCTGCTCGCCGTCCATCTTCATTTCTTTTCCTCCCATCTTCATCTCTTCTCCTCCCTTTATCAGCTCTGCAACACGTTTCCCGATCACTACGAAAAACAACGACCCCATTTCACTTAATTCCAGCCATGACCTTGTAAAACCCAATAACCTGTGGGCATTTTTCCCTGCCAGATGCATCCTTCCCCTCCTTCCACAGCCTTAACGACCGCCAGACGCTGCAGCACGCGGGCAGGGAAGGCTGCCTGGGACTCACCGCAGCTGCAGAGCTGAGCCGTGTTTATTTTTACATGCAATGAGAAAGGACAGCAATGGTTACCCAGCCTGGGCTGGCTAATTAAGCTGTCTACTGCTGCGCCGGGTTCAGGCTGGGCAACAAGAATATATTTGTGTTCTTTAACCACAGCAGCTGCCACCCCTTTTTTGCATGGCTGTAGTGAAGAAAAAAACACCACGTTACTGTTCTCATGGAGCAAAGCAAAGAAGCAGGAGCCAAAGAAAGCAATCCCAGTTATCAGCTCCTATCTTCAGCCATGAGAAACACGCACGGCTCTTCCCAGCCCAGAGCACATCCCTTTCCTCTTCCAGTTAGCGCTTAACTCTGGTCCTAGCACTGACTGAGGCAGGACCCTACCGCACCAGGACACGCTGAGTGCTCGGAGGCATTTGGATGTGGCCCTCGTTAATACATTTTAACTTTTGGTTAGCCCTGCAGAGGTCAGGCAGTTGGACTTCATCTTCAAAGGCTCCATCCAACTGAATTATTCCGTTCTGGAAGCAAAGCTTTTGTTTAGAGCAGCCCTTACCCATTGAAATTCAGTTATTTACTTTGTGCGTGCACAGGGCAGGAAGGGAAAGATGGGCCACAGACAAAGAGGTTTTGTTTGTTTTAAGGAGTCAAACTATGAAGCCACAAAACCACCGGGGACCTTGGAAAGCCCCTCGAGGTCTCAGTTCCTCCCAAAGCAGGCTTCACACAAAGCTGCCTCACCTTTATTGACACAGGCCCCTGTGCCCTGCTTGCACAGGCACTGTTAAGGGTTAAACTGGGCTGAAAACGCAGAGGCTGCCTGGTACAAGGACAAGAGCAGGATAGGTGAAGCAGCTTCAGCCAAACAAGCAGTAAAGGCATGTCAGCTGCTGTCAAAAAAATTACAGCCAGCCCATGTAGAAGGTTCAGCAATAAACACAACTAAAGAGAGTGACAAATAGAAACGCACTGAGTGCGTTACACATCCAGTGGAAAAATCTATGGGAACTTTTTATACGACACCCTGGGGCAAAGAGGAAATTATACCACAACTGGACTGGAGCTCCTAGCAAGGTCAGCCCAGCCTCCAGTCCAGCAGCAGATCTGAGAAAAACCTTACAAGAAAAAAAGAAAAAATAAAGGATCGGACAGTGCTGGCTCCCCAGAAAGTGCAGGCACAGCTCGAGCCACGTATCGTTACGCCAGAACTACGGCGGCTCCTGCATTCCCAGCCTCTCCCAAGGCAGCAGAAATAGCCCAAGTCTGGGACTCCCAAGGAAAATTTTGTTACGCCCTGCAGAGGAATGTTCCACCCACGGCTGTTGTTTCCTCCCATAAAAGGCTCATTAGGGAGATAATTTCTGAAGTTCACGGCATTGTCTGCAGGCTCTACTGAAATATCGCACCAGGAAGGGGAAGCCAAATGAGCCAGACTATTTTAAGGCTCTTGCATTTGGAGGAAATTCTAGGGCAAAATTTCAAAAAGGCAGATGCTTTGAACTGGGAAACATTACGCTCGGTGGAGAGGAGAGAGCATTCTTGCCTTTAGAGCCACTTCAGTAACTCTTTGGGGGCCACATCTCTTTGATTATTTCTAGATTTAGAACCTGCTTTTTCAGAGACCCAAGTATGACTCACTATGAACGTGTGTGTGAGATCGAGACTACTTAGGCAACTGCTTAAAAGTTAATGACTGATGACAAAAAAACTACTCCTGCATCCTTCACACACCTACGGTTCCCCTCGAAGGCCTGCTCACTCATCTCAGCACGCAGCTGGAGCACAGACGTCGTCCCCAGCGTTACAACCACCACGCTACCAGCCAGAAGTCTCAATCACAGGCAGTATCAGTGGCTGGATCCTGCAATTAACACGCTGAACTCGCTAACCCTGAGGTCTCCTTTTCTTCAAGGAGCACGCAGAGTGCATTTCCATAGCCGCATACAAATTATTCACCACGGTGCCTGACGGGGATTTCAACTGCTCCAGCTGGGAGAACAGCACGCAGAGCTATTCAGGCACCTCAGCAGCACTGCCTGCACTTACCAGCAGAACACTGCCCTGTCTCAAAAACGAGGCTGGGCTCCCCCCTCCTGGACAGCCACGAAGGTGCAGCTCTCAGCAGGGCTGAGTAAAGGACTGCTCCTCAGCACGAGGGGAAGGCTCTTTGCCAGCAGCTTTGAAAAATGACCCTGTACCCAAAGAGAAACCAAGTTGTTACGGGCTACGCAGCCTCGGTTTATCTTCTAGGAACCTGCTGGCTATCAACGGTTTCCAAACATGCTATAAAAACAAAGATAAGTCAGTAACAGCTCCCTGGCCCCTGTGATTTGGGCAGCACTTGAAGCAACAGCCTATACGAGATTCCCAATCCCCCGTTTGGCAGCTAAAGCTGCCAGGAGATGGAAAAGTCAAGGCTGAGCTCCCTGAATCAGCTTCTCCACCCACGGCGCGTGCTCTGCGAGGACAGCAGGGACAGCAACTGCTGGTGTGCACAGCTCCGGCTGCACCCGCAACGGGGGGACACAGCTACTGTGGAAAACAGAGAGAGGGACTCAGCAGGGAACCCTCTCCTGGCTTGCTTTGGCTCGCACAGGAACTTTTCTGTTGTTCTACCACTGGAGCTGAGGTTTGTTTCCTTGGGAAGGAAGTCAGGGATTGAGAGGATGTTTATAAAATCGTGCTACTTACTCTCCAGACAAAAGCAGCTCCTTTAGCTCTGATATCATGAGGTCAGGCAACCCTGGCAGACCCTGGTTAGTCTGCACCGCGTGGGGTTAGGAGAGAACACGACTGAAGAGGTATTTGCAAAACACCTTCCAGATCCAAGCTTACAGTAAACGTACAGGACCCTGAGCTGCCACTGAAATCCAAGCAGCTGTAACAGAGTCCACAGGTGCTTTTATTCCCAGCACACGCTTTCAAGGAAAGGAAGGATCGCACCGTCCTTGGGTTTTGGTGTGCCCATGGATAGAAATATGTCAAAAGCCAGGGATGGGTTTTTCAAAAGCTAGGTTGTTGCAAGAAGTGCATCCTATGGGCCATGGGCATCTCACGGCAACAAGCCACTATAAATGGGAAGATTTATTCAGCTTCTTGCTGGGGCTGCCTCTAAGCTTTATTTCCAACCTATTGCAAAAGCTGGTTGCCACCCGCTTCTTTATTAATTGAGGGTGTGGTAAATATAAAATGCAATAATGATCTGCACCCTGGGCTTCCTAAGGAGACGCTCACAGGATGATGACACCGTCCATCTACATGTGTGCTGCAACCCAATTTCCCAGGAAATATCAGAATTATGAAGATTACCATTTCCTACAAATTGAGTGAGATCTGTGGAAGAGAGCACCTAATGTTACTGTAAGACCTTTCAAACTACAAACTACCACCAGAAAAGATAAAAAGGAGGAAAAAAAAAACGCTTCAGACAGCTCTGACCTCCTTCCTAGCAGAGTACCTGACTTGTCTTAAGGGCACCTTGCTTTCAGCTGCATTGAGACTTCTTCTTACCGTGTACTGTAAAACAAAACCCTTGCTCTGAGTGGGAGAAGACAGGCCTCTTGCTCTATAAAAATTTAACATCCTGCTCAACAGACGCACCACAAACACATTCACGTTTGAAGTTTTCTTTAAAAAAAAGAAAAGAACTTGGACAGAAATTTAATTGGTTCTTTTACGACCAAGCTAAATGAAGGGCTGCACGGATGATTTGCCTCTCGAGTCTTCAGAGCAGGACACTGTCCAAGTCTGCCTCAACATGCTTTGGGGACTTCAAAGGGATTAAAGAGTAAAAAGCAGAGATATAAGGCAAAGCTCTAAACAACACTCACTGCACCTCCACAGCACAGGGAGGCTTTGTTACCCTGCAAGCACCGCTGACTGTGGCACTGCCTCTTTTGTCTCTCCCCCGCACCCCGTGCATCCTTTGGACTTGTGAGTCCTGAGGCACTCTGAGCAAGTTGTACCCACAGCTCTACTTGATTTTATTTAAAGCCTTCTCTGAATGCGTAGCCATTTGAGCCCATTTGAGGTGACAACTGTAGCAGCTTTCCCTGCTGCCACCAACCATCCCCACACTCCTCCACGTGCTGCACTCATTTCCACTCCCCTCCTCAATCTGTGCAGTTGCTGCCCACTTGATTTCTTGCCTCATCCCCGCGGTGACTGCAGGCAGCACTACTCCAAGGTGGGCTACATCCCAGGAGTGTCCCCAGTTTAACAGCACTACTTGGGAAGCCACACAAACACCGAACTGGTTCTGCTAGGAGAGGTAAGCAGCTCACATCTGCCTGAGAACAATACAAAGGTGCGGGTAAGGTAAATAATTCACTCGATGCCAGTCTCTGTGGCAGAGGTAGGATTAGAAATGAAAAGTTTTTCACCTCAAGCCCCGATCTCTGTGTGTTCTCTGATGAAGTAACCTCTCTAAAGCCCTTGGAGCACAAGGCTGCACACACAGCCTGTTGGAAGCCAGCCAGTGATGTATGTTTTCATCTCGGTCTTTTTCTGTTCTCCACGCAGAGTTCTTTTCACCACTTCCTGCAGGGGCTTCACGTTCAGTTTGCCCAGAACTTATTCTTTCAACACAACAGACTTAATAAAGGTGGAAAAAGTGAGAGTGGGGGCAGTGCTATCACAAGAAAAGAGCAGATATGCGCCAACTGCTACTGCAGCAAGAAGCAGAATTGCTGGAAAAGCCTTGCTGGGGAGGGAACGATTCTCCCAACCCAGCAACCCCTTCCTCAATCCGGTATTAAAGAGATGAATCAATAGACACAGGAGGTACAGCTGCACCAAATGATACCTCACTGCCAGATAACACAGGGACCAAGCTCAGTGTTCACAAACACCGCAGCCATGGCCGTGCTGTTCAATACTGCACTCTGAGCAAACACATCTGTCAAGAAAGAGACAAATGGAAAACCTGGTGGCCAAATAATACATACAGGATGAACTGGCAGGCAGTCATCAAGCGTAGTCACTAGCTACTCGGGGTACTTCAGCAAACAGCCTAGTTAGGAGGCTAAATAGCCTCTTATTGATTCTTACTCAATGGCAAATGTGTTTGTACCTGTTTAATCCTGTTAGTTTATAATTAGCTTTAGAGAGGCATGACTGCAAGCCTCCTGGTTTTGCTTTTGATTTTTATAATTGATTTCTCATTCACTTCCCTTTGCAGGGTGATCAGAAGGCAGGACAGAACAGCTGTTCAGAAAGCAGCTCGGGAAGTCATTAGCGTAAAAGAGAGCAGAAACACCTCCCTAACGATGAGAGCAGGTTTCTGCCTGCCAGAGCCAAGCCTCAATTTAGCATCACAAGATGAGAACCTCTGGCTTTGCTCGAGATGAGATACACATACCTGCCTGCCATCCTGTCCCACGTTCGTCTGTCCCCTCACTACAGTTCGAATGTTGTCATCCAACCTCCTGCAGAAAAGAATTTATAATGTCAAATCCATTCTCTATATGCCTGAGCAAAATAATTTCTGGGAACCCTGAGAGCTACAAAACTGATTTAAAATCCAAGAGCTGGTGCTACCAATGCTGAACTCATACTTCTTTCTCCCTCTCTCTGTGGGGCAATATCTTACATAATATAAAGCTCCTGTTGCAAAAACAAAAAATTTACATAATCTAATTGGGGCTCCTTGTATTTCTCTTCCCTTAAGCAATATCACACGTTTTCCCTTGTCGGTTTTCATTTCCACTTTTCATATATTAAAGTGCTGTCTCAATCTTCTCAGGCTGCCAGTGCCAGACTGTGCAGAAACATAAAGTTTCCTCCTGCAGAGTTTTTATTTTACATTTACAGTACAAATAATGACAAAAACATAAAATGCGAGTTTTTACAATTGCTACTTTGACCTCATAAAAATTCTCAGCAAGCAAATATTCTGGGTAGTTTGTTCTCTCAACCTTCAAACTGTACTAAAGTTTGGTACTCACTTGATTCCTAGTCCATTGCGACCCATCATAAAATAACCTGAAAGGCAGATATTACACAATAGGGGCAGGATTTAAAAAACAAACAAACCTCTAATTAGCGATACATTTTTGACTCTTTCCAACTCTATTAGGCTTCCGGTTGATCCTGTCCTGTCTTTTAAGCAAATTAAAAGCTCTAATTAGCCACAGCACAGGCTGTACTTCTGAAGCCTTGGTAACAACCAGACTACCGCCCATCTGAGATGCGATGAAATGGAGAAGCACTTACCTTATTTTCAGTCTGATTTTGTTCACAACTTCATCGATGTTTGCCAAAGACTACAACATGAAAAACACAAAGGAAAGTTAGTAGGTTTTCCCTTTTTACTTTGCGACACACCAGCTGTTGCAATTAGCACTTTCTCATGCATCTTACTTTACAAGAAGAAAAGCGTGACTTTGTTTTACAGGTGGAGAAACAGACACGGGGCAACTCAGCGGCTTTTCAGGTCACATAACAGCAGCAAAAGAGAGAGGGCACAGCCCTGCACGTCCCCCTCAGCCCCATGCAAGCAGGGTGTCCCCTGCAATTCTCGGCACTGCCAGGCGCCTGCAGTCAGCAGGAACGGCCCTGAAACGCCGTGGTGACAGTGACCTCCAGTGGGCAGTGCAGAGCTCTCACCTTCCCTGGCCAGGACCCTCCCGCAGAGCTCAGGCACCCAGCGCACGGCTGGAGGAGGCCTGGCTGCTGCTGGAGCTGTAGCAGGGGCTTTGCAGGGGAAAAAATAGGTTTCCAGCAGCAAAAAGGAGAAAGGACAAGCCAGCACCACCGGCAAACTGAAGAGAGAAACCTGAAGGCCAAAAAGCCAACCCTGCAGAGGGGCTTAAACACAGTAGAACCTGCAATGGAGCTGCCTCCCAACCCAGTCTTGAGCTGCAGAAACACCTTTTCACAATAGCGTACTTCAAAACTGCCCCAGGGCTGATTTGGGGAAGACCAAGTATGGATAATGATCCCACAGCAACCTCCTTCTCTACATCTCAAAAGAAACAATGGGTTATAAACACGGATGACTCCTCAGTGATATTTCACACTCAACACCTGTCTTATGCGGTTAAAACCCTTGAGGATTCACTAATGATTAACACACAGCAGTTATGAGGTGTGCTGCTACACAAACCTCTGTGTATAAAGCTAATTTACGTCCACACATCAAAGAACTCTGACTCCAGCCAGCACTTTGGGTACAAAGAAGCTGCGTAACGAGCGAACCTCATTAGATGAGGATTTAAGAAGTGATTGTTGTCACAGCATTACTACCAACACTATTGTGTGGAAGAAAAGGCTTCACAGGCTTAAACACGCCTTCAGTCGTTTACTACCAGGTTACTCCTTGCACAGGGGAGAGGGATATACTGTGAGCACTACTTACTTGCTCAGTGGGAAAGAGAGTGTTGATGTACTCCACAGCGTTGAAATCTGCTCTGTCCAGGGGATCTTGGCTGGGGAACACCTGAGGAGAGGGAGGGAAAAACACAATGAACAACACATCAACTTTAATTTCTGTAAATTTACACAGTATCTGCTACTTTTTAATCACTTCAGCACCCACTTCAGGTTCTGTTCAATGGCAACATTCTAACAAGCCTGCACAAAGTCCTCAGGAATGAGATCTCCGACCCTACCAATATTCCTGGGTCTATCAGCCTGGGTAAACACAGATACCATACATGCGTGCTTCCACATACAGCACGAGCACAACCAGCCCTGTGCAAGGGATTCCCAAGACACACGAGCCGTTAATTACGCATCCCAAACCATCCTGAGCTTTGCAGTTGTGTGGAAGTGATGACCCCTTCTGAGGCCTTGCCCTTATCTTCACTCAGGCTTTGTGAGGCCCTGCGGTGAGAGGCAGAGGATTTGTTTTTCATAGCCACGTAACATGAAACATGATGAATTAAGAAATGGTTGTACAAGTTCTCTGGAGATTGGGGTTTGCCACTCACACATGAAAGAAAGGGAAAGAAATAGAATCAGCCGGGTGATTCTTCCTACCCCCAGGAAGAGGAAGAGAGCGGCAGTGGTACAGACAGATCTGCCTCCAGAAGTAGCTCAAATGATGCAAGTACAGCTGGCAGCCTTTGTGCTTTTGTCCCGACAGACTAAAACACGCTGCATTCCCTTCTCTGGTACCATACTTATTCCATATTCATACAGCCACCAGCTCTGTTCTCTGTGGTCAGAACCACGCCAAGCAAGCACAGCAGCTGTCCCCATCACACTGCAGCACCACCTCCACACATCACCCTGCACACAAAGCCCTCACAAAACCCTGCTTTAACCGGGCACACGCACTATCCACCTTTCACAGGGTTGTGTCAGACTTTAAATGAGAGAAACTCCGCCTAGAAAGAGGCCTCGTCAGCAGCTTTCACCTAGAGGCCTTCACAGGCACCTGCCCAGCTCCACCACCGCCTGCTGGAGCCAGAAAAGCTGCGTGCATGGCATGAGGTGAGTAAGTGCCCTGCCAGGAGCCGTCACACACACACTGCTGCCAAGAAGAGGGCAGCGCCGCTGTACCACCTGCCCCACAGCAGCATCACAGCCGCTTCTTGCCCTGCCACAGCCCCGCACAGCCCGGGCAGCCCCTGCTGGGGGCACGGCACGGCCCAGGGAACCGCCGGGAGGCCTGAGGGGCCCTGAGGGGGCCTGAGGAGGGCTGAGGGGGGGGCTGAAGGCCTAGGGGGCTCCCAGAAACCTGGGAGGGGCGCCAGGAGCCGCCTCTAAAACGCGCCGGGCGCTGCTCCCGAGCCCCCCCCCGGCCCCCTCAGCCCGGCCCCGTCCCCACCTGCTCGATCGCGGCCTGCACGGCGGGCGCCAGCTCCAGCGCCGCCTCCAGCCCGGCCGCCAGCTCGGGCTCGTCCTCCTCCATAGCGACCAGCCGCTTCCGGGCCGCGCGGCATGCCGGGAAACAGGAGGACCGAGTTCGGAGAGGGGGGCGTGGCTTAACCTAGAGGGCGGGGCTTAACGGAGGGGGGCGTGGTTTGTCAAAAGGGGGCGTGGCCTAAGGGGGCGTGGCCTAAAGGGGCGGGGCTCCGCGGCGCGCCCCGGCGGTGGCGGGAGGTGGTGGCGGGAGGTGGCGGCGGCGGCGGCGCGGGCCCCATGTGGCGCACGCTCGGCCTCGCCTCCGCCTTCTTCCCGGGGCTCTTCGCCCTCTGCACCCGGGCGCTGCGCTGGGCGGCCCCGGCATGGAGCAGCCGCGACCGCGTCCTGCTCAGCGGCAGGTAGAGAGGGGGGCCGGGAGGGTGGTGGTGGCGGGGGGGGGGGGTGCCCCGGGTCGGTGTCTGAGCCGCCCCCCCCCCCTCGCCGCCGTTTTTGCAGGGTGGTGTCCACGGTCCAAGCTACGATGGCGACGGTGTCGGGGCTCACGGTGGTGCTTAGCTGCGGGGATGTGGTGCGAGACAGGTAACGGGGGGGGAGGTGCCAGGGGTGGGGGGGTCCCCGGGGTGGGGGGGTCCCCGTTACTGCCGGCCCGGGGGTGGCCGGAGAGGGGCAGCCCCGCAGAACCCGGAGCAGAAATCCCGGGAGTGCGGCTGGTGGTGCTCGGGGAGCAGCCCCGGATCGTCCGGGGCTCACGGCAGCCGCCCCGTGAGGAGCCCTGAGCAGAGCCACGCGGGGTGAGAGGCTGGGAGGCAGAGCTGAGAGCGGCACGGGAAGAGGAGGCGCGGAGAACGCAGCCGTGGCGGGGCGGTGGGTGAGCAGCGAGCCAGATTTGGGCTCTTCGGGGTGTGAATCAGCGCTGAGGGTGGTGGGGAGAGCACCCGCACTGAGCCCGGCTGCTTGGTGTGTGAGCATCCTCGTGCCCGCAGAGCATCGAGGGCCGTTCAGGGCGGCGAGCGGCCTCGGGTCACTGCGGTGCCTCGGGCACACGGGTACAAAAATCTCATCTGACTGCAGCGGGATCCCAGGGAGTTGGAGCTCAACCCTCCCAAACCCGCCCTGTGGTCAGGGGAACAATGCCAGCCCCGTGGCTCTGCGGCCAGAGACCCAGATTTCCCTTGTATCTGGGGTAACTGCAGCGCAGCGCTCAGCGGGGAAGGGCTGGGAGAACGACAGCAAGACAGAGAGCCAGGAAGCAGCACAAGGGCTGCAATAAAAGCTGCCAATTTATTTACACAGCCAGACGAGCGTTGTGCTGCTGGCACCCTAATTGCCCTCCGAAGCCCTGGGCGAGTTGTACCAACAAGGGCCCGTCCGCCCCCCTCCCCGGGACAGCCACGCGTTTTGGATTTCTTCCTGGCTGAAGCAGGAACACACACAAGGGAATTTTTCTTGAGGCAGCAGGAGAGCAAGAGCCGGTTTATTCAGGCCCCGAGCTATGTTTCTGGGAGCAGCGGCGCTTCCCCTGCCCCTGCAGCTCCGCTCGGTGCTTTTCGAGGAGCCCGGTCCCCGCGCCGAGCAGGGGTTACTGCAGCCGGGTTGTGCAACCGGGATTCCGACATACTTTGGGAACAGGCATCTGCGTGCAATTATTTCCCAACAGACAAACGTCTCTCAGGGATTTATTGCCTATATTAAACATCTCGCGCTTCACTCTCCCAACCCTGGGCCAGGCACCTCCAGTTAACTCTGAGGTCTCCGGCTGCGTTCAGACACTGCCCCGGGCTGGGCAGCCGACAGGAGGGGCACGCAGGAGGGATCCAGGCTCGGTGTTTTATTCCCACCGGGCGTTTGCTCCGGCTGTCCCGGGGGGCACTGCGTGCTGCAGGGCTGGCAGACGAGCCCTGGATGCGGGGAGGTGCCGTGCAGCCCTGGCACACACCTGCCTGCCGTGCTATCGCCCTGTGTTTGTGCTCAGCCCTGGGGCGCCTGGCACGGCGAGCCACCAACGGGGCAGTGCCGAGGAAGCGTCCTTGGGGAAGGGGGTGCTGGGCCCCCCAAAACTGCAGGGAATGGTCACATTTCTGCAGACCAGACCCTAGGGGTGATGGGTCCCTGAGCCCTCGGGTTCCTCGGGAGCTGGGGCTCTCTGTCACTCATGGCTGTGGTTTTCCTGCCTGCTGCAGGGCTGATTGCACGGCCCTAGCAGAAACCTCACGGCACCACCCGGATAAACACCTTGCTTTTAGGGCACCGCTCACCTGCTGCCTTCAGGAATCACCCGTCACTCCCCGTTTGCTCCAGGTAGCACGGGTGCAGGAACACAACCACCTTACACACTGGCAGATGGGCCCCGGGGTGCCGTGCTCTGCCTTGATGCCCCCTCGCTGCAGCAGCAGGCGTGGGGGCATCACCACACCTCCAGCACCACCCCTCCGTGTGCTGCTCCCTCCCCAGGCACTGGCTGGCCGTGGAGTACATCTGGGTCCTCGTCCCGTACATGACCTACGACATCTACGTCATGTACCTCTGCCACTGGCACAAGAGCCAGGAGAAGGGGGTAGCGGAGGAGAAGCACTCGCTGGCCAGCGTGCGCAGCTTCCTGCTGCGGGAGCGGCTCATGGTGACCCACCACCTCTTCATCCTCATCGTGCTCACCCCCGTCGCCCAGGTAAGGGCCGGGCATGGCCGCTGTGCACCACGCAGCCCCGTGGGGGTGTCCCTGGGTGTCACCGCGGATGGTTGCATCACCGCGGGTCCTTCCCTTGCCCAACGAGCCTCATTCCCTGCGTCACCATCTGCAGCAACTCCTGCCCTCCTGTCCCCAGATGTCCCTGCCCTGGAGCACGGCCGGGTGTCACCGTGTCCTCCCTTGCTCCCACATAGGGCAGCGTCCTCCTCATGCCCTGAAAGCTCCCCATGGAGGAGGGTCCCCACCTGGCTGGAGCCCTGAGCCCAGGGAGATGCTGGGTGTTAAACCAACTGGGTGTCCAACCCAACTCTCCTAAAACCAGCGGGGCCGTCAGCCGGGCCCTGAGCGCAGCCCCTCACCGCTGTCTTTGTTCGCAGCACTTCAGGGGAGAGCTGGGGGATTTCTTCGTGGGCTGCATCTTCACGGCAGAGCTGAGCACTCCTTTTGTATCGCTGGGCAAAATCCTCATGCAGGTACACGAGGGGGGGGGACGGGGCTGATCGCTGCCCTTCTGCTCTGCCTCAGGGCCGGGCTCAGTGGGTGGATGGGCCCCTGCTCCCCTCCGCAGCATTGGGGTGCAGGGGGCTGCGTTTGGGGCTCTCCCCGCTCCCCTACACCCAGCTCCTGGCCTGTAGGGCCGTGGGGCAGAACCGGCTCCGGCTGCTGCTGCATCTCCATGCTCCGAGCACGGCCGTCACCTGCGCTCGCCTTCTTCCTTCCCCAGCTCAAGATGCAGCACACGCTCCTGCACAAGGTGAACGGGATCCTCATCCTGGTGACTTTCTTCCTCTGCCGCATTCTCCTCTTCCCCTTCATGTACGCGGCCTACGCCAGGCAGGCGGGGATCCCCCTCTACCTGGTGCCTTTCCGCATCCCCCTGCACTGCAACATCGCCAACGCCTCCCTCCTCGCCCCGCAGCTCTACTGGTTCGGCCTCATCTGCCGCAAGGCCGCCCGCCTCTACGGCCGCTCGCCCGCCGACAAGAGCAGCTGACGGCCGGCAGAGGCAGCCGAGCGCGGGGGCTGCAGAAGGGTTGTGCCCCCCCCGGCTCTTCTGCCTCCACGGCCAGCGCTGCAGGGCCTGGAGCGGGGGCAGAGCAGCGGAAGCATCCGCACCGCGAGGCTGCTCGGGCGTGAGGCAGCTTTGCCGTCTCCGCCGCTGTGCCAGGCAGCGCCGGTCGCAGCTGGGGGGACTTTCTGGGGGAAATTTCCTCCCACGTTGCTCCTGCGCCTGGCGTCCTCCAGCCCAAAGTTACAAATCCTCCCGATTTTGGGACTGATTCCAGCACAGAGCGAGGCGCGGCGCGAAGGGCCCCGCAGAGCAGCAGCGTAGGCGATGCTGGAGCGCGCCCAGCCCCACGCAGCAGCGCAGGGACTGGGGGGAGCCGCGTGCTGTCCCTGTCACTGCTCAGAGCCACTCCTCCAGCTCCGGTTTACAGCCTCCAGCAGGGAGCAGAGCCGTGGTTCTGCACAGCCTGTTCCCAATCGTCACCAACATTGCCCTTAAGCTACGGCTGCACCCAGCCTCCCACACGCACCTCCCTGATGCGGGGCTCAGAGTCACTTCGGGCTCTCCGCTTGCCCCCCAGGGGCTTCTCACTACAGCTGCTGCTGGCAGGGCTGGAGGGAGAAGTTGACACCAGGATCCTAAAACGGTTGCTCCTCGCCCCTGCTCACCTCCAGCTGACACCAGCAGCAGCCTGAGCTCAGGGTGTAGGGTCCATCCCTCCTGCCCCATCCTGGGGTTCCCTCTGCTGCAGGGCAGCTGAGAGACCGGCGGCCGCTCTGTGCCTTTCATTCCGTCTGAAAGCTAAAAAGGAGGGCTGGAAAGGACCAAACTGGGAGACCATTTCTTTGGGTATCGGCTCTCGTCCCAGCCATGGCTGCACAGGCTGGGAGGAAGGCGAGGGGGCCTTTTCCAGCACGCAGTCGGTTATTGCAGAAACACTACTGTTACGTTACCTATCGAGACGTTGTAATCCGCTTGCTACCCACTACAAATCCTTGTATCTTGCTGGTTTTATTACAAATAACGTGCCTTACGTAAAGACAGAAAGGCCAATGAGGCATCTCAGTTTGCACTAACACTGCCCTGTTTACTACTGCACCACCACTGCCCTGTTCACTATTGCACCTGTCGGAAGAGACCAGTAAATAAAGACTTCTTTCCTCAATCGTGCCACCGGCTGCCTCTCCCCACGTGCCGTTCATTGCTGGGCGGGGAGGCACCAAGGCAGCAGGGTACCCACACCCGCCCTGGGGCAGCCCACACCCAGTGCCAGAGGTACCTGCGGTCCCGCAGAGCGCTCCCTGACTCGCTTTCCCCCCTCCGGCAGCGTACAGCAAACACAACAACCTGCCTGCCACGAGGAGAAGGGCTGGCGGCAGGGGAGCCGCAGGGAAATGATTTCCCTGATGCTGCGAGGTCGGAGGCAGGACTGGCAGCAGTTGTGTTCACAGCTATTCACACTGGGGGAAAAAAAAAAAAAAGGTGCTCCCAGCCATCTTTGCATGGCCCCTTTGCTGCTTGGGTTAGGAGAGAACACAGCAGGGGGGAAATAGGTTCAAAAGAGAAAAATAGACGAGGTTTATTACAGATCTTACAGCTTTCCACATAGCAGGTCCCCTGCGGCAGGGCCGACGCTCTCCCCTGTTGCCCTCAGCTCCTCGTGCCACCCCTGAGCGAAGGGGCTGCCTACGCTCCCAGCTTGCCGAGCTTCTGCAGGAGGGTGCCGCGCAGCTCCTGGTCGCCGACGTTGTCCGTGATGGACTCCAAGAAGTGCCTCTCGTTGGCTCTCCGCAGCACGCTGCTGGGGGACTTGTCGGCGGAGCTGAACGCCTCGTACTGCGAGAGGATCTCCAAGGCCACCACCACCAGCAGCTCGCCGCACCCGCTGTCCGGCGGCAGCATGGCAGCGACGTGCAGGAGGTGGCAGAACATCTGGATGCAGACAAAGGACACCTCCTCTGCCGGGCTCCTGGCCTCGGGGGGCTGCGAGGGTGACCCCGCAGGGCTCTTGATGGAGCTCAGCAGGTCCGTGAGGCTGCCGCAGTACAGCTGCACCACGTGGAGCCAGGCCTCTGCCGGCAGCCAGGAGGAACAGCTGGAGCTGCAGAGGAGCTGGAAGCCCCGCAGGAAGAGCACGGAGAGCTGCAGGGAGCGGGCAAACGGCCGGAGGTTGAGCAGGGGCATGTACTGCACGTACTCCAGCGTGTAGGGCACGTGCAACACTTGCCTCTCCAGCAGGTTTGTGACCACGTGCACGAGCCTCTTCCATTCGCTGTGGCTGCACCAAGGGAGGACCTGGACGAGGGCCACCAGGAAGCCTTTGCTGAAGAGATTCACTTCTTCAGGGTTGTCCACGTTGACCACGAGGAGCGTCAGCATCGTCTCCCTGAGTGCTGTGGACACGCAGCAACACTCCATCCACGCCAGGAGCCCGCTGCCCGGCCCATAGGCTGGCAAAGACCGGGACGTCCACTCGTCTTCGGGGAGCTTGCAGATCTCAAACAGGGTGGCTGGGACTTCGTTCTTAAAGTGGTCTCCGAAAAACTTCTTCAGACGGAGGCCGACAGTCCAGTCCAGTGACGCCACCTTCCTGTGAAGCCACGCCAGCGACTGGACCCACAGCTCCGGGGAGGGAGCAGCTTCTGGTCTTACAGCCTCACAGAGCTGGCCTAGGGTGCTCAGCACCAGGTCTTTGGTCTCCAGTGAAGGGAAGGGCTGGTCCCTGGGCTGGTGCCAGTACTTTGTGTAGCCATCTAGGAGCTTGCAGAGGCTGAGGAGAAGCGGGAACGGGTGGCAGGACTTGATCCAGTCCTCTTCGGGATAGGACGGTATCCCCAAAACTTTACTGAGGATCTGCAGGCTCAGCTCGGTTTGAGCACAGTCTGATTTCAAATAGGGAAGGACAAAGGCTTTGGTCACCTCTGCAGGTGACACAAGTGGAGCAGCTAAGCTTGGCTGCATGAGAAAGGCCAGAAACTCGAGGAACTGCTCCTTCTCCCTTGCAGCAGAAAGCTTCTCCCATACTGCCTCCTTCAGGCACCGCACCACCAGGCTGCGTGGCCTGCCTGGATCGTCGTGTGTCTCCAGGAAGCTCAGCGCTGGGAGGGAGCAGAGGATTTGCGCAAGGAACTGGTGTGATCCTAGGTTGACAACAGCAAGACTACAAACCTGCTTCACGGTGGCCTCAGGGTACAGCAGCGTGAGCCTGGCCACAGAAGCCACAGCTCTGGTAAGGCCTTCGTCAGACACACTCTTTGTGATCTGGTTGAACGTCACATTGAGATCCTCCTGGAACCCCTCCACAACCACCTGCAAGTTCAGGGACAGACCTGCCCCCCCCCAAGATGCCAGGACGCCCGAGATCACTTGGTTTTTGTCAGGCAGTGAAAGCTCGCTGTAACATTCCACGATGGCTTTGGTTACTTGCATCTGCATCTCCCGGGCCTCCCCGTCTCGGCAGGACTTGGCAAAGTTCACCAGAGTCTGCAGCAATTTCAGAACTAGCTCTGGCTTCTGGAAGAGCTCCTTGTTTTTCACAAGGCAGTCAACCCAGCCCTTTGAGAAGACCCAGGCCTCTTCAGAAGCAAAAACGGAGCACATCTCCACGTGCCGGTGCAGCTTTTGCTCGATGATTGTCATGGCAACTGAAGACACAAGGCTGGTGTCTGAATCCTTGCTCTTCTGGCTGGTGCTGATCTCCTTGAGAAAGTCCTCAATGGTCTGTGCCAGCTCGATCGCTTTGTGCATCTCATCCTTACTCAGGCCTCTGTTCTCAGAGAAGCAAACCAGGTTCTTCCTAAAGGCAGTAAGAGCATCGAGGAGCCGGTAGCTCTCATAGCAGGGATCCTCCAAGCTGCTCAGGATGCCCTGCAGCTCCTCTCCCCAGGCATGCAGCAAGCTGCAGAGAAAGTCCAAACCCACAAAGAGTTCCTCACGTGAGAGCTTGGCCAGGGACGAGAAGCTCACGCTTCTCTCAGCCTCCTTCACCTGTTCATCCAGCGCCCTGTGGTGGTACTGGCTTTCAGCGTCGCTGCTCCAGAGGCTGACCACCGAGCTGACCTTCTCCAGGTACTCCGTGACAGGGAGGGGGCTGCCCTCTGCTGCCAGCTCGCTGAACGCCGACAGCAGCTCCACCAGGTTGGCCAAAGCACAGCACTTCATGCGGGGCTGGGCAATGCTCCTGTAGGTTTCCTTTAGCCCTTCTACCAGCACCATTAGCAGGCTGGTGGCAGCAGGAGAGCCACTCAGAGAGCCAGGGTCACCCTTGAACCTCTTCGGGGGCTGAAGACCATCATCCGGAGAGGACTCACCCCCATGCTGATGCACGAGGGCGCTGAACGTAGAGACTGTTCTGTCTTCCTGCCCCTCCTCGTGTCTCATCATCTCCCACCAGACGTCCAGCAAGAACCTGATGTCCGACGGGGACGTCTCGCTTGCGACGTACTGCACCAAGCGCTGCAGCTCGTTGCGGCGCACGGCGTGGGGCAGCGCCAGCAGCAGCTGCACAAAATGCCGGGGCTCACCGAGGGCTTTGACCAGCTCGAACAGGACGGTGTGGTTCACGTCGGGGATCATCCTGCCCACCGAGAAAAACGCATCTTCCCTCCACTCCTGGTCCAGCAAGGCGGCGGGGGGGGCAGGCAGCAGCACCTTGGCCCAGACGACGGCCACGGCCTCCTTCTTCCAGAGGCTGCCCTGCGGTGGGGAAGGGCAGCGGGCACCGATCTCCTTCAGGGCGTCGGTGATGGGGGGCCCCACCAGCGCCCACTCGCCTTTGCGCAGCTCGCTCAGCGCCCGCGGCTGGACGAGCCTGGAGGCCAGCAGGAAGGCACCGTGCAGGATGGCCATCTCCTCGCACACGCCCCAGGGTCCTGCGGAGACACGCGGCGCAAGGTTAACCGAGCCCCCCCGGTACCCCCAACCCCCCCAGGGATCCCCCCGTGTCCCCCTCTCCCACCTGGCTCCATGGCGGCGGCGCTGCGGGCAGCCAAAGCAGGCGCCCCCCCCCCCGGCGGCTGCCGGCCCGCAGCGGCTCCTGGCGGCGGGGAGGAGGCGCTGCTCGCCCCCCCCCCCCCAAAGGGATTTTGGGTTGCTTTAAGGCGTCGAGGCCGAATTTAGGGGAAAGCTGCCCTAAAAGGGCGCGGCGGGGGGCTGGAAGGACAGGAGGCGCAGCCTCGTCACGAATCACTTTTTATTCATGTAAAGGCCGATTGCACAGTTCAGGCTCAGCCTGATCAGGCTGTGGTTCAGCCAACTGCATCAAAAACATACCAAAATCACATCGAGGGCATTCCTCCCCCCTTTAAACTCATTTGCTACAGGCACTGTGTCTCAGTGATTGCTAATGCTGTTGATTTTGTCTGCTTTTTCCATGAAACTGAAGGCTTTCTCCAAGAAAAGTTAAAAGCCAGGCAGCACCCCCGACACGCACCGTGTGGGTAATCCCCCCCTGCACCCCCCATTCTTGTTCCACTAGGAAAAGCCGATTTCATTCTGATGAAATAACCCTTGGACTGTTATTTCCGAGGATAATTCCACATCAAAGCTAATTACAAAACTATTATATACTTATTTTGAGCCGCCTGCTGGCGCCCCGGCAGAACACACTTGATGGTTACACGCCTGGAACCCGAGATGCTCCTCATGCTGACATACACAGGAGCCCAGAGCAACCTCGTGCAGCACAGCGAGATCCACCACAGGCTTCTCAAGCGAACACCTCACCTTGAAAGCTGGGGAACAGCTTGGCATGGAGCTGCTGTTTGTTTCAGACCAGCAGAGCCGCATGCTTCAACAAGACAATGACTGTGCTCTCAGGGAGGCGTTCTCTCTGATGGCCAAAGTGCTCGAGTGGTCCACGAGCAGCCCCTCCCCTCACCTGGCACCTCACCACCAAAGCAGGGTCTTTGCAATGGCTGCCTGAAAGCCCCTGCCCTAAACCACAAATCGGGACAGCTAAAGCTCATTAATTACAGAAGTGGATATTCTAATTAACCTAGCAAGCTGTTTTTCAAGTATAATCACACTAGAAATACGTAAGGTTCTGATGGCTCCTGTTTGGAAGCCACATGCCCAACCTATTCCTTAATTTTCACCCATGTATGAAGGAGCACATGACATTTGCTTGAAAGGAGAGAGCAACAACAAGAGATACAAGCCTAAAACAAACAAAAAAAATGATGGGACATCACTGCATCCTCCCACTGGAAGGGGCAATGCAACACGTCACAGATGATCGGCATTTTGCTCAGACAAAAACCAAGGCACGAATGACCAGCCAGTCCTGCCTCTTTCTCCAGCTAAGCAGACGCCTTCTTCTTCTTTTGCGCAGCAAACCACGAGTCACTCTTGTCTGCTTCCATGGCCTGCACAAAGAAAAGCACAAACATGTTCAGAACTGCAGCTGAGTCAGCCAAACGCCTGGCTGCCCACACTCAGACCTACAAAACCGGATTGATTGTGAGAAACTCTAATCCAGGGGAAAGCCATTCTGATGGGGAAGCTATTTTGTGCATATAGTAGCAATGAAAATGGGCACTGAAAACCAACAGCCTCTGCTGCTGCAAAAACAGATGATTTGGTAATACAGCAATAAAACAGGAAGAGTTTCGACACCTTCACACAGAGCTCATGCTCTACACCAGAGCCCTTCAGCAGAGCGTTCATCTGCACTGATGTTAGTGCCACAACTCACATTTTCCGTAACAACGTGCAGACGAGTGCTGCTGGCGAGTCCAACAGGACACACCACCACCAGCTGCCCTGGCAGCAAGGCTGGAGAACTCTAGCTGCAATGCTGAAGTGAACTTTAAAAATTGTTTTGTTTTCCTTAGCAGGACAGCAGCCCGAGCTAAACCACTATATCACTTGCTTCTCATAAAACTCCAGGTGGAACTAAAAGGAGCCTCCATGGAAAGAAAATTAGATTCTACAGGTGTCAAAAATCAGGATGAAAATAAATGTCTGTCTATTACTTACATCATTTAACAGTTTGTCACCATTAGGATCCACCTTGGACAGATCTCTAAATGCTTCATCTCCCACAAAACAGATTTCATGGCCATCCTAAACCAAATTTGACAGCAGATAAGTTAGAAGATTGGGACAGTGAAATTTGAATTGAGTTTATTATTATTTCCAGTACTACTCACAGGATCAGCCAAAATAATCACTTGCACTGTAGCTTTGCCAGGTGTGTCCAAGCTAACCAGAGGTGTTAAAATTTTCTGATTCTCCTTTTTCATCAGTGCTTCAATGTTTGGCAACTTAAACAGAAAGCAAACAACATCAACCCCACTCAGATGAAGCTCACACGCGGTCAGGTTATTCTCATCTACAGTTTCCTGTTAAATGCAACTTAATTGCATTCCCACTGCCAGAAACATAAACTTAGTATCTGTTTTGTGCACACCTGAGATACTTTGCTAATACTAGAACTTCATCTCCCACTAGCTGGCTGGGTGACACTAAGGGTAAGGGAAGCATGATTACTACCTCTTCCTTTGCACAGGAAAAGGCAATCCGCCCAAACGCTGTCCCGTGATCCACTGCTCCTCCAACAGTCTTCAGCTCCAGCTTACACTGAAAGAAAACAAAGCCTAACTTTCACGGATCTCCAGCTTTTCACTGTGGCAGACAATTTCATCATTGCCCATACAAGTATTTTCCCAATTTCTCATTTTCCAATGAGTCAGAATTACTCAGAGCAAACCCTAGCTTTCAGCTACAAAATGCAGTTATGAGCCCCGATGCTTTAATTTCAGTGCAAACAGTTAAGTTCACGGTTGGTTTTATCTAGAGATTTTTTCCTTTAAGACTTTTTTTTTTTTTTTTGGCACAGAAGAAGAGATTCCTATGACATGTGACTCTTAAACACTTGGAAAATTTTCCAGGACTAACCTGGTTATCCGCATAGCCTAGCAAGGCCCTTTGTTTTTCTTCATCCTTCTCATATATTTTCATCCCAAGCAAATCAGACCAGTAGCTAATGGACTTACGCAGATCAGAGACGCCCAAGGTTACCTTCAGCACAGGATCTGTGAGATAGCAATAACTGAGTTACAAACACATTGCAGCTGTAAACTTGTGGTTTTACATTCTTGAGAAGAAAAGTAACAGAGAAATAATACAAATACATCCTTGTTTCATAAAATGCCAGAGACAAATGCACATCCAATTCTAATACCCCACTCACATATCTCTTTAGAACACAAAGAAGAGCGAGTGTGTACGTCTCACCTTGCTTTAGCTGTTCCTTGTCTTCCAAGTAGAACTTGTAACCACCAGGCGCTTCAGTTTCAAAAACACCAGCTGTGACTTCCTTGAGGGGCCACCCCATCTCCTTCGCATTGCTCACAGCCTGGCTAGACACGAGGGTTATGCCCTGCCAAGCACAGAACAGACATGCACAATTCCCTGGAGCAACAATGGCCAAGGAGCCACCACTTGCCCAACTGCACTAACACTGCGCCTCCCCGCCATGTGCATCTGTGGGGAAAACTCTCTCTGTATCACTTTCATTCTCCAGGCACCATTGGCCACAACGGTTGCTCCAACCTGTGCTTGTGGTCAAAGAGATCTGACCATCGCAGGCGGGGTGCATGGTGCAGAAGTCCTGCCTTTCAGTAGCCTGCCTCTACAAATGACCAGGAACAAAACGGATTAGTTTCTACTGCACAATCTCCTGAGAAGCAGATATCTCACTCCTAGAAAATAAACTTACTCTTATCTTGCACCTCCCATAGATGTGGAATGCATTACTCTGCACCCCTCTTTCACAACAAAAGGAAACATAAAGGAAAAGCACTTACCAAAAAGTCATTGCCAAGGCGATATTCTCCAATACCGTAGTTGTAAGTCAATTCTGCAACAAAGTGATTGTCTTCTGGCCCATAGCCCACCATTGTTTTGCTCCATTTTCCATCATAAGGGCTAGAACATCCACATTTATTTTTAGTGAATAAGAGAAATAAATACCAAGAGTTGCAAGCACTGATATTTCAACAAAGAACTGCATCTCTAGAACAAAGGGCACAGCCAACCTGCTGCCCCCCTCATTAAGCGAGCAGGAGGTGATGTTTTGCTGAGTTCATGGGGCAGCTCGTGGCAACCCCGCAGCACGCAGCGGGCACCTTCCCACCCTCAGGAGTCGTGTTCTTAGGCTGTCGCTCCTGATCGGGTGATGGAGCCAGGTCTGCCCGCTAACACCTCACACGCTGCTCGTGCCTCAGCTGGCGTGATGGGAGCACAGAGAAAGCAGTGACAGGCTGCGAGAGCGCTGTCAGCCACGGGAAGGGGGCTGACGGAAGCCCTGGGGGCTGCCAGGGAGGATTTTTCACTCAAGCCTTGTGTCTATAAGGCAGTAAATAATAGGGTATAATTCTGAGGGGAACTTGAGGGATCGTTTTATACTGGAGGGATGTAATATGGCAATATTCGTGTTCCAGTGTGAACTCCACACCTACCCACAAAGCAGCACTGCCCATCCCAAGGGAATAATTTTATAAAACCCCCCAAACTCACACAAAAAAAGCACTGACACATGCCCAGCCACGACGGACAGCGGGTTTACGAGAAACAAGCCCTCAGCGCGGGGGGCGCGGCACTCACCCGTTGCAGCTCGCCTTGCAGCCCTCCTCGAACTCCTCGTGCCTCAGAACCTGGCGGGGAGGAAACCAAAACAAGTGAAGGCGGGAAGGAGACAACAGGGCTGCGAGGAGACAAACCGGAGAGAAAACGAGGAGAAAGCGAGGAGAAAACGCGGCTGAGCCCGGGGTGCCGGGGTCCCGTCCTCCCCTCAGGGGCCGCTCCCCTCAGGGCCCTTCCCGCCCGCATTGCCCCGCGCTCACGCTCATGCCCAGCAGCTGGCGGTAGAAGCGCGCAGTGCGCGGGCGGTCGCCCACTTTGAAGACGAAGTGCAGAGCCCGCCGCGCCCCCATGGCCCCGCTGCCGCCTCCTCCTGACTCCCCCCGATGCCGTCAGCAGGCGCAGAGCTGACGAGAAGGAGGCGGTGCCGCGAGATGGCGGCGCTGGGGATGGGGATCGGCGGGAGGCGCTGGGTGCGGGCGCTGAGGCGGAGCCCGGTGCGGGTCCTGCCGCCGCCTCAGGAGCCGGCTGAGGAGCCGCGGAGCCCCGTGGGGCCGCCCGCTGTGGAGCGGAGCTCGGCCGGGCCGGGGCTGTGGTACGAGAAGGCGGAGCCCGGTGACGGGAGGCTGAGGTGAGGCGAAGCCCGCGGGCAGCCGGGTCCCCGCCGCCGGGCTCCTGTGGTGATTTTTTTTCTCTCTCTTCCTCAGAAAAGTGGTGACCGTCGCCAAGTCGCGGAGCTTTCGGGACCGGCACGGGAAAGTGCTGCTGGAGGGGCTGCGGCTCGTCAGGGACGCGCTGGAGGCCGGGGCCGTGCCCTGCAGTTTGTTCTTCAGCGCCGCAGGGCTCCTGAGGGAGCTGCCTCAGGCGCGGCTGAAGGGAGCCAGCCTGGTGAAGGTGAAGTTTGAGGAGATTAAGAGCTGGTCCGACCTCGTAACGCCACAGGGGGTTATAGGTAAGATTCCCTAAGAACCATCACCACAGCACGCAAAGGGAAACGTATCCTGCGCTTCATGAGGGGATGGTGGCAATCCCTGCACCAGCAGCTCCTAGGCAGGCTGGTACAGTGTCACGAGTGGCATGATGTGAAAGCTCTCTTCTTTTTGGCTGATATTGGCTGATAGACTCAGTGGAGGTTGCTAACGCTCATTTTTAACAGCACTGTGCTCACGCTCCACTGGGAAATGGTGCTTACTGTGAAGTGACAAACTCCTCACAAACTTCCTTTAAGCAGCCTTTTTCCTAAGGCTTTCTCTAGCACATCTTCAGGGAAACCTGGGTCAGCTAAGATGCAGCCCTCTCCTCGGAGCGTATTACCCAGGAGCTCACCAGCATTTTGTCTCCTCAGGGATCTTTTCCAAGCCTGACCCCGCCAAGATGTCCTACCCCGCTGCCCAGCTCGCCAGCTCGGTGCCCATGGTCCTCATCTGCGACAACATCCGGGATCCAGGAAACCTGGGCACGGTCCTGAGGTCTGCAGCTGGAGCAGGGTGCGAAAAAGTGCTGCTCACTAAAGGTAAGAGCCTTTCTCTGGGGGGAAAAAAGGCTTAGTTTAACAAATCAGAAATAGGCCAGGTGCTTGAAGTGCTCAGCAGTTACTGAGTGTTTGTCAGAGCTGCTGTACCGTCACTTTTTCTCCCCTCTGTCTCAGGATGTGTGGATCCGTGGGAGCCAAAGGTGCTTCGTGCAGGCATGGGAGCTCACTTTCGCATTCCCATCGTTGCCAACCTGGACTGGGAATCTGTCCCCAGCAACCTCCCTGCCACCGTCCAGGTCTGCGTGGCTGACCACAAAGACCCGGGCGCTCAGGCCGAGGCAGAGCCCGTGTCACAGGGAGCTGGCAGGCCCGGCTCCGCTTCTGGCAACCTGAAGGCTCCTGTAAAATCCAAACCTGGGGCTGCTCCTCCCGAACATGAGGACAGGGAGGGAACGGCGGGCGGCTGCACCCCTGAGCTCACCACACGGTATTACCACGAGAGCTGGATCCAGGCTCCAGCGGCAGTAGTGGTTGGCGGAGAGACCCACGGCCTGAGCCTGGGTGCGCTTCACCTGGCAGCCAGCACGGGTGGGAAGAGACTGGTGATCCCCATGGTGCCTGGCGTGGACAGCCTCAACTCTGCCGTAGCTGCTGCCATCATGCTGTTTGAAGGGAGGAGGCAGTTGCTGCAGAGGAACAAGCAGGAGGACAAAAGGCAGAAGGTCCCTGTAGGGGGCTGAACTGCTGAGACTTGGGTGCTGGAGCAGCATCTTTCCCCTTTAGCACTCCCCAGAGGAGTTAATAAAATAGCAGCTTGGTCTGTTTGCTTTGTAATAAATGAGTAAATTACGTCAATAAATAGCTCTGGCAGAGGGGGAGCCAGCCCCACTTGCTCCGTGCGAGTTTAAGTGAAACGTGAGCAGATTTGGGGCCCCATCTTACCTCTCTGTGTGCTGAGAGCAGGATGAGAGCTTGCCCTGTGCCTCCCCAGGGTGGCAGAGGGGTTAGAGCTGCGCTCCCACCAGCCCCACACATCTCCATCAGTGCCGGGATGCTGCTCCTCTCACCACCTCTGCACCGTGCCCACCGCTGCTCCGCTGCTTGTCGGGGGGCAGCAGGGCTGGCTGCAGCTGCTGTTTTGGGGTCAGGAAGGCTGCGTGGCGGCCGCCAGAGCAGATCCTGCCCATACTTACCCAAAGCCCGTGCCCTAACTGGTGCCAGGAGCCACGCACCGAGCCACAGAGTATCTTAGCTCCAGCACTGGTGCTACTGCCGGGAGGTGGCAGTGTCTGGCCCCACGCAGCCGCCTGTGCTCCGCAGCTGGGCCTCAGCGTGGATGAATTATGAATGAGGGACGGGAAGGGTGGGAAGGGGGAGCTGCGGGCACTGCTGTGAGCGTCCCTTGGAGGGGAACGAGGGTCGGGGTGCTGGGAAGGAGCCCCTGTGACCCCCCCTCACGGGTGCAGGAGGGGGTCTCCCCCTGGGCTGCACAATGCTCAGCTCCGCTGACAGCTGCGCGCCGATGGATGGCTCCTGTGGCAGCGCTGGCTGCCGCCTGTCCTGCTGTGCATTGAGAAAAGCCTCTGCACTGGCTGTGAGCTGCACAATGAGCTGGCTCTGCTGGCTCCAGTTTCCCGTTACCACGCTGAAATCATCGATGGCAGCTGCTCGAGAGACCTGCCGAGATTCAGCCTCCTCAAGCCCAAACCCTGGTAGCTGAGGGGCTGAGCAGGCATTAGCTCCAGACTGAAACTGCTCCAGCCCACCAATTTCATCTCCAGAGACCAGTTCCAGTTCTCTTCCCATCAAACTGACCCCAGATGACCCAGTTCTCAGGCGGAAAATTGCTGCTTCGCTCCAGCAGCTACCAGAGTGGCTGCGGCGGCGCTGCCCATCTGCGCTCACAGCCTCTCCGGGAGCCCCAACCACAATGTCCAGAGGGGAGTGAGCATGGGCTGGGTGCTCCCTGTCCAAAAAAAATATAAATCAGCTGCTGCCATGTGACCAAACAGTGCAGACAGCGCGGTGCTGCTGCAAGCCTCAACCCACAAACACACCGAGATTGCCCGCAGAGCAGCAGCAGCCCGCGGCGCTGCTGTGCACAGCGCAAGGCAGAAACTGCTCTGCACGCTCCCTTAACCCCAACATGGACGGCGTTCCTCAAAAATCCCCACCAACAGGTGGGGCAATTCAAGTTAATTCATCCCATCAGCCTGCCATGGGAGCCATGCTGCACTCCCAGCTCGGCCCCGCTGTTGCCGTTGCGCTCACCCCGGCTCCTGCCCATAGCTCGGCCCCATGCGGCCTCCCTGAGCTCTCCCTGCGCCACCAGGGGCTGCTGCTTCCCGAGCGCCCACGAGTTCATCACCAAACGCAAGAACCTGAAACACGCAGCACACAGCACGGTTTATCCGATCCCTGCCCTTCCGCACCGCCTGCCTTCCCCAGCTCCTGCCGGGGCGGGTCGTGCTCTATGGGCGATAAAAGGGCAGAGGCTGCGGGCCTGCCACTGCTGACAAACGAGCTGAAGGGAAACGCACGGCTCGCACAACGGCCACCATTCAGCACAGCTCCGGGACACCGCCCTGCCGCGGGACACCGAGGGGAGCGGTCCTGGGGGGCCAGGAGGCTGCACCCCCCTCCCCGTGCCTCCGGAACAGCGGCTCATGGGGACACGGAGGAGGCAGCGGCCTCGAGCGAAGGGCAGGTCCCTTGTGCTGGGCACCCCGCCCTCACCCCCACAGCAGGACGCGGCAGTCGGCACCTCGGAGGTCTCGGTTATTAGCTCAGTTTTATTACAAAGTTCCAATCACCATGTACAGTTTTTACAATGTCACTTTTCAGGGGCTGTGCTGCTAGGGACTGGGGAAGGATTTTTTTTTTGGTGTTTTTTCTTACTTTTTCTTCTTCTTTTTTTTTTCTTTTTCTTTTTTTAAAGAACAGCACCATTAATGTCAGGTTTGGGACACGCCTACGAAAAAACAGCTCAATCGACTAACATAGAAGGGCGGACAATTCATACCAGAGAGAAGGAGCGAGAGGGAGAGGGGACAGGGAGAGCACAAAGGGGAGACCACGGGGAGGCAAGGGCAGCCTGGTGGGGTTCCTCCTCCTGGCCCAGGGCAGGAGGGGGACATCCGTGTGCCACGGAGGGGTGGACTCCCCCTGACGCGCGTGGCCAACGCTTCGTAAGGCTGTCGGTGTGCGGGGTGGGAGTGGGAAAGCTACCCAGGAGGTTCTCACCCCAAGGAGGAAAAGCTCGGCTGCGCTGCGGTCTTTCAGAGGTTGTCAGCAGTTAAGACTTTGTCTTGGCCTCGTCAGGGCACCTTTACTTGAGCGGGAAGGAAAAGGGGGGCGAGGGACAATTTCCTTATTGCTTCCTTAAAGTAATTTAGTCAGCAGAGATCGTAGGAAAGGAAAGAAGTGGGAGAAGGAGAAAAAAAGAGCCCCGAGAACCCCATCCACTGCCTGATGCATATGTTGGGAAGAACACCATGCAAAAAAAGATTTGCCTGCTAGCTAGTGCCGTGTATAAAATAAGGATACGGTAACAGTTCTGGCCTGGTTATTAGAGAATATATCGCCATGAAGCACAAGCGAAGTCTCCAAACGCCAACGACTCCCTGCTGAAAGTGCATCTCAAGGAGTTTGCTTAGGAGAAGGATTCACTGCGTAGAACAAGGCACCACAAGAAGGTTGGATACTGGGTCGGGCGTGAGAACACGCTGGAGAATCCATGAGCGGCAGAAGAGAGACCTAGTTTTAAATAACGTCTGTGGGCGCAGAACCCCCCTTAGATGGGCTCGGGTTTTAGCTTGTCTGCTAGAAAGTCGCTGACGAAGGCTTCCACGATCTCCGGCGTGATCTCCTCCACATCCATCACGTACTTGGCCCTGGCCGACATGTCCAGGATGGTGAGCAGCGGCGCGGCCTCGGGCAGGTTGGTGTAATCCCGCAGGGAGTCGGTCATGTCGTCCTGGAGGCCAAAACGAGAGGCAGAGAGGAGCCATCAGCGGAGAGGCACCGGTCCCCTCAGCCACACTGATCCCTGCCACTGCCCAGAAAATGAACCCACAATCGCCCAGCGCTGTTTCTCACCCCTCCCTGGCCCCTTTCCTCCCCTCCTTCAGGCACCCCCTCACCCTCAGCCCCCAGCTGGCTGCCAGACCCCGACTCCAGAGGAGCTGGGGGCCACCACGGCCCCTGCCTCACCCCTCCCAGCAGCCCGCACAGGGCCTCGAGCGTGCACATGGGGCAAATCAGGAAACGGGAACAAAAATGCTGGGTTTGAGCCAACTGCGGGACTCCAAAAGCAGACCCATGAGGTCTGAGGGTACAAAGGACGGAGCACACCTGAGCAATGCACTCAGCACCGGCTGCCTTCACTGCAGCCACACGAATTGCAGCTCTCAACAAAGGGAAAAAACTCATTTGTCACCGCCGGGGCTGTGGAATTCAATCACCAGCGCTGGGGTGATTCATCTCCTGCAGCTGACACTGACCGCGGCAGAGGAATGGGGTCGACCCCACAACACGTGGCATTCGGAACCGGGCATTTTTCCGAGCTGTTTTCCAACAGCAGCGATGGAAATAAAACGAATCCAGAGGCAGCTGGTGGCTCTGCAGCGCGAGGCGGTGGCCGGCAGGGTGGTTCCTATCGCGCCTCCCCTTCTACTGCAGGGGTTTCTGGCGCAGGACCACGTGGCGGGGAAGGGAGAGCGGGGCCGGGCCTGGGACCTCGGTGCTGGGGCACTCGGCCGCCCCCGAATGCTTCCCACCTCTGGGGCCAGCCCGGAGCCGAGGTGTTGGGACGCCTCGCCCTTGATTTGATCGCTGCAAAGCAACTGAAATGTTTTAATCAATGCAAAACCGGCCCAGAAGGCGCCGGGAGAGGAATGGGAGGCGCCTGCTCCGGCCGTGGCCGGGCTGCTTTGTGCGCTGGGGCCGGCGGAGACCCGGGGCCAGCAGCCAGGGCTATTGAGGTGACGGATGAATGGGACGTGCCGGATGCTCCCCATTCTTCGTCCCCGCTGCCGCAGGGACGTCGGGAGCCGCATGAATAGCAGCAATGTTTCAGCTGCAGCCGGCGAGCGGGAGGAAAACGCTTCACAGGCTCTTGGGGGTGGGGGGGGGGCAGGTCCCGGACCCTCCCAAAGCAGCATTCCCAACAAGGGGCTTATTCAGGGGCACGGGGCCGAGCCGGGATGCTCGGAGACCCGTCACGGGAGCGGGAACACCCGAGTGGAGGGGGCCAAAGGGGCTGCGGGCAGCAGTGGTGGGGGCTCACCTCGCGGGGGGAGCCTGGGTGCGGCGTCGCAGCCCCTTTGTGCGCCGGGTGGCTGCGGGGAGCGCTCGCACTGCGGCGGTGACGTGAGCGGAGGCCGGCCGTGCGCGGCGGGTGAGCAGGCGCACAGCAGCTCAGCGGCTCCCACCTGCCTGGGCGCCGCAGGAGGGGAGCCAGGAGCTTTCTAGAGCCTTGCACAAAGCCTTTCGAGCGCTCAAGGCTGCAGCAGGGCAAAGGGCTGCACGGGAGACAAGAGCATCCCGTTCCCCTGAAGACCAACGGCAGACCCGCACATCGATACACGCACATCGTGGCCACCAACCCAGCAGCGTGGTGGCTCAGCACACTCCTCGTTCCACACGGGGACAGGCCTGAGAGGAGGGAGCACTGCCACAAAACACCCAGCACCAGGGCAGCCAAGCCCCAGGGCCTGCAGTTCTGCTCTCTGGGCAGCCCCTGGCTGTCCCCACAGGCAGTTTTGTCTGGTATCAGGCACAGAAACCAGCCCACCCCACGGGATGGGGGCTGCCTCCTGCTGCAGCCCGTCCTCCGCTGGCAGCAGGCGGGCACCAGCACGCTGCAGGATGCCCAAACCCGCCACGGGCCAGGCTCCCCCACACCCAGGGGCCACCCCATCAGCCAGGCGAGTGCACCCCGAGGTCCCTCCTCCTCCTCACCGGCCAGCCGGGATGAGGAAACCCCTCTCCAGCAACCCGGGAGGGCTCTGCCCTGGCAGCCTCTCCCCCTCCAGGCAGCCCGGGATGAGCCTGGCCCAGCTCCCGGCAGAGCCCACGCCGCCGGCTCACGCTGGCACCGCCGCGCTGACTTTGGGCAGCTGCCAACCCATTAGGGAAGAGGCTGGAGTGCCGGTCCCTTCCCGCTGCTCGGGGTGGCAAGAAAAGCAGCAGCACGGCAGCGAGGAGGGAAGCACGGCGGGACCAACCTGACCGCCAGCACGGACTGGAGGCAGAGCCCAGCCAGGTTTCCTGCCCGCACAGCCGGCACACGGAGCCCAGTATTTGAAGCGGCCACACGGGGCTGGGAGCTGCAGCGTGGGAGCTCGCTGCTCCTTCCTGCCTCCCAGGGCCTGTCCCTGCCTGTCCCTGATGGTGTTGAGGCTTTTCTGCCTCTGAACAAGTGCAGGAGTCAAAGTGCTGAGGGTGATCCACAGCAAAACCTGGGGAAGAGCCCCTCAGCTGCTTTAGTCCAGCACAGGCTGCACGGGGACTGAGCCAGGACTCAGCTCCAGCTTTGTTCCACGTCCCCGGCTGGTGGCAGTGGCTCCGTGCCTCAGTTTACCCACCTGGAGAGCAGGGACACCACCACCCAACCCAGCTCGGACCTGGCAGGAAGCACAGCAAGACTCCAGCCGAGCAGCTACCAAGAGGCCTGGCTCAGCAGCACAACTGCCAGAGTTTGCCCCATGTGTCCCGGCGGGGCAGGACGCAGCCCCGTGCTTGCAGGGAGCTCTCACTCTCTCCTGCCACTTACCTCGCCCGCCACAAAGAAGAGCAACGGTGCCTCCTCGTCTTTGGCTTTGTACTTGGCAATGATTTTTTCGGCTATGGGCTGGATCAGTTGTTTTGCTGCCTCCGACTCTCCGTCGTCCTCCGAATCTGCAGGGCACAGCCGTGGGGAGACGAAACAAAAGAGAGGACACAAAGAGGAGGTTAGGATCAAACGGATGCGAACAGGCCGGGGCGCAGGCAGCTCCATCCCAAGCAGCACCACAGAGGAAACAGGAGCCCGAATGCGTAACGCCAACTTCAAAGCCAAGCGGCTGTGTAGCAATTAGGGAGCCGCTGAAACGCACTTTTCATGTGAGACAGGGCAACATGTCACAGAGGAGCAGCTCCTGCTCCCAAATATTTTACCGCTCGCTCCCCTGGTGCTGCTGCTGGTGAAGCACAGGGACAAACAGGCGCAAAAATAAAAATAAAGAAGCTGGGCCGCAGCTTGAAAAGCATTGGGATGTTTTGAAGACCAAACGAACGAGCTGATCTGAGGCTGCCTGCCACCCCTGCCCGCCACCCACCATCTCTCCACCTTGGGACGGCTGCTCGGCGGCTTTGCTGCTTGAGCTTCCACGGCAGCAGCTCTGTGAAGGCAGCTTTGATTTGACAGAGGTAGAGTAGAAAGAGATGGAAACATCAATCAAACGCCAGCCACCACTGAAGTTCAAATACCGAGTCGGGAAGAGGAGAGACAGCGTCCTTGAACAGCACCTAGATGAAACGATTTCAATTTGGGGACAACTTTGAGCATTAAAAAAAAAATATAAAAATAATAATAAAAAGCAAGGAAAGGGCTCCCAGTCCCCTGGCAGCGTGCAGCTTGTGTGGGCCTCGATGGATCCAGCCGGCAGGCGCTGCCCACCAGCAGAGCTCTGCCTGAGCTTCCCTCCCTGGAGAAGGGGATGCCGAGGACGCCGCCCACTGCCTCCTGGGGTCTGTCCTGCGTGGGTGACAGTGATAAATGCTCGGAACCGTGGGCTTTATGCAGTGATTGATTTTTCTGCTAACAAATGCTGCTGGCTGCACTCCAGGCCAGCTCTCAGCGTTCTGGCTAACCTAGCCCCAAACTGTCCCGCGGCGGACGCACATCGCTGGTGATTTATTCCTGCCCGATGCTCGCCGAGCCTGCTGACACAGCCCCGACCTCACACGCGCTGCGCTCGGCGCATCCCAGCTCCCTCCCCAGGGCTTTGGGCTGCTGGGGGTGCTGCTGCCTGCAAAAGCTGGGTCCGGGCTACCCAGGCACCATCTGACCTCGGGCTTACGGCCTTAAAGCTCAGGTAGAAAACTGGCACAAAGGAGTGAGCTCCAAATGGAGCCTCCAGCCCCACGTCTCCAGTGCCTTGGTGCTGCACCAGCTCTGTCTGCCCGAGCACAGCAGCTTCCACCAAGGCTGAGCATCCTCTCAGAGCCGAGCGAGAGCTACTCTAGAGCCCTCTCCCAACAAGCTGTTTGCAGAAAGGTGATAGAAAAACTTCGCTCAGAGCAAGCTGAAAATAACCCCTCCCTTCCAGAGGCCTGCAGCCCCCATCAATCACACTCAGCGTGGCGAGCCAGTCCTCCCAGCTTGAGGAGAGTATTTTTGGCTCTGCGCTCGCATCCCCTGCTGGGTTCTACTGAATAAATAATCAGGGTCAAAAGGAAATCTGAAAGGGAAGATGGGAAAGAGTAAGAGCCACGTTATAAACGCTGCAGAAAAAGGGTTTTTTTTGCTAACAAAGGGTGTGTGAGGAAGCAGGACAAGCCCTGCCCGTGTCCCAGCAGCCCCCGCATCCCGGTGGGCAGGCTCAGGGGGATGCAGGCTCTGCAGCAAACCCCAGCGCACTCTGCACAGCGTTCCAGGGACAGATACGCTCTAAAAATCAGGGAAATTGCAGCTTCTTGTTGAGCGCCCGGAGCTCCCTTGCTGGCCGGGCCGCTCTGCCTGGAGCACACGCCATCAAAGCCAAAGCGCTGGCGGGATTTCACCAGCTGCTGCTGGAGGGAAGGGGCCGGGACAGCCCAGCTGTGCTCCAGATGAGCTCTAGGCCCACTTCCAACCACGGCTGAGCTTCATGGGTGGGTTAGCAGTGGCAGAGGGACACCAGCTTTCAAGGGGGAAGCCTGCTCTGTCCTGCAGCCAGCTCCCCACAGAGAGGGGATACCCAAAGAAGCAGCAGAGCCAGCATGCCGCCCTCTGCCACGGCCTTGCTCAGCCCAGGGATTCGAGTTCTGAGCTGTGGTTTCCAGCACAGAGCTGCAGTCCCTCCTGGAGGCACCTCCCAGCCCATCCCCTGCCTCCTCCGAAACATCCCCCCAGCCTGAGGTCTCAGCTCCAGGAAAGGCCCTCCTCATCCTGACCACCACCAGCGTATTTCCAGCGCTCTACAGCACTGCTTAGCGATCCCACCACAGCCACCACCGAAGCATCTTCTGTAACAGCTCCTCTCCGCTGCAAATTGCTGCTCCACCACATCCCTCAACACTGCAGGCTGGAGCTGCAGGAGAATTACGGACACGAGGCTGTGCCATGAGCATGGTTCCAGCAAATCCCTGTGAGCTGCATCTCTTACAGGCCAGGCTCTAGGAACGTCTCCCTCCTGAGTCCCTGGAGGGGACACAGCGAGCTGTCAAGCCCCCAGGTCACCCAGACCCTTCCCCGTCAGGACTTTGCTCCGTACCTACGAAGAGAACAAGGCAGGGCCCCTCATTCAGCTGCACAGCGTTGGAGTCCGTCAGCTCCAGCACGGGCTTGGGGTGCCAGGGGAACTCCCGGCACTCGACGTCGTTCAGCACCTCCACCCGGCCCTGCCGCGTGATCACCTCGCCCTGGGAGTCCAGCACGATGAGCGTCGGGATGCCTGTGATGGGAGGAAAACACGGGGTTAGTGCCAAAACAGTAATATGGGAATGAGAGGGTGCTGCCATCACAGCCCACGGGGTGGGAAGCAGGGTCCTGGGATCCTGTTTCTGTCCGAGAAGAACTCTGGAACTGAGGAGGCAGAGCAGGAAGCCGGGAGGCAGCCTCTGGCATCACCTGCCCTGTCCAAGTGCAGGGAGAGGTCACCGCTGCCTGACGCCGATGTCCCCGCATACAGACCGTGCTGACCCTGCCCAGAAGCACCAGGCAGAAAGCTCCCACATGCACGGCAGAGCTGGATAACCCCAGCTTTGAGACACAAAACTCACAGCAACACACACAAACCTTCTTGCAGGGCAGACTGCACGCAGCGGCGGCCAGGAAGCAGGGCGTGTTTGCTCCCAGCAGAAACCCCCACGTCTGAGCAGCTGGGAACTCCTTTGTGACCCCCCCACACCCCTTCCGACCCTCAGACATAATTGCCTGGACCTTTTCACAGCACACAGATGTGTCTGCCCAGCCACGGATGTTACATGGCTGGGACGCCGAACTGCACGTGGCGAGGCAGACACAGAGGCTACAGTTACCGACTGCACCCCTTCCGACACCAGTCCTCAGGCTGCGAGGAAGCACCACGCTGAGCAGGAACAAAACCAGGGAGCACCACCAGGCTCTGCTGGCACGGCTGACCCCAGCCTGACAAAAGGGGACGCAGAACCCATGGTACGGGGCTCATGGAAAGGGAATTTTGCTGTGGATAGAGCCCCGGTGCCCTGGCAGCACAAGGTTGCCAACCAGCATGGCAAAGCCAGCGAGCAAAGTGCCCAAGGCTGCCACCAGCTCCCAGGCACAGCTGGCAGGGAGGCACTTCTGTAACACATACACAGGTTAAAACGTTTCTCGGGAGAAAAACAACCACCACGGGCTATTAAACACAAAGACGCAGACCTCACCCCAGCTCTACAACCCCTGAGCTGCAGCCTGCCAGTGGCTAGTAGCAGGGGAAGGCAGACCCGGTGTCATTTGTGCTGCTCTTTCCCTCCCTGAGCCCCCAACAGAGAGCCCTGCTCTGATGACAGCTCCGGAGCCACTGGCTACCTCCCACACTGCAAATCCATTTTGCAGATAACCACTTCACCTTTTATTACTTTGGAGCTGGCTCCTAGGCTATGAGAAATGCCGTCCTGATGGGTTTGCACATTGTAGTTCCAGCCATGTTTGCACCAGCAGCTGCTCAGAGCACAGAAGACCCCATTACTGCAGCCCCCCAGGTGGCACAGGGACCACGCAGAGCTGCGCCCTTAGCCTAAAAAAGAGCCTGAGATCTTGGACAGAAAGCAGGCATCCAACAAATGGGTGTAGGTGTGCACCCGAACAGCAAGATTCAGGGTGTGTGCATACGTTCTGACTCCAGGAGACTTTGCTGAGCCTTCCCTGGCCATGCCACCAGCCCGCAGATGATGGCAGTGCCATGTCCCTGCCAGGGGACAGCGTGGGGACGGATGGAGGAATCTGAGATTCCCTCACACACTGCTGCCAGGCTGCAGATCGCTGGCACACAGCCAGACTCATCTGTTGTGGGACGGAGGTCCTGGGTTCCTTGCTTCTGCAACAGCAGCCCCTGGGAGAGGGAGGAACACATGCACTCTGCTTCATTTGGGAAAGAAAAAAGAAAAAAAAAAAAAAAAGGCAGATAATCAGTTAAATATGCCCCTCCATACAAAGAGGGACAAGGCAGAGCTGCCACAGCCCTCCCAAGGATACCGAGGCTGTGCAGGATCCTCCAGGACCTGCTGGGTCTGGCACTGTGCAGGATGGGGCTGGGGGTGCCTGAGCACAACAGCCTTGCATTAAAACAAGCACCTGGAAACGCAGCCAGGGTGGGTGTGGGAAGAGGAAAGAAGAGGAGAGGAAGGGCTCCCAGCAGTCACTAATGGATTTTTTTTTCTTCCTGGGATTACTGCAATTTGGTTGCAGTGGGCGTAGCGTTCATTCATCCTGCCTGGCTGCAGCAGGCGTCTTAAGAATGGTCTTCCAGGAAGTTTTAAGCACATATTTTAGTGCTACAAAAACACAGCAAAAGCATGGGCCGGTTCTGCTTTTAATCCTGCCTGAAAGGAGCCCTGTGCTGCCTCCCTCCAGGAGCTCTCACCCAGCCAGACCGGGTTCTCCCCTCTGCAATGCCTGGGCAAGCATTTCATGCAGAACAACACCTGCAAGTGTCAGTGTGAGCCTGGCTGAGGCGAGGGGCTGAGCTGGGCACACCGAGGCAGCGGCACAGGGCTGGGGTTTGCAAACATGGGGCTCATTTTTGGAACCAGCTGGATTTTGCTCGACAAGCCCGTGTTTGTCTCAAGGGAAACAGATGTTCTGTGGACCTGCTCAGAACCATCGCTTTTCAAATCAGGACGGGCAGCAGCAGTGCCCTAAGGATGCCCAGGTCCAGCTGTTTGCCTAAAAGGGATGCTTTGAGAGTGAGATTTAGCACAAGGCACCTACTGCCAGCCAGCCAGGCTGGCACCACGCAGTGGGGACACCAGCTGGTGGCTGTCCCATCTGATACCACCCCGAGAAGGCTTTCAGGATGCACAGCCACAGTTGTGACAAGTCCCCACAACGTGGCTCCCGGCTCCAGGGAATGAATAATGTGGCATTTCAGTGGGATGCTGCTCTCAGGACGTGCCTGGCCTTTACATGGAATGCCTGGGTTTGCATTAACAGAGCTGTCGGCTGTCCCTGGCCTGCATTAGGCTGCCCCAGGCACCCCCAGACTGCAGGAGTGGCACTGAAAGTCAACAGGAGTGGCTCACGCTGGTGACTTCATCTGGAAAACACCGAGGAGACAAAAAAACATCCCGAAAGGAAGGAAGAGGGAGACAATTTGATATCAGGCCCCGAGAGACAGGGGTCAAGCGGCCAGCGTTACTGCCAGGCTCTGCTGTCAGATCCTCGTCACTCGGTCTTCGACCCAATCGCTATCAGGCATCACCTCCTCCACCCAGCAACAGCCTCCCGATCACAGTCAGCAAACTGAGGCAGCTCAAATCCTCTCACCCTCACCTCTCAGCCTGAAGATTAATTTTGAAAACCACATTTGTTAGAAACACTCCACCAAACTGTTTTCTGTGCGGGAGAAACCAGCGTGCTCCCCCCTGCAGCTACTGCCAGCTCCCAGCACTGCGCTCCTGTGTTTGTACAACAGTGGGTTACTCACGAGCCCTCTGAATTCGAGGCATTTCTCTAGGAAATACACGGACGTCTGTCTGTCCTGGCCTGCCTGCAGGTCCGGGCGAGCAGCTGCATTCCCCTCATTCCAGCCCAGACAGCGCCGCTCACATTCCTCCCCCTGCGCGGGGCTGCGCGCGCCGGGTTAGCAGCGAGAGCCGCGCAGGAGCAGCGTGATGGCTGGGCTTGCAAATCCTAAGGGTATGCCAAGAAAGCGATTTTCTATCACAGAAAGGCTTATTCATTACCTGCTGGTATTCCAAACAGCTCCAAGGCAGGGAGAGGTTAAACAGACTGGGAGGAATTGGGAAATCTCACACCGGCCCTATCCTGCAAGGCACGAAGTATCACAAAATACCACTGCAGCCAAGACAAGCACATGACGATCAGCATCCCGCATGATTCGGATCCTTATCCTTTTTTAACTCCTACCCCTTTCCCAAACGCAAATACAAAACTCACCCAGAAAACAAAACTCTAAGATAAATCATCTCGGTTTAACGTGTTTGGGAAATGCCAGTAACACACCAGAAAACTTGGGGCTGATTTTGTGATTTTCCCTCTGTTAGGAGACGGGGGCCGTGCTGGATCCATGCGTTTCACCTTTTCCCTGGCACCAGAAGCTCTCCACGAAGTTCCGGACTCCTTTCTGGCCCGGTGTGGTGAAGGCTGAGGCTGCTGCAATGCTTCTGCCCCTGCTGCCATAGTCGCCGAGCATTTCCCGAGCACTGCTGAGCACTCTCCTGCCTTCCCAGGCTCCGTCCTTAAACACCTCATCCACACCTGCTAATCCTGGTGTTCCCCCCTCCCTCCTCACCCACAGCCACCACTGTTATTTCAGTGCCTTTTGGGGGCTCCGCTAATTGCCGTGAGCCCTAACTCACGAATTTCCTCATCAAGAAGCATCGCGGATCAGACACTCCGCCATGAATATTGTATAAGCTTTGGATGAGAATTAGCATCGACGGGCTCCATTTGACTTTATGCATCAGAAAATGGATTTGGCTCTCCTGGGGCTAGCGTTTTACGAAAACACAGGGGCCAAATGATTTGTTACTGAACCTGGCAACACATTTATTTATTTATATATTAAAACCCATATCCGACATGGAAATCTCATCTGCATTAAGTCTGTTGGCTGAGCAATGTAAATCGCCATGAGCAAAATGCTCAGAGAATACACCACCGGGTTTTATTGCTGTTTTTTCACCTCTTTAGAAGAAAGCTCCAGAAACCCGGTACAGGAAACCTCTCCTGGCAGTGACTTCCCAGTCGGGCTGTGGAGCGGCCGGCGGGTGCCTGGAACAGAGCCCAGGGCAGGGGTGAAACAAGGGGTTTCTGAAGTTCCCCCGAGCAACTGCAAATCCCACAGAGCTGCAGTGGAGCCCACAGGAAACTTTCATGAGCCCCAAATCTCTCCTAGGACACACAACATGGGGCAATCCCCACCTGAGCACAGCATTTGTTACCGCTCCCTGTCCCGCAGGGAGAGGAAGGGGACTTGACCTACGGCGGGCACCACGCAGCCCAGGAGCAGCACACACAATGGAGAATTATTTCCAAGCAGCCACGACACAAGAAACGGCTCTCTCTCAAGACAGTGCTGCACCCAGCAGCAATTTAATATAGGTGGGTAAGGCACAGCCCTCTGACTGCACTGGGGTTATGAATAGAGGCATTCAAGCAAACCCAAATAAAGGCCAATAACTCAACTTACATCTTACACTGAGTTTTTGAATGCTGTAGGGGCCAACAGAGGACTAAACCAACACGAGGTCTGACCGTCCTGCTGCCTTCCCCGCTCAGCAGCTTAGCGCTGTGCAGGAAGACAAGTTCTTTTGTTGTCCCAGCTCCCGGAAAAGCTCCGGCAGCCTTACAAAAATGAGAGGAAAACCCACCCTGCAGGCACAACCCAAAGCACGTGCTCCTGAGCAGAGGAAGGGAGCTCCTGCAGCAGGGAAGGCAGGGCTGCACGGACACGCAGCGCGAGGACCGAGAACAAAGGCAGCTCCGGGGAGCAGCGCGGCGTTGTCCAAGTTTCGCAGGAAGCAGGGAAATCCAAGCAGGCACTCGAAGAGCAAAACCAGAAGCACAGCAACAAATAAACCGAGGGATGCTGGAGGTGAACAGTAGCGTTTTTAAGTTTTACTGGAGATTCAGGAAAAAGACAAAGTTAGCGCGGCCATTAAAAAGACAGCAGAGAGGAACTGCAGGAAGTTGTTTCTTTGCACCAGACAAAGATGAGCAGAGCTGAGATCAGTAACACCGACCTGAAAACCCAGCGCTGTGTGAAACCACCAGGATGGTCACTGGGACATTTCTCAGGTGACACGCTGCTGCTGGCACGGAGTTGCAGCTCCACAGGGGGCACTCAGAGGTGCAGTTACAGAGGGCTTAGAGGACGTTGGGCAGCATGAGAGCCATCCCTTTGAGGAGAGGCAGCTCCGATTGCATGCAGCTGATTTTTCATTTAGGTGGAATAACCACCAGGGGTGATGAGACGAGCCCGTGCCATCTAGGTCTGCTTGCAGAAAGCTCTGGACACGGCCAGCGTGGCAGCCTGCTGCGACAGCCCAAACTGCAAACGGACAGGCACCTGCCTGCCGCTGCGCTCCCACCATCACTCCTAAGTCAGCAGAGGATGAGGAGTCAATGCCTGTGCAGGATGAACAACAACCCAGTGCCCCAGGAAGCAGCACGAGGGTTCCCCCCAAGCCTCTCTCCCTCCTCTCCCACTGCACAGGGTAGGAACCGGTCCCCTTCAGTGTTTCAAAGTGACTCTGTGCATCGTGCTTTGTGCTTTGTCCTTGTGGAGAGGTTCCTACTGCATGGGAAAATCATGACAATGAAGCGGGGCTTGCAGTCAAACATGCCCAGATCCCAGGGTCAGTGTCCCTGGAAAAGCACCCCTGCCGTGCAGAACCAGAGGGGTAATATGGGAGCTGTGCCTGCGAGAAGGGATCAGGGCACAGGGGAATAGCAAATATTTACATTTTCAGGTCAGCACACAACAAAGAGAGACATTTAAGGAGACAGCGGCTGGAGTTAAAGGGAAAGCTGTTGTCACCGTTTCCCTGACTACAGCACACTCAGTGCTGAAGTATCCGTGTCTGGACACCTTATTTACAGAAAGTCCCAGTGAAACTGGCAGCAGTCCTGCAGAGCTCAGCCGAAACCCGGCACTGGAGAGGTTTGTGAGCGGGCCGGGAAAAAGACAGATGGATTTGGAAAGCTTTTGCCCCACGGGAAGGTAATTAAGAAGCAAACTGATGGCTATTTAAAGCTACCTAACAGTTATTCTTGGTTTGAGGTCAGAGAACAGAGCACAGCGATGGCACCTGAGCTCACCCGAGAAGGGGGGTTTGGGGGGGGTTCCAAGGAGGATTATTTCCCCTGCCCACTGGGTTTCAGCCAAAAGCTCATATCAGCAGAACTACCCCAGTTAAGTCAACATGGGTGAATAACCTGATCTAAACACTCTCAAGGGTTTGGTCACTCTGGGACCCTTCTGCTGAGGAGGCTTCGCAAAAGCAACACAGGCAAATACAGAAGGGTGGGACCACCAGGAGGGTCCCCAGGCCCTGGGGCACCTTTGGCAACACTCTGCTCCTCTGCCCCCCCTCACCAATGTTTCCCTGAAACATTTGAGAAGCACACAAACTGCAGCAAGACCAGCAGCTCTTTATCTTCCAGTCCCTGAACCACGGGTAGAAACTCTGTGTATAGATGGAAGGCTTCCTCAACAGCTATTTACCTCGCATGTCTCTGCTGTGCAGCTTGTGAACAACGCACTGGTCCCCAGGAGGGCTGCTGGGAGCTTTTATCATATTCAGGACACTTTGAAAACACCCAGACAGAGCAAGCCTCTCCCCTGCCCCTCCGAGCAGCCGAGGCTGCTGGATTCTGGCACTGACACATACAGTAAAGGCAAAGCCATGGTTTACATCAAACATGCGCTCTTCTGTAATTCATGTTACTAACATAAACCAGATGCCATCTTCCTCAGCCTCTGCAGAGAATGATCGCCTGCCTTTACATTACATAAAACAGCAAGAAAATGAAATTTAAACCTTCAAGAAAAAGCAAAATAAATAACTCAGTAATTAGGCAAAAAACATCCAAGCCAAAAACAGCTTCCAAGTTTCCAGGAAGAATTAGGTTGTTTATGGAAGTCCTGTTTCAACTAACAGCCTGCCTGGCAGGTGGTAGGAATGTGAGTTTGTGGAGAGCAGAAACATGAGGCAGCTCTGCCTGGGGCACTGTGCTTTGCTCTGTTTTCTTGTTTTAGTTAAACAAGAGGAGACATCACAAATATTCAACAAAAGCAGCAGAAAGGAGAGCCGCGGGGGCCTTTCCTACCTTGTATGCCGTAGAGTCGATTCAGGCGCGATCGTCTGGCCTCATCAGCATACGGGACAGCTACCCAGGGCATCTCGCTGAAATACTGCTTGAAGGAGTCCTCTGACCTGTGCAACGGGAACAGCACAGGGGATCCTGAGTGCAGCCCCTCTCCCTGCCACGCTACTTTCCCTTTTCCTCGTTAAAAACCTGGCCAGCAAGGGCCTTGCTCCATTTCATCAAACCCACCAGGCGAGGGCTGCTAGGAGGCATAAACCTGGGGAAAGCCAGACTAAAAGCCCTCAGTCCCTCACAAAGGGGTCTGCACTGCATTTTTTTTTTCTGATATTTCAAACCCTCCAAGACTGGTTGCCTTGGGGCAGTCAGCTCTGCACTTACTGCATTACCTGTCTGCACTAACGAAGAGGATCTCAAACTTCTGGCCCGCCTCCTTGATTTTCCGGTAGGACTCCACCAGGACCCTTGTGAGGCTTCGGCAGGGTGGGCACTGCAAAACAACACGCACGTGAGGACGCTGTCTCCCACCTCGTTCACGGGGCCTGGCTCGCACCCCAGCACGTCTAGACAAGTTTCAGGCCATCCCCCTGAAAGCCAGACACGATCTCTTCTCTACTGGAGCCAGGAAGCAGCCTTGAAAGCGGCTGGTGCTTATGGTAAGAGGTCACTGACTGCTTAAATTGCCAAGGAAACCTCTCCCAGTTTTAAAATCTAAAAATTCTTCCCCTTCTGAAGGGTCAGCTGAGGGTGACCTGCAATTGCAGTGCTGCTGGCTTCTCCCAGAAGGACCAGGACATCTTAACTGCTTAAACACCGGCAGGACCAAGGTCTTCACCCTCCTGCAGAGCTTGGCAGGGGCTGCACACCTTGCCTGAGGGCTGCAGAAGGGACGCCTGGAGCTCCAAGTCTGCCCTGAGGTCATTGCAGTTGCCCTGCAGAGCACAAACCACTCACCCAGTGCGCAGAGAAGTAGACCCCAACGTGAGAGCCCTCCAGGGCGCTGCTGTCTAGTGTCTGGCCGTTGTTCCTTAGCAGAGGCCCGGCAACAACTTCACTGAAGGGTTTTGGCCCCCAGGGGAACTCCAGACCTAGAGGAGGTTGGGATTAGGGGTTGAAAAAACAAAAACAAATTAAAAAAAAAAAAAAGCAAGATACACCCGGAGCATTTACAGTTTCAAAAAGTTCCACTTAAAAAAAAAACATTCTGCCTTCTAAAAGATATGTGGGGTGCTAGCTGAGGCATCCTGCTGAGGTCCATCCCCACCCGAGGGGGATGCAGAGCTGCTCAGCTCCCTGGGCACCACCAGGGCCGTGCCCCAAGCTCAGCATTACAGCCAGGGCCACCTCCTTTTCACAGGGACCTGCATCCTGGCCCAAGACTTCTGCTTGATGAAGCCAGCTCTGGTTCTGTGCCCGATAATGCATCTTTGCCTTATCCACGGTGTTTGTTTTAATAACAGGGGCAAGGTGGTACGTGCTCAGGAATGCAGTCAGACTGTTTGCCCCTTCCAGATAAAGCTGCTTTGCCGATTCCAGGCCTCACACCCACCCTGCCTCCCGACCAGCTGCCTTTCCACGCTAACAGGGAAGCAGATGGTGCAGGACACATCCCCGCAGCCCTAATTCCTCTGTATTTAGGGCTTTAATCGTATCAATTACCCGTGTCACTGGGCTGTTTTCTGAAGTTGGACACAGGGACCTGTAGAAACGATGGCTGTCATGTGAAATCACACGTTTGAAGGGCCAGGTTAACAGCTGAACGTCAGGCTTGCAGAATGTGGGAGTGAGGACACACGTCCTGCACATCTGATGCACATTTTTGCAAATTTGAAGAAGACGGATTCAATGTGAACTCCCAACACACCTTCACAAACTGAGAATGGTGGCGTTTTTCTGTCTCGTTTGTAAATAATGGGGAATTCATTACCCTACCAAAGCTCTGTTGTCAGTGATAAGCACCCACCCCGTATTTTGGAAAGATTTGGCTCCCAAGGTACGGGAAGTCTGGGCCCTCGGTCTGTCTAGCCATGTGCCTCCATCACGGAAAATCTAAACTTCATGTTTCACTTAGGCTAACTTTTTCCTCATTAGCACTTCAGACAAAATTCCTGGAGGGAAGTCTTTGTTCTCTTCAACAAGCAAAACCAAAACACAAGATCTGGCAGGAACGATGCAGAAAATATTACACTGAAAATAATACAGTGCCTTGATTAGTCAAGTATGACAATAGTTGTTTGTTTCCTTTTTTTTTCTTTTTCTTTTTTTTTGTTTCTTTTTAAACCTCCAAGGCAATTCAGAATGAACCGAAATAGCAAGGCAATCGCGTGCCAGTGTCTCCAGGGCACACAGGACTCCAGGTCTTACCTTCTGGGTCATCTCGGATTACCAGGAGGCCGTTCCTGCAAACCACCTTCCCGGTGGAAGCATCGATAAATATCAGGGAAGGAATGTTGGAGACTCTGTACTTGTTCCACAGCTTCAGCTGCAAAACAGATCAGGAAGAGAGAAAAAAGATGAGCTTGGCAGCACGAACAGGAAGATCTCGGGGCATTAGCATCTTTCAGACAAGAGGTCAGAGGTAAGCAAAGAGATGGAGCTGACGCTTCAGCAGGGTATTTGGAAGCGTCTCTCCGTGGCCCCTGGCACAGCCTGTCCTTCCAGCTCCTGCAGAGCCGTGCCCCATCCTGCCCCTCTGCACCGCAGGCTGGGTGAAAAGCGCCGGGAGCCACGACCACGTCGTTTCCATTCTGCTGCAGACTCGCACAGGGGCGTAGGTGAAGGGCTTCTCCTCCGACCACATCTGCCTCTCTTTGCAAGTAAAATGGGGCTAATGCTTCCCAGCCCTGCTCTGTACTTTGAGGTCTTTGTTTAGAAGACATGGTAAGCACAAATGCTTTTAATGCCACTGCTCTGAAGTAATTTGTAACGCTTCCCTGGCTGCTTCCTCCTCTCCCATTTCGATGTTCATTAAACAAACTTCACAATCCCTGCCAAGACACAGCCACGCTCAAAACAAGGCCAAAACACAGAAACACGACTCTTCTGCAACTGGGGCTTCCCAGTTTTGTTCCTGGGAGCTGCTTAATAGGTCTGGCATCAGCCTGGGGGCTGCACGGCACAGCTCACCCGTAACACACTGCCAGCCGCCCCGCGGCCCTCCGCCGGCCACGAACAAAAGCCCTGCATGCGGCTACGGCCACGTGCTGCATGTCCTGGGCTAGAGTTTGCTGTTTCCTGGTCATTTTGGCTGAGCAGTGAACTATCAAAACTCTTGAATAAAACCAAACCATAGCACGGTGCCCGAGGGGAAGGAAATGAACCGCTGCCTTTCCCTGGTCGCTGCCTCCAGCTTCCAAACAGAGGCAACCCCACTACTTCTTAAGATATGAATGATTTGGGGGAACAAGGGATGTGAGCTCATGAAAGGGATGCAGCGTTCAGGCAAAGCAACCTGACCTCTCTGCACTCTCTCCAGAGATATGGTGAAGGGGATAAGTTGCACCCACATTTAGTTTCGATGGCATTATATTAAATACTTTTTTCAACATCTTTTTATAAAAGACACCTGAGTGAGTTACAAGAGTTCACCTACTTCCAATGCGGTGTACTCAAAATCCTCCTGGGTCTAAAGGAAAGCGTTAGCACTGATCTAGGAAGACGCAATTGATCTCCATCTACTAGGACCTGGAGAAAGACAGGGTTTTGTGCTCAACCCACCAGCATTAGGTTTCTGACAGACACATTTCTTGGGACATATCAACTCATTCATAATGCTGATTCACAAACCAAACGGCCCTGGGCATGAAAAAAAGAACAAAATCAGACTAAATGCAAAACAGCCCCCTTGCACCGAGTGTGGTCAAACCACAGAAGGTAAACCCCAGTTCTGTGAAGTTTAAAGGGTGGGGAAAAGCTCTTTATAAGGATCACAAGCACTTACGAGGGTGCTGCAAACAAAGGGGAAATTACAGCTAGCAATTGGATAGTTCTCCTTAAATAGTTGCTTACATTTCACTTCATTTCGCCAAGCCCTTTGTATATGGAAAGCAGCTCCCCGTAGGGCACCGCGGCGTCTTGTAGCAGCTCAGCTTGGCTGAGGGAGCCAGCAAGGACTACACATCGCAGCCAAACAGGCAGCATCAGCTCACTGCCTCGAAGGAACGGGGCTGGGGCAGCGCAGACCAGAGGATAAAAGGTTTTACCTTGCATCTGCACAAAAGCCATGACTATTGCATGTCTCTCAACACCACCACGCAGCAATCCCAGGCCACCCCAAGCCTCAATGCAGAGATCCAGGAGGTTGGAGCACTTCAGGTTGCTAAAAAGCACCGTGCTGATTCTCAGAGATCATCCCCTTGAAGAAAGGCACTCAGCTGCTGATACTGCCGGGGCTGTCACTTACACCATCACACGACACGGGTGAACAAACACGGCAATTGCCTGCATGACAACCTGAATCGGGTTGCCATTTTAAGGCCGGTTCTAAAAGGCATGAATTACAAATTCGTGGTCTTGAAGCACAAACCATATTAATTTTGATGTCTCTATCAGAAAGCACATGAATGCGCTGTTTAAAGGCAGAGCAGTTCGACTCGATGACTCTCCTGTGCATTAGGAAAGCTGATTGGAAATGAGAAACGCATGCACCGAAGAACGAGCGCCAAGATCCACCACCAGTCCCGCAGCGAGGGCCCCTTCCTCCAGGCTCGGCTTTCCAAAGTGCATCAGGCACTACTGAGGAGCGAGCCTCCTGTTCCTGCATTTAGATGCCTTAGACAACAAAAAGCCAGCAAGCTTCTTACAAGAGACCCTTTAGCTGGGCTTTTGGATAAAGCAACCCTGGATACCTCCCTCAAGGATTGCCACACCAAGCCGCTCTTTTGTGGTCAAGCTGCAGCTTCCAACAAAGACAACCAACCTCCAGGTAAAGCCTCTGAACAAAAGGACCACCTCTCAGTAAGTTACTCGACCAGTCAGGTGTCCTCGGAGCACAAAGCCGAGGATTTTCACTCACGCAGTCTGGAAAGGAGCCTGAGCTCCCGCTCGGTGGAAATGCCAGGATTGCATCTGCGGTGTCAGCTGGCCATGGCGCTGTGCTGAAAGATGACAACGACTGTGAGATGTTACGTACTAAGAAAACCAACCACGACCTGAACTCCTCAGCACCAGCCGAGGCATCAGCAAAGCTTGGGGTGCAAGGGGCAAGCGAGACGTGAGGCCAACGCTTGGGCGCACCTCTGTACAGTCACCACACGGCGCTTGGCAAGGTCCTGCTCAACACCCGGCCAAGTTCTCAAGGTGGCACACGGGAAGGGAGGAATCCGGCCACTCTCCAAGCACCACAAAGGATGCCAGCGATGCTCGAGAAGGCGAGCCCAAGAGAAAAAAGGCAGGGGCTGTGCAGGTACCTGAGCAAACGCACGCAGACGCGCACCTCTCCGAGGACCGCATGTCGGGCTAGGCGTGGGATGTGCAACACAAATTAGGACTCGCTCTGAAACCACAGGAAGATCAGATGATAGCTCGGGCAGCAGAGCTGAGTGCTGCCTCAGCAACTTTTCAAAGCTGTTTTTCCTGTCTTGAAGAGGATGACATAGAAAATAACACACTCCACACTCAGAGGATTTGATCATCCATTTAAAGAGGGGATCTCTGCTCTGCTTCCCAACAGCTGTTGCAAATCTGCGGGATCAAGCCAAAGCTAACACAGATGTGGAAATAATCTGCAGACTATTCAGCCCCAAATCAGCTGATCCTCTCCAAGTCCTCTTCAGTCCTGATCATGGTGCATGCCTGCTGAATTCGACACTCAACCCCAACCGCCTGCTGGAGAAGGAGTGGGGAAACACAGCCCCTCTCATGATGCCATGTAGGCTGATTGGCTTTACAGAAACCGATCTGGCTCCTGTGCAGGTGGTTAAGTCAAGCAGTCCAGTGGAAAAAACAGAGTCACCAGATTCCTCTGGTAACCTTATCCATAACGCAAAGCATCGCCGCGCCGTGCTGGAGGAGCTGGAAACCACAGCCCTGGGTTTCTCTGCGACTCCATCCACAAGCAGCTGCGAAAGGCTTTAGAATAACCATTTGTTACTTGAGGTCAGAGGGTCCTAACCACCTGGGACCTGAGAAGTGATGTTACCAGCTCCATTACATCCCGTCACCTCCAGCAGGTGACAGGCAGTCACGGACCACAGGCACTACAGCAGCACAAAGCATCCGCACTGGTTGTGAGCAGCTCTACACATCTGAGCCAACTGCTGCATCCCTGGAGGACTTGGAAACGCCTCACCGTGAGGCACATTTCAGTAATTTTTCCAAATAAAGGTGTCAAACTGGAGGCCACCCCCCCAGCAAACCACTGTTTTCTGTGCACAGCAGAAGACCGGCTGGAATCCGGCCGGGGCAGATGAAATCCCCTCCTGCTCAGCGCGCTGCTGGGAAAGGGAACCCCTTCTCCTAACAGCTGCGGGTCGCTATTTCTGGGCGTGCTGATTGATTTATCAGCCCTGGTCGCATTAACTTATGAGCATAAATCCTGAGCTGTAGCGGTTAACACTGGCAAAGATAAAACACAACTGTTGGGAGTGCGGCCGGGGGGAGCGGGACGCAGCCGTTGCTGTCACGGGAGGTTTGCTCGCCAGCGGCCGCCCCCCTGGGAGCTGCATTTCTGTGTGAAGTGGGACTGCACCAGACGCCACCCCTCCATCCTCAAGTGAGGGATTCCAGAGGTACCTGCCCGTGCCAGCAGCAAGGGAAGCATTCCTTCTGCACGTTTTGCAACCCTCCTGCAGCTCTTTATTTCTTGCAGATACCGTGACTGATCCTGTTCTGATTCCCCCCCCGTCCTCCCTCAGTGCAGGGCACGGCAGCCCCATGACAAACACACAGAGGCAAGGTGCACGAAGCTCCCGTGGCCAACAAAAATAACCAGCAAAGCTGCTTCAGCAGGGGAAAATGAGGGAGGCCACAAACCGCCAGGACCTGCACCGCCCTGCTCTCCTGGCCCCGCGCCGCGGGGACCCCTCTGTCCTCGCTCGCTCCCCGTGTTAAATCGCAGCTTTCACAGCGGCCTGACAGGGCTTACAAGTGCCAGGGGCCACCCAGGCTCTGCGAAAAGCAGGCACAGGGCCGTACAACAACAGGCTGCTCCCTCGCCCCGTGGGTTTAAATCCAGTTAACGCCTGTCCTGGCGATTCGGGCTGAGCTGAGGAGAAGGAGGAGAAGGCCTCCCCTCCACGCCGCCCTCATCTCCTGCAACAGGAGCGGGGCACAGCGAGGGAGCCAAACCCAGGCGAATACAGGGGGGAGTTTGGGGGCAGATGGTGCCTGCAAGGTCTGACCTTGTGCAGGAGACCGAGGGAGCAGGCTCGAGGTAAATTCCTGTCTGTTGTGCTGCCGCTTCTCTCTGAACGGAAATTAAAGCCTAATTACAAAACACAATGGTGAGAGAGATGCTGGCTCCGTTAATCAGCTGAGGAGGGA